ACTTTTGTATTCTGTATGCATTTGAATATTTTGGTATGATTGTACTTATATTATAAATTTGTTATAAGTTATGAAATGTTTATGCAAATGTTTGATTATGTACATGTATCACCTGGAAGGCAAGTTTCTTCATTCTTCGGAAGAAGACAATAACATTTCTATACTCTATACTCTATACTATACTCTATACCCCACAAACCAATGACAGTACTCACAGCTGTAGTGATCTCAAAATTCCAACATTCATAACTCTTTTATTACTGGTCCGATTCATTTCAAACATTCTGTATTTCTCGATCTTCTGCTTTCATAAAAATGAAAATAAAAAACTGTTTGATTGCTCTTTAAATGGAGGCGTGATGGTTCTGTGGTAGAGCAGTAACGGCGAAGTCCTGGGTTCGAAACCAAGTCGATGCGCTTGTGCCCTTTGGTAAAGCATTAGTCCTCATCCCCTGGCTGCTTACTTACAAGCACTTATTTTCTTAGCAGTCAGGTAAAAAAAAAAATATTAAAAAAAATGACTCAAGTACATACAAAAAAAAATCATATGGATTAAACAAAAATTATATCTACGAATTACTGTTTTTTTAGGGGGATGACAAAAACATATGTTTGTTATCCTGATTTATGTATCAAGTTTGATAATTTCGCTTTTCGGTTTAAAAATATGTATATATATATATATATGCTTGTAAAGTACAGCTACGTCTCACGTTCCTTTTTCTTCACGCCTATATATATATATATATATATATACATACTTTTTAATCAAAAATCGAAATTATATTTGAATATTTGAACATAAATATTGCAACCTGTGCAGTGTTGATATATATAAACTGTTAATGTTTTCAGTGAGGTGGGCCAGACGTCTCTTGCCCGAGTATCAAACTTTACATTTCGCGTGCGAGCAAAGCGAGTCATCAACATATATGAAATATTGATGGCTCGCTTTGCTTGCTCGTAAAATTTACAGTTGATACTCGGGCAAGAGATGTCTCTCCCACCTCTCTGAAAACGTTAACCATTTTGTTATATATCTATACTTTACAGGTTGCAATCTTTATGTTCAAATATTCAAATATTTTACTTCCTCCGGCATTCCACAACATGTTCGTTATAAACAACACAATCCATTCTTATCCGACACGAAACTCTCAGAACTTTCATTTGATAAACCCCAAATTGCTAATTGCGCATAAATCTATCCGACACAATGGCGCTGACCTATGGAACAGCCTCCAAACTACTGTCAAATCATTTACTATCATATATTATTTCAAGGGTGCCATGAAGCGCAAATTATTATCAGCATACAGTCATAATTTAATAAGCGCTCCAAAAACCTGCACTCAAAAAGGACATAAAGAACACGTTTCACAAGTCATACACTCACATAATATACATATTTACACTTAACGCATTTCATGTTATGCCTGAAAAATATAATTTACTTAATTATATGGCTGTTATAATTAATCTTTTTCGGATTATACTATATTTTATAGGGTCGCCCACATAGGTTCCTTTCCTAAGGTCGCCATCATGTTCATGCTTTAGCTTTAGATGGCGGTATCCTGCGAATTTCAATTTTGAAATGATTTGTCAACTGTGTATTTTTAAAGGTATAATTGTTTAATTGAATGATATTATAGGATTGTACATGTATTTTAAATTTTGTTAATAATATATATGTACTTATTTTGTATATTACTCTCTATTATGTTGGAAAAATGCAGAAATAAAATAACACACACAAACAAACTTTTGATCCCATCTAGGCTCCAATATTTAATGTCCTTATTTCCAGCATAAAGGCAAGCCAATGCACAAGTACATGTAGACGTCATTAATATGTAGATATTACTCTTGCTGCTAACTGACCGGCATCAAAAATGTATTAAAAGAAAGTTTAGTTCCTTTCAGTTCAAAGATTAAAATGATTTTATTTCTCTTGCAAAACGTAATACAAGGCATAATTATTACAAAAAGAAAAACACTGAAACAAGACAAATATAATAGTAATGGCACGAGAAAACAAGAACTCAGTAGAAGCAGAGCTTGTTGCAGTATTAGTTTCTCAGAGGCTTTCTTAGAAAACGTCTTGAAAACAAAGTACTAAGTTAGAGCTTATTCCAAATTCTTTGTAGCATCAATGAAAGTTTCATGCACAAGAGATGTTTTTACGAATTGAAAGACGAAATAAGCACATCAATTTCACAGCCAGACTCAAGGATACTAGTGTTTAAGAAAGAAAATAAAAGTGCTTGAATTTAAGCAAAACTTATTGAATATTTAATATTACTACATTGGTCCAGTTTGAAAAAAACATACAAACAAATAAGCTAAAAGAAGAAATGCCGTTCAAATATTGATATGCCTCCGCCAAAATGGTGCCAGTTGTACATGCGTCTGTACGTTCGCCCCACTTTTCGTCATAACATATCTCGTTAACTTCAAGAGACATGGAGCAATTTGAATCAAACTTTGAGAAAGTATGAATGAGCAAAAAAAATGCTGAATCGATTAGATCTTGGGTTGAAAGGGTCATAAATTAAGGTCACAGGGGCAGAAAAGGATTGAAAATGACCAGGAAAAAAATCTCGTTACCGTGATAACTTCTGAAGCAATTCATACCAAACTTGGATGAGGTATGAATGAGTATAATATGGATGAACTGATTCAACTTTGGGCGTCAAAGGCCAAAGAGTCTTACAAGTGTTAAAAACTGCCAGGAAAATATATGTCGTTATTTGAACAGCACTGAAGCAACTCAAACCAATAAAGGAACATGTATTCAGAGGTTTATTAGAGACACAGTCCCATTCATTTTGTTCCTATATCTGCCCAATATTGAGAAAGTAGTATTAAATATATGATTCAGAAATATAAACAAAGAGAAAAGAAAGGATTTACCCAACAATATTGCCCAATAAATATCAGAATCTCATTAATAATGCAAGCATTAATCCAGGTTGTTTTTAAACATCTTCACAAAATTCTAAAACTCTATCAATTGTCAATTACTATCTTTATCAATATTTATACAGTCAACCATCATTGCAAAATAATTTTAATTTAGTTTTTTTTTTAAGTATTACATAACCAACGACCTGTTTAATGATGAAAACAATTAATCAAGACAAAACATTCCTAAAAATGTCAAATACCACTACCTCACAATTTTCTCAAATATCAATCAAGGATTAGTGTAACACACTGATTTGAAATATCAAATATCGTATGTTATTGTACTCCTTATATGAATGTATAATGTTAATTAGGAGTCAGAAATTAAAAACTACCCAACAAACGAATACAGAATAATTATTGCTAACAATGTGTAATTGTATGCTATCACAATCTCGTTATTTACACACATTCTATCTGCATTAACAGTCATATTATGCATATAATATGGAGTGTTTAAAAAAACTACTGAAATTCAATTGAGGCAGGTTGCTGCTTCATATTCTGTCTACAGATGTTGGCTTACATAAAGCCGATAAGGTATCAGTGTACATGAAAACAACTTGATAACCGTTAAATATGAGCAAAGCAACGTCTGTGATGTATTTACAAAACCGAAATCATTTTTTGGTAAATATACAGCTGAAAGTACTCGTTTGTAGACCTTCCTAGGATCAAATTATAAAGAAGCGTAATAAGAGAAAGGCGTTTATTCATAGATATATTCATTTAATTTTAATTTTTTTTTTTTTTTTTTTTTTTTTTTTTTTTTAAATAATAATTTTTTAAACATGAGAATTTTTTTTTTTAATTGTACCTAAAACGTGAAAACAATATAATTTCATATTTTCCAGAAAATTTAATTTCAGTATTAGTAAACTGCATGATTATACCCGATGTTGATTGAATTTCAATGAAAAGACACTTTGAGACTATTTTCTTCTTCTTTTTTAATTCCTCCTATTCCTTATTCAGTTCTTGTTCAAATAAATCAATGGCACAGTCCCTCAATTTCTCCCTATTTCTTACAATTGATATCTACGCTTGGGAAATGATTAGTATTCATAAAGAAACTGTTTAAATGATACCACGATAACTCAATATGTCAACTTCTCGTAGAAATTAGGTTTCTTTACCCTTAGTTACTCTCGCTTTTACTACTTTTTTTGTAATATCCCTTTCGACATAAAGTTGAATATTCTGTCACATGTGATTGGAAGAATAACCTTTACACACAAGTCAATCAGTGTCATACAATTTGCCAAAGTTTTGTTTTATCTTTCTGCGATTGTCTATCTAGTAAGTGTGTGGGTACGTGTCTTTTTTTAAATACCATTCATCTTGTAAGAATTAAAAACATCGTACAAAATTGATTTGGACACACACTCATACACACACGCACACACACACACATACACACAACCTCCTTTAAAGTAGTAAAAGCGAGTGTTACTTAGGGAAAAGAAAAGTTAATTTCTACGAGAATTTTAAGGGGCTGTAGATTTGGGGCCTGTAACATTGTCCGCATACACGAAAACGCGTTAAAACAAATAGGTGCACATTACACATCCTCGTTCGATCCGATTTTTCGTAGAAAGGGCGGTTGTTTTAGATATGGAAATCTAAACAACCACTATCATCCTGATTAAGGTTCTAAATAATGATGAAAATGTTAACGACTGAAACTTAGTGCACCTAACTCTTCTAGTCAGAATAAATATCAGAGTATCAGGAAAAGGGGTATCAAGTTCACTGGTGTTAAGGAAATACGTGAAAGGGTAGGAAATCTGACTTCCCTGGTCGGAAGCAGAGCTGCAGAGGGTACGAAATGATTTAAAAATCTAGTGGAAAGACTCTTCCTTTCAGGCTAAAAAGTCTAAGAGAATCAATCTACGAATAGGACGTACAAATATACCATGCAAGATATAAAATCCCTGTTAAAGTACTTCTTGTAGCTACTTGCTCCCTCTATATAGAAAACAATGCCTAAGCGGTGACCATTGGTTCCCCATAATCCTCTTTTTCTTATGTTAATTGAGAGCTGATTCAGTGACCTTGCAGGGTGGTCTAATCCCTCATGGCTAAACTAGTACAGACGAGCTTTAAGGGTTTATTAATCAGAGATGTTATAGTAGGAGACCAGCCTGTAGGTCCCTTGACCAATCTTGGGGAACAAAGGTTTGAAAGTGTTTTTGTGTTCCCTGATGAATACCGAACAATTTTGACTTGGGCTGCCCCCTTGAAAATCCCAGGCATTTACGTGAGGGGTCAACAAAGGTCATACAGGGTAGAAATTCAAATATACTCCAATCGTGTCGATATGCATATCAAATTTCTCGTCTGGTCATGAGGATTCAAAAAATGTATAGTTTGCTATACCTTCGATCTTAAATGAGGGCGCTATGGTCAAAAACGTTGAAAGGTCAACACACTTTTGACTGGTGGTCAAATTCACCAACACAGTGAACCTTATCAAATTTAATATCAAAGTACTCGTCTGGTCATGAGGATTCCAAAAATGTATCGTTTGTTATACCTCCGACCTTAAATGAGGGCGCTATGGTCAAAAAGGTCAATGCACTTTAGACTGGTGGTCAAATTCACCAACACAGTTAACATTGTCCGATTCTAATGATTTTAGTGTCTTATAATATGTTTTCTGACACGGCAAATTCAACTATACAACTTTCAAAAGTAAAAGTGCTTAACATGACCATGTACAATGGCTGCCGTTTCGGTGACAAACATATATAACTTCTTATCCATTTGTTTGAGGGGAATTTCAAGGTTATGGCAACCACTATTGGTTTTAAAAGTTGCTTAGTTGAATTTGTTATGTCAGAAAACATATTATTAGACACTAAAATCTTTAGAATCGGACGTTGTTAACTGTGTTGGTGAATTTGACCACCAGTCTACAGTGCATTGACCTTTTTGACCATAGCGCCCTCATTTAAGGTCAGAGGTATAACAAACTATACACTTTTGTAATCCTTATGAACAGACGAGTAATTTGATATGAAATTTGATAAGGTTAACCGTGTTGGTGAATTTGACCACCAGTCAAAAGTGTGTTGACCTGTCAACGTTTTTGACCATAGCGCCCTCATTTAAGGTCTGAGGTATAGCAAACTATACATTTTTTGAATCCTCATGACCAGACGAGTAGTTTGATATGCATATCGACACGATTGGAATATATTTGAATTTCTACCCTGTATGACCTTTGTTGACCCCTAACGAAAACGCCTGGGATTTTCAAGGGGGCAGCCCAAGTCAAAATTGTTCGGTATTCATCAGGGAACACAAAAACACTTTCAAACCTTTGTTCCCCGAGATTGGTCACGGGACCTACAGGCTGGTCTCCTACTATTAGACAGGTTTCCCTGTCAGGGGGTATCAAACCTACTCCTGATTTCGACCCTCGTTGAGGGTGGTTTTCAGAAGGTGATATTGCGCTTGGTGGTGTCTAGTGTGACTTTAGCTTCTGGTTCAGGGGATCGCGAACCTCGAGAATTAAACTCAGCCGACCCCGTACCAAGCGCAGCAGCAGCAGCATCAGGAGGGTTCGACATCAGACTCGGAATACCTGCATCCCCATCAGTACTGACAAACGAATCTGTTTCAAGGGAAAAAACAACAAACGTACATTGTTATTAGATGTAGTTATTGCAGGTATTGCAGGTTTCAAGCTATCCTTCTTTCTCCTCATTTGTCTTTTTTTGGGGGGGGGGGGTGGGGGTACCATGCTCTTATACTTTTCCCCGAAATATCCTCTATTTTCCTGCCCTTTTTGAGGTTGTCATTTCCCAGAACAGGTGAATTAACTGAAAAAGTGACATGGAGAAAGAGAGAGAGAGAGAGAGAACTTGGGGATTGACACTTGAAAGCGGGAGGGACGTAGACAGAAACAGAAGAAGATATTAGACGAGGTACTCAGAGGCAGAGACTGATAGCGGGAGTGGGAAAATTTACCCACATTAGATCAGGTAGACCAGTAGCAGAACAGGATAGTGAGAGAGGGGGAGGGAGATGGGAGGGTAAAACAAAGACAAAGACTGATAAAGAGAGGTATACAAAAAAAAGAAGATTGACGGAGACAGGTACAGACAGTATAAATTGGAGGGGACAGGGAGTGACAAACAGAAATGGAGTAGGACATAAAACAGAGACCCCAGTTTTCAGGCCAGAGCCCAATTGAAGGCACTGGAACCACTCCATTTCTAGGCTTCCTATTGTACAGTACAAACAGGACGCGAACATTATTTTCTCAGTCGCTTTTCAGGCTCATTGGATGAAATCATCAGGTATCCCTGCATAGAAGGAGAGACTCACCTAAACCGTAGCTGGTGATGCTGTTAAGAGGGCTAACAGCGCCTATGGGCGGACTGGAAGCCATTCGGCCAATTGGTGGACTCCTGACTTTCTGCTTGACGGGTGTGGTTGGGACGGAGCGTCGCCTCCGATTTATCATTTCAAGCCTGGTCGTGCATCTGTCCCTAGCGTTCTTAATGGTCTCTCGATCTAATTTGGGTACCTTGGTGTAGATGCGGAAGGTGACGTCTAGCAGTCGCTGCGGCAGGTCGGCTGGGAGCTGGTCAAAGATGAGCGATGCAACGATCAGTAGGTTTAATCTTAATTCTATTAACCCACTTGGTAAGTGCTGCTGTTATCAAATATGTTATTAATCTTATCGATGACTAATAAACACTTGAGACTAACCCTTGCATCCGTATTTACAGGGTCTATGGTTTAACAATTTAACAATATCTGCATCAGGACATTTTGAAGGATCAATGCTCCCCAGTTGTATTGGTCTAAATATTTGTGGTCATATGGTTGCTGTCCTAACCATCATTTTAAGGTTCTTTGATATGGAATCCTTCTCAAACATTGGTTTGTATGGAGACCATTTAGTGCAAAGATACATGGAATTAATATAATTGCTGCCCAGGGCACTTGTTAAAGTAAAAATGGTACCTCTCAGATTTAAATAGGGGCAATTATCAGAGTTGGTAAAAGGCACTTCTAAGAATGGGGAACGGTCACCTATTACAAATAAAAAGGGCACTTATCTGATGTAAAGGGGGACACCTTTCCCATGTAAAAAGAGGCACTTTAGGGGTACTTAAAAAAGTGAGGGCACGGCTCTGTCGCCTTTTCCGCCTCTGCTACAATAGATATAACAAAAAAGATGCTTCTTATTTCTAAGAGTGCCGAGCTGGGATCCAAACCCTAACCCCTTGGATTGAGAGTCAAACGAATTTAACACTATAACTCGTCATCTCCCCGTGGATAGTCGGTAGGTTTGTATAGGTTTGTACAGTTTGCATAGGTCATTTCTGAGTGACTAGTACACTGACCTTGTCCTCTGGTAGGAGCTCGGCATCAAATTTACCATCACCTGTTTTCTTGTAGAACGGGATATCGAGGAGAGGGTTCTTGTCTCCACTTCCGTAGTCAAAGTGTGATACCTATCATTAAATGAGAAAACAGAAAGTCTTCGGAAATCATCAGAATAAGCAAAATAAATTATTCAAAATTATATGTTACATGTTTTTATTTATCAAATAAAAACATTTATAAAAACTGTGTTCATTTCAGGAAACTTGTTTTTCAAAAAAGTAATTTCCACTGCAGTTCACTTTTTTTTTACTCTGAAATTGTTGAGGTTGATATATATAAATGATGAAACACCTAAGGGTGTCACTAGAAGCTCTTGAAGGGGGAGGCGGTGGGTAGCATGTCAAATTCGCCGACAATTTAGCCGGAGGAAAACAAATTCCACAAGAGTTCAAAGAGTGTTTAAAAAACCAAAACACTTTTTGGAGGACGAGTATGCGTCCTACCAGATTATGACATATGCAGTGATCTGACCTTTTTCCGTAAGGGGGGGGGGGGGGCACTCGTCTTTCTGATAGCTCATTATTTCGAAACACAAACTTCCCATATTAGGGGGTTCATAATTCCTAACATTTTGTTGCATTTCTCTGAAGGTTCCTTTATCTGACGGTTGAGAATTCCGAAAAACGAAATACGGTACATAAGTCCGAAAATGAAAAAAAAGATTATTATTCCGAACGTTCGTAAGTTAAAGGAAAAAAATATGTAAAGAACCGTATTTTATTTCAAGAATTTGTATTCTTTAGAATAACGACATTGAACTATTTCCATACAACAATGCTACACCCAGCCATACCTCGACTTCGATATTGTCAGCTCGGAATATCTCCATTAAAGAGGACGATGACAGGGATGAGAGATCGTCAGCATCAATTACGATCAATCGCTTAATCACAGCTGAATCTACTGTACGCATCTTTAATTGAAGAAAAAAAATCGTGATAAGCCTATATATATATATATATATATAAAATATATACATATCCTTCTATATTATTTATTTACTCTGCATCTCGTTAGATCTTGCTCCTCTGAACATTATATATATAAATATAATGAAAATACAAATTAAAACAATTATGATAATTTGAAATAAATATACATATTTAGGATTTTTGAAAGAGTTTTAGCATTGATGCCACGCATTACTCTTGAAATGCCATGGAATTTTTTCTATAGCCCTTTTTCATGTTCGGCTGGCCTACTATTTATTATTATTATTATTGATATTATTATTATCAATGGTATGATTATTATAATTTTTCATATTCTATTTTTAATTCATATTATTGTTATCATCATTATTATTATGGTTGTTGTTGATGTTTTATTATTATTATTATTGTTATCACCATTATCATTTATGTTTATTTAATCATTATTACTTGTAATAATGATATCATTATCACCATTTATTATCATCATTAGAGATGGATGGCGCAATCGGAACTACATTACAGCAGTAGTAGCCATGTCGGTAAATTACCCTGCCTTTAAATCATGTTATACTTGAAAGACGTCAAGTACCTCTTCGTTGGCATGTTGGCATTCCGCAATGCACTGGTAGAGTTCTCTCTTGTGTATTCGGTCTATGATCTCCCGTGCCTTCACCATTCCTGATTCTTGAGATCGTGAGCGCATAATTTCGTTGACAATGGTGTCATTGACTTGGCAGAAGGCCTCGGGGTCCTTCACAGATTCCAATAGGTTGTACTCCTTTCTGAAACAGTTTCATTTGCAAATACAAAACAAAGTTATAACAGTTATGGTATACAGGAGCCTGTTAATCAGTCAATAACATGATCACTTTCTACCCACATTTTAACGATTGCAAAATGTTCCCACTTACTCTTTGTTACATCCATAATAAATAATAAACACAAAATTACATGAATGTATAAGCAATACAAGGAATGTTGTTCTGATTCGTGAATGAAACTTACCCGCCTTTACCAACGAATACGAGATGGTCAGCAGCTTCTCGGAAAGCGTCCTTCAACCTATATAAAAGAATAAATTTAGAAATAAGGTTTTGTGATATGAATGAATTAATAATACCGTATATATTTGATATACAACTAATAACCATTACCGGCTAAGATGTATTTCCTCAGAAAGTGAATTCAAAATTACAAATTACAAACAAGTTGTAAAAAGAATGACAGCAGAAGCGAGATTGGAGGCTAAAACAGCCAAGCCTACTACTGTTCTCAAGAGCAAGAGACTGCATCAACCCCGTCAACGGGTAATAATGGTCACCGATCTTGGGCACCTCAACATTCCTTCATCTCACACCATCGCAGACAGAACACTAAGTTTGACAATCAGAGTTTCCGGGGAGGAACCAGCACTCGAGAACCGAATCGGCCCGGAAATCCCACAAATCTTCAGGTACTGGCAGGTATCACGACGTCGGGGAAAGGGGAGCAACAACGACTGGCAGACTCCAAAATATCCGACATCCATCACGACAGAACTTCATCAATCACCGTCGATCATAGGCTTAAGTCAAAGTCCAAAGACAAAGTCCTAGTATACCACTCTTTAAACAGATCAAAATTTCGCCTTCATACGATTTGATTACATTCAATACTCTTATTTTTATGACCAATCCCAATCCAAAAGATATTTGATATAGCGCCTTTTCCTTTTTGGTTACAAAGCGCTGCACACACCACCCCACGATGTTTGGGCCACTTAAAAACAAAAGTTAGTCACTTCTGAGAGATCAATCAAGTAATACGTAGGCTGGTAATAAAGTTATTTCTAGCAGAATAGATGTGACTTTTCTTGAACTGGTCAACAGATGAGGCCGTCTGCACAGCAGTAGGTAGCTGCTTCCACAGTTTTGCAGGAACCGATGGGAAAGACAATTCACCAGCACATTTCCTTAAGAGACACTGATCGAGTGAGCCAAATGGATGATGATGAGCGGGTATTTCGGACTCGAGGACGAGGAACCATGCAGTCAGCTATGTACGGGGGACATCGGTGGTTGAGAGAATTGTAGACCAGTAGTAGGGCAGCCAATGAAGTTGAAGTCGAAGAGGTTGTATGCGAGTCCGAAGTAGAGCAGAAAGGACAAGCTGTGCCGCTGAGTTTTGGAGTTTTTGAAGGCGATCGAGGTCCCTTCGGCTGAGAACACTGAAGAGACTGTTGCAGTAGTCTAGTCTGGAAAGGACAAGAGCTCTCGCCGCAGAGTGGCATGTTGACTTATTAATGTACTACGTAAGACATAAACACTTTTCTCGATAAGTATGATAATATTTTTATTAATAATTCAAATTTTCATTCATAGGCCACTAGTCAAAAAGGCCATTTTCATCAACCCCGAGTAAGACTTACTTCTTCACTAATGTCATTAAATATCTCTGGAGTAAAGAAATAGAACCAATTGCCCACTTCTATTAAATTAAGTTCAACTTATAACTGTTTTAAAAAGCTTCGTCGCAAATACATATTTGAAAATGTGTTAAATTAAAGTTTAGACAAATCGAATGTTTTCATATTTATAACTTTTTACAAACGCTTTCGTGTAGGTATGTGTGTGCAGTATTTTGTATATGTGTGCGTGTGCGTGTGCGTGTGAGTGTGTGGGTATGGCGACTGTATCTATTAAGTTTCTTTTATGTGAGTGGTAAAGACTGGTATTATTATTTAACTGACTGTGGGGCTATTGTTACAAACTGGTCAACCAAAAACGCCAAATTGTAAAGAATCTGAAAATTAAATTCATGCAGCATGGTAACATGTCTGGTAATATTCGCTACTTTTGGGAAAAGCAGCTCTACAATACTAACAATCACACTGTCTTATGTCAAAGAAAGACGATTGCTCTTTATAACAAAACCAGTGCGTACCTGTGCATTTTGCAACTTTTCTCTTTTTTCCGGTGTACTTATTCTGATGTACTGATCATTCCATGCGTGGAGAATCATTACAAAATGGACATCAATTTGAAAAGATTTTTTTTCTTCTGAATTATATACATGTAAAAGCAAAAGATATAATGCATTACACATTATGATCAACAAAGCAAATATATGGTCAGGGCCACAAAACAGCAAATCGCTTATAAATAGGGCCCCATAATGCAGTGCATTTTGCAACTTTTCTCTATTGTTCCTGTCCTTTTCTATGATGTACTGCTCTTTCTATGGGTGGAAAATCATAACAAAAATAATTTTAAAACACCCTCAAACGTGGGTTTCCCACCATTTTTGAAGGGTTAATGACAAACAAATATCGTGCTAGAAAGTAAATTTCATTTAGAGTAATTGTGATTTCGGATCATTGTCCATATAAGTCCATTACTCTCAGGAACTGAAATTATAAGTGTACTTGCTGTGTTTTTGTATAGACCTGTCACAAAAACAGTGCATGTACATTTTCAGCTGCAATGGAAACGATTTCGTATACCTCTGCCAAGTATTATGCTTAACTTTTTTCAAATCAAATCAAATCAAGTGAAAAACAATTTTTTGTATCCAATTACATGATGGTGATGATCTTGCTGACCCTATGCTGGTAAGATGTATAGTGAAGACGGCGTCTTGTGAGAAACATATGGTTCAGATCACTCGCTACCTAAAACAATGAAGAAGATAAAAATGTTCATTTAGAAAGAAGGACACTATAAATGTATTCAATTATCGATACTTCGAATAAGAAGTAACGCAATGCAGTAATGTTGTTATGGTTAGGTTTGTGTAGGGTGAGGTTTGGTACAGGGCTAGGATTCGGTAATAGGGAAGCCCCTAGCCTAAGCCCTTACAGATAAAGTTGGATGCTTGTTAGAGAATAACCCATCATAATCATGATAATTTACCTAAAATGGTCAAATATGCAGCCGTCTGAGGGTTCAGATTCACTTCTTGTATCTAACACTCTTTATATGGTAAATATTTGAACCTCTTATGCCGGCTCTTATGGTTTTATGTTGCAAACTTCGTAGTCATGCTCCGTCTCGGATGCAAACGCTTACGTTTTTGAGACACAGACTTGCACCCTGTGTAGTGGTGGTTGTTTTACCTGACTTTTACCTGTTAGTAAGGAACAAGAGGACCGACGGCTTTAGGTCCTCTTCTCCGAGAAACCTGGTAATGAGGATTAATGCCTTACCGAAGGGACACTAGCGCATCGCCTTGGTTTCGAACCCGGGTCGCCGGATTACGAGACCACTGCTCTACAAACTGAGCTATCGCGCCCGCTTGCACCCATTTTCGAGGTTCTGCTATTTATACCGTTTCCACGATTTCGGGTGCAGATTTTGACCTGTATATTTACCTTGTCTCTAAAGCAGAGTTCTCCCCTGGTTTTACTTCCTCGCTTCACATCAAAAACCTTCACGAAGGGCAGAATACGATTGAAGTCGAATGCAGATTTCATGCCTAGGTAGTGGGTGTCCCGAGCAAAATAGTCCCATTTGTCCACGTCCACCCCGTTTACACTGTTGTTCACTATCTGATACAGGCAGAACTTGTTCTCACGAAGCTGATACGTTTTAAAGGATATAGTGAGAGAAGGTTGAAGAAAGCAGGCAGAGATTCAGAGAGAGAAACAGAGACAGACAGACAGACAGACAAAGAAAGGCAGACAGAGAGAGGCACACCGAGTATTTACGAGAAAGAGACAGGGAGAGACAGACAGAGTGTGGGAAAGAGACGTACATACACCCGGGTATGGAGAGAGAGAGTGTATGTGGGGGAGGGGGAGGAGAGAAGAGAGAAGTAAAAACAAAATAAATTTCTTGTTCTGTTGTCTTATGTTTTGTTCATCTAATCTCATTTGATATTACCATGCTATTTCTTTCGCTGTTCATGAATAACATTTTTATATTGTTTTAATCAATTTCTGAATAGGTATATTACTTATAAAGATTATAAAGAAGACGATTTCTTTCTCCAAAAGGTCCATGTCTTCTACTAAACACACACGCAAACACACACACACACGCAAACACACACGCACACACGAACACACGTACCCACGCACATGCAAAGTCATCTAAAATAATGACATTTCCGAGTAAAAATGGTCCTCTAATCTAAACTAAACCAACAAAAGTATGCCAACGGCAATCACACGACTTTGCCAAGAGGAGACCAGAGGCTTGGACAACTCAAATCCCCCACCAATTCTCTCTCTCTCTCTCTCTCTCTCTCTTTCTCTCTTTTGATGGTTTCATTTATACCATTTCTTCATCCTTCTTGACACCCAGAATTAGCTGACAGATGAAATCGATATCTTTGGCGTAGATATTGTGTTCCTCGAGCTTCTTCTCTAGGCTGTTATGCTGGATGAGATATCTGAACAAGATGACCGACTGCTCCTCATGCTGCAATTGTCATGGAGATAATAATATGATTGAGTCATTACTTAACACATATGCATAGAGGTAAAGAACACCGGATCGCAAAGTCTTTCGAAAAATCAGCTTAACACAATCACAATAGCCTTTCTCATCACATATTAAAATGGGAGAACATTATATTGACGTTTTATGTAATACGAACATGATTCCTATGGAATATACAATAAGATATTGAAATTGCTTTGAAATACATTTTTTTAAGTATTTGCGATCGTGTTAAGGGCAGCATAGTTTTCAAAGAGGGTGATATCTCCTGCACGAATATCAATTTTCAAAGCTTAGATTTTGCGAACGAACGAGCACAGTCAAACACTTTCTTTGGCAAAATCTAATACTGTCTTGAAGATACAAATTTGATATAAATATTACGAACTGACCAACTTTCTGATGAATTAAGATTTCTTTTTTTTCAACTTATGTTTTGACTTAATTTATAATTTTTACGATATATTTCACCCAGCCATTCCTTTCGAAATATTGCCTGCCAGTAACACGCTGTATATTCATATAATGAACACCAAATATTAAAACATCAAGTTCTTCTAAATTTCTTCCTAGCCCTGTCCCCTTGAAATGCTGAACCTGATTTAACTATGAAACCCAGAAACGGATTAATTATATAACAAGTGTAACTTCGACTCATATCCATTTACTCCTAATAACAAAGATGGATAGTCGCCTCTGAATATGAATGTTTGGTTTGTTTGACCTGAGTGCTAAGAAAGCATGTGTATACTTGTAAGCGATCATCAAGGGGAACGATGGCCAAAAGTCCTCTCCAAGGGACTTGGTGATGAGGATTAAAGCCTTACTAAAGGGCACTGGCTCATCGATTTGGATCCGAACGCGGGACTTCCCGGTTATGAGACTACTGCTTTACCAGTGAGCCATCCGTCGTGTCTGTAATTTATTCAACTTACTTTCCATTTCTTGCCATCCTTGTCTGGTGGTACGATGTCTTCAAAGGCATGAGAGAAGGGACCATGTCCGATGTCATGGCAGAGACCGGCGATCTCAACACAAGCGACCTCGGTGTTCTGAATAGGGACGCTGCTGTTACGATCATTATGTTGGAGCATTGAGGCAAGTTTGCCTCCCAAGTGGCTGACACTGCATTGAAAATGGAAAAAGTAATTTATGCTGAAATGAAGATAGTTTGTTGATCTTCTTTAACTAATATTATTTTGTAAGACAGCTCCTGGCAAATAACAGACGGCCATTTATTGTCATAGAGACTGACAGATGGTTTCATTCGGAGAAAGTACAAGAACACACAATCAAGGATTTCATCAACTTCAGGTCAGAAAAACATACGAATTGTTTTTTCTTCTTGTCTTTATAAACACAGATTTCGTGTTAATTTTCTTCCTAAGTGAATTTATATTAAAAGGATTCAATATTCTGTCACATGTCTTCTCATGACCAAGAAATCAAACTTGGCAATATTCGATTCATCCGTTCTCTTACCGGTTATACGAGTCATGCTCCGGCCTATCTATGATAATAATATAATAAAAACGTTACTTATGAAGCGCTTACCACCGAAGTCTCTAAGCGCGTGAATATCCTACACTAACCGAAGTCTTAACTTTAACACTATACCTAACACTAACCCTTTACCCCGTATCTTACCAAAAACCCAATTACAAACATACTTTTGACGGAAGACAGCCCGCAGCAAATAACAAGATCTAGCATCTCCATTTCCATCTGTTCCATGGAAGTTGAAATGCTTGAATTTAAGGGACGTTGTTTTTCAGTACTTTAGAATTTATATAGAGATTTTGCAATTATTTATTCATTAGTGATAACTAATACTGACGGGAAACTTTTGTTGTAAGAATGAAAACCCTATAATTGAATAAAGATAAGTTGTGGTATATTCTGCGTTCAATCTTCATGGTGTCGTGGTTAAACCAAAGGCAAGTATCAAAACTGGTACCGGAGATAACATCTTAAAACTGTGCAATAGAGGCCATTGCAGGTATAGTTCTACGTGATTATTGGTCTTCCATTCGTTTGTTGATTTACATCCCTACTCCCTCTACCTGAGAATTTGTCCCGTTTCCATTTCTACTCGACCCAATAACCCTTAAATAACTCATTATGAAAACTTAACGTACCCTATTGAGTGCTCAAATCTGGTATGGACGGCGCTTGGGAACACATAACAGGTACAGCCAAGCTGCTTGATAAATCGTAGTCTCTGGAACTCTGGTGTATCGATGATTATCTGGCAATGCTTCGGCATCTGAACACTGCTATGAATGGGGTCATTGAAAACCTGTATTGAGAAAGAGAAAGAAACGGAATTTCGGAACCTTCAATCGGGGAATTTTCTTAAATTTAGCTTCCATTTTGTGTACTGATGGTTGATTTTTTAAATTACAGCATGTGATGGCGGCCGGGCGTTGGCTCAAAAGAGGACCGTAGGGCCTACAAACAAGCAAAACCTAATCTAGAATGCTTTGAGAGCAGTTTTATGTATTTAGGATGAGTTATCTGGATCTCATTACCTATTAATTTACAGAATTCAACATCTATTTCTTCATTTAAATACCTTAATAATTTTGTTTTACTTTCATTAATATTCTAAATAACCAATGACTCCATGGATGTGTGTATATATCTTTTTTACCCACTTAAATATAAGTTTGTTTGTTGGTGTGTGTTTTTCTTACTTTGTTTCAAATCATTCTTTTTGTGATTCTGGGTAAATCTTTGAATGTACATACATATCTTTAGTCGCTGGTTATTTTATAAAATGTTATATTGTTTATTAGCCATGTAATATATTTTATGTTTTGCATGTTTCATTGATATTATGTATTTCATTGTTATTTTGTATTTTACCATGTACAGGACCAATATGAAAAACATCTGTGGCTGATATTGTCATCCTCTATAAATATCTTTAAATAAAAGGGAAAAAATAAAAAATAAAGTATGCTGACTTTCCGTTGGGCATCTTGTTTCAATGTCTCAATATCTGTTGCAAAATCATCTCTATCGTGGATGAATCATTGAAGGCAATAAATAAACCTACATAGAAATATATTTTCCAATAAACTGAATTTATTTTACATTTATATAATAGGTAGTGTGGGTTTGCTTTTTTGATGGGTGGGTGCATTTTACTAGAGTTGGTAATGTTTAGAATATTGTATTAACAAGTTAAAGAACTTATTAATCAATAAATTAGTTATTTTTTTCTTTTGTGTTTTATATAATTGTACCCCTCGATAGAAAATGTGAGCAGGGCAACTATTTGTACCATTTACACTAGTTTGTTATTTGTGTTATATCTTTTGATTCCAATAAAAAATAAATGCGATTGAGCGTAGCGACCGATCAGAAAGAAAAATTACATTCTGGAAAGCTGACACTCTGTATTACCTGCCTTCTCTTAGCATCGCTGCTCCTGTCATGTAAATATCATTTAGAAGTATCAATTCATATAGAAAATGATAAATTGTTCACCAACTATGGTAATGTAATAAAACCGAAGTATAATGCTTACAAAATAGTTGATTACAATTTTACACTAAAGAAAGAAGATAATGTACTACATTGTAATACTAATGGCTTAAGAAAACCAATAAATTAAGGACAATGAATTGCTTAGATTTATCAAATGATTATTAGAAACACGATCAAATAATACTTCAAATCACGAGCTAAGCGTTTATACGTCTTTTTTTTTCTTCCCCTTTTTTAATTTTTTTTACTTGCGACTTAAAGGCCTCCAGTAATAGTGTATAGTAGGGATTCGACCACACTGCAAGGTCACTGGACAGGTGGTTATCTCATCAACTCAGCTTTCAATTAACATAAGAAAAAGAGGATCATGGGGGACTAACGGTCACCGATTGTGCATTGTTTGTTATATAGAGGGCGCAAGTAACTAATAGTAGTGCAGGGGGGCTTTAATTTCGAACATTCACATTCACATTCACGTCCATGCAATATATTAGTGTTCACACGGGATTGGTTAGGACGGTCGGAATGGAAATTTGCTACTTTTTGATATACCTGACATTTTGTCATAATTACTTTGTTCACTGCCCGTCTCGACGACTTGAAGACAATTGACTTCACCGTTGACAAACACCATAGCCACTTGGTGGTAGACAAGCTGGCAAGTAGCCAAAATGCTCATGGAAAAAATTATCCACCGGAAGACATAAACACAGCGTTTAGGTTTTCCCGAACAATAAACTCTTCTTAAAAATAAAATTACATGTTCGGTTAAGGCGTGTGTTGTCATGGGGAGAAAATAAATTAGGTCTATTTCAGTTTAAATATTATAGAGGTGTCAAAGTCTAGTGGATGTTACTGGACTGTGGATCACATGATTCGCGGCACTAATGTCATACTATCCACCCAGGTGTAAAAAATGGGTACCTGAAAGGAATTTATTCCTTGAATGCCTTGAGCGCATTAGGGCAGCTGAGCTAAAGTCAAGGTAATATTTTACGTCGTCTTGAAACACTGTACACACACTGTATGGAAAAGTTCACATATTTACACTTGTTGTTTTGACAAGTATCGCTATGTCTATATTTTCATTGATGTAGCATACTTTAACCATCATATAGTAAAGAAGTATGACGATATACTTGCTTGATTGTAAAGGTTACTGATTCCAATCTAATTTGTGGATAACAATAGTATGCTGATCAAATCGGCCCCATCAGCCCTGCTCCAACCAGTTGCTTGAATGATTTTGCGGTAAACCTCGTGCAAATGTGAGGTTAGCACTTCGGTATCTTTAAATTATTCGTGTACTTTGTGATATTACAACTATTGTAACCCTCTATCTTGTAAAGTCTTTCTTCTTGTGAATGCGTTCCCTTTTCTCCTCCCCTTCTAGTTCTCACCTTCTCTCCTTATTCTCTTTCTCTCTCTCTCTCTCTCTCTCTCTCTCTCTTTCCCTCTCCCCCTCTCTCTCTTTCTCGGTCTATTTAAAAAAAAACGAGTTTTAATAACTCTACATAAGGTACAGGTGTATTTACATCCCGTGTTTTGTTTTCTTTCCTCTTTTCTTATAGTCGGGTCCATTGTCAATTTTTTTTCAACGGTTTCCTATGTTGTTTGACATCAGGAACAACATCATACAAATCTAAGAAAATCAGACCCCTGGAAAGCGGTTATTTTAAAAATGGCGTCCAAGGTGGCCTTCAAATATCTTTAAATAGCCATAAATTATGATATATCCATCTTAGAGATGTGATTTTGGTGTTTAACCCTAGATATGGGGGGGGGGGGGTAAACGAATCAATTCATACAATGTAGGAAACCTGGAAATCTGATCTAGATGGCGTCTAAAAACACCAAAGTTACATCACCAAGATGGATATATCACAATTTACGGCTAGTTTCAGTTTGCATTAAAAAAAAGCGATCTTCTTCCGTAGTGTTTTGAGTACTGCTCTAAACCTTTAGAACAATTGAGAGCATACCACTGGGTATCATGACCTCTAAAACATACTTCTTATCTTGCTAATTATAGTTTTGCTGTAAATAGAAACTCCCATCTAGTAAGTTATAGACTAGTGGCCATTTTGGACACCATCTTGTATTTCTAGGTTTCTGGTGGCCATAAACCATTGTAAGTGCGATTCATTGCACATATCATATTTGTGTGTCAAGCTGGACAGCTGTATGAAGCTTTAAACCATAATATTTTCCTAATGAAGCAATAGGCGAGCATGATTTATGAAAATGTTTCTGAGTCCAAATCAAGTAACTGATTACCTTTGAAAGATCCATCCTGTCCATGAAACGTCTGAATCGTAATTATTAGGCCGACGTGATCAGAAGATGATGTACATCTCGAGTCTACAAGTATTCATGCGAAGTGTACTGGCCAAATCTCATGAAAAGCATAAGATTCGTGGTATTATACAGGAACGATAATGCATTTCTTTTGTATAGATTACTAGTTCAACACAAGTCTGATATCTCGACTTCAAAAAGCGATCAGTAACAGGGCGTGGATGCTTTACCTCTCCGAGTCCTATACTATACCAGACACGTACTCCGTTGGAATTTCACATCGCTCTACTTTTCAGGTTATTAACCCTACAAATCACACTCTATTTCCAACCGGATCGCATTTGTTATTCAATCCAACTACTTTGATGCAGTCTAAACCAAAAAGTTGTCTCATGTGAAATGTTTAGTTTGAGAATGGCATTCTCGTACACAACGCATTCAGCGTCTTTAAAGTGAATCATGGGACTGATTCAAGATATAGTTCCTCTAAGTGCGTCTCATTTCTGGGGTTTCCCTTTTCAATCGTGCGAACAAGGGCATTCAGATATAAATATGCGTATGTGTGCGTGTGTATGTGTGCGTGTGTTTGTGTTGTTCCTATCGCCCTTTTTCATCTCCATCCTCTTCCCTATCTCTCTCTCTCTCTCTCTCTCTGTCCTTCTTTTCTATCTCGTTATCTCTCTTCCATTTTTTCTCCACCTTCCCTCACTCTCATCTCCCAATTCCACCTCTCTCTCTTTATATTATTATCTATTTTTCTCTCTTTCTCTCTCTCTCTCTCTCTCTCTCTCTCTCTCTCTATATATATATATATATATATATATATATATATATATACATATATGTCTCTCTCTCTCTCTCTCTCTTTACACCCTCTTCAGTCAACTTCCCCCTCTCTGCACCCTTAATAGATATAGCCGTAAAGTAAATAGAGCTTCATAAATGAAACTGCGAACGAAACTGCAAAGAACTGGGTAGCTTATGTATGGCATCACCTGGCAAACGGACGGACATGCTCTATTGCCATACACTAATTCATTCCTCCGTGCCCTTCATCAACTATTTATCTATGTAAGACACTTAGATTATATTTAAGGGAATAATCAACAGCTCAGATTTGGAAAATGCCTTCATATAAAAATTATAAAATCAAACATCACTCATAAGTCAAAAATAGTAAATAAACACGGAAAGATGAGAGCAACTATGAATGGCGTCCTCAGGCAGCCACCCCACCCTCCCCCCCCCCCCAAAAAAAGAGGACGGTTCTACAAATATGTATGACTTTTGGGGTTTTTGTTGTTGTTAGGCCTTTTGCCTGTATATTAGGCTTAATAATTATACATGTCCATGATAATACAAATTTTTGTTTGAGAACATAAATCTGTGGTGGATTATGGATATATTATTTTTATAAAACTCTCACTCATTGTTTGGTAAGCCAGTCACAGTTACCATAGGCTAGGAAACTCTACCATGATATTACATCCGATCGATCTACCGACGTGTGGGTTTTCCCAACACTAACGCTTTACAATAGAAACATGAAACCCATGTTTGTCGCAGGAAAGGTAGCTGGCATACTGCCAACATTCTCATGACTTGTATGATCATAAAGTAACGGGGATTTTCAAGCAATATAGATCTTACTATAATCTACTTGATCTCTGACGCTATTCATACACTCGGCTAATACGACCAAGAATTTTCTCTTGGAAGAAGAAGTATCTGAGATAATTTTTACAGATCCAACTTCCATATCTATACCTACTCTTCCGTAATAATGATAACAATGATAATAATAATAATAATCATGATAATTGTAACGGTGATGATCGTTTCTGCTATTATTATGATACAACATAATTTAGTATATGCCGACATAAAACCATTGTATAAGAAACAATGGGATGTTCTCATGAATGATGATACCTGAAGAAAAGAAAAGTAGAAGATCCCACAAAAAAGACCAAAAGCAAAGAGTGCTACATTGAACAAAAAGCTCTAAAGAGTTCGCACACAAATGAACATACATTTTTAATGTCCTTTGTCTAATGTAACGCAAACTCTCTGTTGATCTGATAACAATTAATCAAACTTACTTTTCCATTGTGGCGCCCAGCATGCATCTGTGTATGCTACGAACACAAACGGGTCAGAAAGAATGCACGTTGATGGAGCCTAAATCCTTAAAGCTTCGAAATCCAGCCTGGTATTGGCCAAGTACATATCAATTAATCATTGAAGAGAAGATTGTCTAGGATTTGAAGATCACACGTGACCAAACTGATAAGGCAGTTTCGATTCCATTCTGAAACTAGTTTATGAATGTTAATGAGGTGTTTGCTTTTTTTTCTCGATCATTAATGTTTGCAACAATAGGTACTGAACACTGTGATAATATACTATTTGAAGGGGTCAGAGAGAGTGGTGTATAAGGCTTTTCTACTCGGGCGCGGGGGGGGGGGGGGGTGTCATCATTCCCATTATTGGGTAGTCGAGTTGGTGATAGCAAGTCTGACTATTAAAAAAAAGGAACAATTTATCGTTTCATCTTCTTCACCCTACCCTGTGGTGCCTCTCCAAGAGCCCTCGTAGTAATATGGGATAGGGGTTGTGCCACCCTTGCCGAGCACAGCTCGCTGAGATGAGGTTTATAGAGGAAGATTAAAATAATATATTTCTGGTGTAAATGAAGGTAATTGTCCCCTTTTCACCCTGCAAAATCTTCGAAAAGGACTCCTAGCTACAAATTTCCCACACATGGGTCAAGAGAGGCAGATACAGATAAAATACCTCGATCATATTGGCAGCGGGCCAACGTTTGAGCCTTACACACATCTGTCTGAACATAGGTAATTAATTATTTAAAGTCGATTGCTTTTATCATCCATTTATTCTACAACAGCAATAAATAAACCTTTTTCCAATCTATATGTCCTAATAAAACACTAAGAGGAAATTTGTTTTGATTGATTAGTTGAAGATGCGACATATTCATCAATAAAATAGATCGCGAAAGTACTGCGGAAGTAATTTACTCGAGTATGTTTTCCTGTGCTGGATCACATTGGAAGACATAATGTAGTTTCTTTTCCAGTAAAAAAAATTGTGAAAAGGAGGAAGGAAAAAAAGAAGAAAAAAAATGGCGATAAGGAGAACAAGGCAATTGCCAATGAGCAGCTGGTTCAAATTCATTTCATCTATAATCTTAGACTTTAAACGTACATATTGAAAGTAGATGTAGATTTAACATTCATCCCTTGTTATAGTTCCTGAAGCTTTGGATGGAAAGGGGTTATATAAAGTTTGTTTTTCATTATTATTTTTTGTTAAACATCTTTATTCCGGATAAACATGATCATCAAAATATAAGCCCATAATAAGCCGCGCAAAAGATGTTTACACTTTATTATTCAAAATCCCGAAAATTGTCATTGGTGTGAAAACGACTTTTAAATCCAAATTATGCAAACTACAAAAAAATCAGTCTTACGCACACGCATACGCACACACACTTTTTTTATTTAAAGTATTTTTTTTTTTATTTCTCCAAATGTGGAATACAAACAATAACTGAATAAAATAAACGTTTTCAATATTAATTGATTATACATAAACATAATTAAACACACGCGCACACACACTCACACCCACTCACACACACACACACAATATGTTTGTGCGTGTGTGAATTCATTGTTATTTTAGCCTTCGTTCTTCTCATAAACTGATTCTTTTTTTTCCCCAATATCCCGCTCCTAATAATTATCTCTGGTGTCTCACACCTTTTCATCCTTTCCACATCATTTCCACGTGTCTTTTTTTTTCTTCATTTTTCCATTAGTGCTTTTAATCAAAGTCATTTGTGACTGATTGGTGTTATATTTAAATTACCTGATGGGGATCCAACTATTGTCACAATACATAAATCAAACATTATACTTGATCAGCCACCCCAGAGAGTCTTTCAGTTTATACACTGAAAGACTCTCTGGGGTGGCTGACATAGCACTATACTGAAGAGAATCCATAATTTATCATTTTACCGGTGCCTCGAAGACAGAGCATGGTATATTTAATTGATATTTGATTGATATCCTTTAGCAAAAAAAAAAAAAAAAAAAAAAAATTAAACATACTACTTCTATACCAACAATGATAATAACAAATTTATTTAAAAAAACGTAAATTATGCATGAACTTGAAAATAACTACAAATCACCATACTTGTCCGCAGCGATATAGAGTCTGTGTAGTCTACTAAAAAAATACACGGAACAATTCTCTGGACATTGATAGATTGATTTATTTTATTTATTTAAAACATCTTTATACAGAGTAATACGTTCAGGTATACCGTTTTTCAGATGGCCCTGTCAACATTCAAATGCAAATAATATATGACATGTATAACAAAGTTTCAAAATACAATAATTTAATTGCATATGTTGACATGAAATTTTAAAAAATAGTAACAAATCAGGAATGTAATTATCATTTGACATAACATACTACTGTATTATACATACATTTTTTAATTTTTTAATACGAACAAGTACAATAAATATGAATATTCACAAACTACAACGTCAAATAAATCCGCATGCTGGTGTATTCATTTAGTTAATTTTGATTATACATTATTATTATTTCTTATTATTATTATTATTATTACTATTTATATACTGCGATTTTCCCAGAGCGACCCAAAGCGCTTACAACAAGAAGAATTCTACAAAAAAGGAAAATGAAAACTTACAGAATCCTAAAAATCTTGATTACAAAACAGAAATGTTTTAAGTCCCTTTTTTGTTTGTTCTGAAGTCGAAACTCTTGAACATAATACCAGGACCAACAAAATATGTCAATAACATATATTTTCAAGTCGATACTGATGCCAGTGTAAAATTATTATCGACCAAAGAACGCTTTGAACATGTAAAAAGATGAATGCAATATGGAATTTGCGGCTGACTGATCTTAATTTCACACTAATTCCAACTAATTTTGACAATATTGGTAAGAAAATTTCTCAAATTTTAGTGGCTAACCTCAACGATAGCCTCATTACTTTTTGATAGTAATATATGCGTGGTAGTGCGCGAATGCCGGCTCGGGGTGCCTGACGTCAAATGGGGTATACCTCGAGGGTATTCCCCTTATCACGTCACACATATCTATTTTTCCATGATAGAAGTATTTTTACATTTCGTGAGCCATCCATGCAAGACCAGTGCCTTGGGCCTAGACCCCACTCCCCATCCATATTATTTTATGTAGGACATAATAACTATATATTCATTTCTATCAAACACAACTTATACATGACAACGGGTTGTTCTCACAGGACCTGGTATTACTATAATAAATGCAATTAAAATAATAGCTAGGACTGCGCAGCTACGATAACATGTCTGTAATTAGTGATAAACTATGAATTTCTGCCCATAGAATATGTACCGACCATTGTAATTGCACATTATGTTGAGCAAGCTTCTACCTCGGAAATTCATAGAATAGTACTTGATGTCCATCTCGTTCCTATGATAACATGTTTTGTAATCTGAAACTAGGCCTACTCAGCGTTTGTCGTCGAGAAAAGAAATGGCCGTAACTTCCTTGTTGCTTTAGTCAGTGGTGATAGTTTTTTTTTCCCTCGACCACGCCCCCCTTGAGTAAAAAAAGAGAAGAGGTTTCGGGGGGGGGGGGGGTGGCATCTTACAACATTCCCCCTTTAGAATAAGGAAATTGAGAAAATAAGGGGAAAATCGGGAAAATCGGGATAAAATCGGGAAGAAAAAAATTGGAAAAAAATTCGGGGAATTTTTTTTTTAAAAATCGGGATTTTTAAAATTTAATTATTTAAATCAGAAAACCGATTTAAATCGGGTAATTATCAGGCCAGATCAAGCACAAACTGTTTACGCCCCTGCAAGGAGTTCCTGGTTGTTTTGGAAACCTAAGAGATAGACTTCTAACAAATTGATTTATTACAAATAATGTGTGCAAATATACACGGTCATGCATGCCAATTATGTACATACATATTCAACTTTTAAATGAACATATTTCCCCTTTCAAGATATTGATACATTACATGATTCACAAATAATGCAGTATGTATAGTTATATTTTATATACTTGTAGATATATTAAATTAAAGAACTGTTCAAGTGTAACGTTATAAAAAAAAAATAGGGAACACCACAGGATGAATAAGGTCTTTAATACTTGAGAACGGATGTTATGCAAAACAAAGGATAGAAGGTGATTTACTATGAAATTCAAAGAAACATTTGCCGTCGATATTGCCGGTCTTATTAAGTCAACACGTCATTATTTAGAATGAGTATTCATTAAGCTTAGGGTGTAGACACAAACCTTTTAAAGACCGTCAACACTACTGGGTCAGGAGGGATTAGACCACCCAGCCAGGTCACTGACAGGTGGCTATCTCATAAACTCAGCTCTAAACTAACATAAGAAAAAGAGGATCACGGGGGACCAATTACAGGCACCGATTGGGGAAGTTTTCTGTATAGAGGGAGCAAGTAACTACTAGTAGGACAGTGGGGCTTTAAGCTTTACGATTCTCATATGAACGCCGAAGCCTTTCCGCATTACTTCCGTGATCATTCAAGGACTTACATTGTAACGTTTAACCAGCCAATCTCAAGTTCACTAAACAAACAATATAGTCCATCATGACGCATATCATATAATGCAAGCCCTTGTCGTGTGACCAACGCTTACTGCTCAGGCAAAGTGTTAAGAACTTGAAAGTTTAGGTATTTCTTCCTTTCTATTCCCTTTATCCCACACCTCCTTCTCTCTCTCCACTCGTCTCTCTCCCTCTCGCCTTTCTCTGTCTTTTCATCACCTCTCTCCTCTACTATAACACATCTCTCTCATGATTCTATAACCACTTCTTCCTATTCACCGAATGAGTACACTAATATATTGCACCATTTAAAGTCCCTTGTTTTCTATACCGTATAATCCTTTCTATTCTCTTTCTCCACTCCTCTCTCTCCTTCCCTCTTATGTTTCCATCTCCCCTCTTCTCTCTCCTTCCCCTTCTCTCTCTCTCTCTCTCTCCTTCCTCTTCTCTCTCTCTCTCTTTCCCCTTCTCTCCCTCCTTCCCCTTCTCTGCCTGTTCATCACCTCTCTCCTCAACTACGACATCTCTCTCTTGATCTCGTGATCACGTAACCCCTTCTTTGTATCACTGAAGGAGTATACATTAATATATTGCACCATTTAAAGTCCCTTCTTATCTATAGTCTAATCCTTTCTATTCTCTTTCTCCACTCCTCTCTCTCTCTCTCCTTTCCCTCTTCTGTCTCCATCTCCCTTCCTCTCTCCCTCTTCCCTTTTTCTGTCTTTTCATCACCTCTCTCCTCTACTACATCTCTCTCTCTCTCTTGATCTCGTGATCCCGGAACACCTTCCTTCTATTCACTGAATGAGTACATTAAATTGATTTATCACACCATTTAAAGTCCCTTATTCTCAATACAGTCTATAATGCTGAAATCATTATTTATAGTATCAGGTATCATAGTTGGATATCAAATCGTAAAGAAATTGGCATGATTTAAATTTGAATAGGTTGAACAGTATAATTGTTAAATTTCAATTGACACTTTGATTAATTCAGTTTCAACTACGGTAATGTGTCATGATACAAATGGTAATTTAAAGAGATGGCAGACCTTTCTTGAATCGTATTTAAGGGAGGTGATCTATTTCATGACTTAAACCCATTCTCAAAGTTCAAATTCTTCTAAACCTCCCCTTTATAATCATCTCCACTTATTTTTTTTTTTTACACCAACTACATTCAAATAAGCTACGCTTTTCTAATGAAATTATGTATTTCCCATCTTAACATGCCCCAAATCATGAAACAAATAAATGTTACTAGCAGACATAAAACATCTTTAATTTAGGTGGTTACACAATACATTTATTTAAAAAAACAATCCTTAAATAACAGTTATAAATATTGACAAATAGAAATCCAATACAAACTCGAACAAGATAAAAGATTGAGTTAACTATGATTAAATGGGTGTAAAAGTGCAATAGTCGTAATCAAATCGTATTATGCGTTTTTTGCAAAGACATTATAACAGACAATTTCTTGATGATCATAAATGTTGAAGAATGTGACTTTTCATATCCATTTCATCAACATGTAGGTCAATCACAGTACATGCAGGGACATGTAGTAACTCATGATGAATTCACATTACATAAATACAAATATCACATAACTAGTTTCCTTGCTATAGCTTACTAGCATAATTTTGTTTATCAAAGGGAACCAAAACCTTCATACTAAGTTACTTTTATTGTAAAGTTTAAGATATTTGAATAAAATCAGTGAAAATTTGAACAAAATCAGTGAAAATTTGAACAAAATCGGACAAGGAATAAGGAAGTTAGAGCTTTTTGAAATGACTGGTCACTAGAGGGCGGTATTCAATTTGATGACATCATCTGTGGACAACTCTCCATGCCTTTTGTACATCACATTTCATGTTTTTCTTTCTTTCTTGTGATTGAGATAATCTACTCCTCTGAAAGCAAGATATAGAATGTAAAATGATATTCTACTTCACATTTTATGAAGTCGGATCAAGACCACAAATAAATACGAAGAAAACAAAAAAATTGTGAAATGTTATGTACAAAAACTTTACAACAAAAGTAACTTAGTATGAAGGTTTTGGTTCCCTTTAAATTACAACTGCTGAGTCATGCCCCCTAAAGCAGAATTTCACACAAATAGATGTATTACTATGAGAGAACTCTTAGGATCAAAAGTCCTTTGAGTTTCACGAATTGCAAATGTCAGACACTATCGTAGAAATTAGGTCATTTATTTCTAGTGATGAATCTAAAAATTGGAAGTCAATACTAACATATTATTACAATAAACACACATCCATTGCTATTGCTGAACAGTTTGTAAATTCTTTGACAATTTTTTTCAAAGACTTCAAAGTTTCTGTGTTTGTGACATTTTTTTTTCTTCAAGTGCAACTACGGTACAAATTAACATTCATTATAAGCTAAAAGCACAGCTACAGATACATATGTGCACTTGAAAAATACTAGCATTATCATTAGTTATATCAGCACCGTTACAATTTATGACACATTAAAATAAAACAAAGCATTACATGATATCTAGAAACAGTTGTTAAGGACAAAATATAAAGGAGTGGAATGAATAATAACTTGCGGGGTTGGAAGAATTTCTTAATCTATTTTAATTGAAATTGTTATTTTATTGTCAAGGATATGTGATTGAAACATGTCCATGTAGCTGAGGTCATGGAGATATTTTGCATTCAGTGTAATGTAATTTATCATTGAAACGAAGAAACAAGCAATTGTGGTATAAAAAAGTTATAAGGTTGAAAATTGTCTTGTGTCATTTAGATAATCAAATCAGTAAAAACTGTGTTTGGATCACTGATAGTGATAGGCCTAGGTTTAATTAGTTTAATTGAATTATGTGTCTAGATCTGATGGGTTAAACAAAAAGATCTTGAACTCACAATAAAACAAATGATATTGTAGCACAAAGAACTGTACAAAAGGGGGAAATTCACTTGTAATATTTCTTTTTAAAAATCAAGGTGATTTTGATCGTGCCAACCCTAATAGAAAGATAATAAGTAAAAGGAAATGGAGAAAAAATACAAGAGGCCTTCTAAATGAAAGATCCCATAACTCTCTACAATTTGTAACATCCACATATTTAAAGGTTAATGTAAAAACAGGCAAAGCAGTAAAGATTTCAAAAACATTTTTTCTTCACTCAATAAAACCTGAATATCAGCGAACAGTTATGACAAGGTCTATAACATGGGCGAGCACAAAATTTACTTTTGATTGCACATATTAGGAAGTTTTTTTATAAATGTTTAATTTCAAAATTATTGAGATAATTGTATTCATGAATTGTATTCATGAAACATTCAGTGAATTCAAAAATGAGGAAAGTACATTGTATGCAGGCATCAGAGGCTTTAATGTGTAAAAAAAAGGGCGTAATGTGCACTTTGATAATCAACTTTTAAAATAATGTGTGAAACAGAATCGTTGACATGAATGAGTTTGATTCAGGCTGATTAGATGATGGTTAAATGTGTGGTTTAAAAAGTGCTAAAACATTTAAGTTCAAGAAGCAAATTGGTCAATATCATTATTGCAGGCTGGGTCCAGTAAAGCACAACTCACACCCTCCCCACGAGAATATACTGCCCTCTTTGAGCTGGGATACCTGTCTTTCTTGATTATGTGTCTTTCTTCGCTGGCTCTAGACTATACAGCTAAACAACTTGCAAAAAGCAAACTCATCATCATTGTCAGTATGGGGTTTAGGTGAAGTCTTGGTCGATCCTTTATAAATGGTTCTCTTGAAATAGTATAGGTGGTTGTTGACAGCTAGCACCGATGCTATGGCATTCAGCTTGGAGCTTGAGAAGCGGATTGACCAACATCAATTTTTGTATGTGGGTATATAGTTAAGCAAAACTGCGTCTCAATATACTTATCTTCCTGGCACTAGCTGGCGCTAGACTATTCAGCTTAAAATTGATGACATTTGATTTGAACAAGTGAAATAGCTAACAATGTCAGCACCTCTTCTCATCTCAATTAATTGAGAAAAGAAGACTGAAGCAGTGGTTCCCGCAGGTAACTAGATGGAAGAATAGCTTGGCAAACACAATCTTGCAAGATGGAAACTGATGGCAGCTAGAAGAAAGAGGGACAGACCAACCAGGACATGGGCTGATAATATCAAGCAGGGGACAGGAATGTCATCTGAGCTGCTAACTAGAAATGCTGAAGATGGACAGTCATGGAGAACCCATGTCTCAAGGTCCATTTCATTGTTGCCCCAACAGCCTCCAAGGTATGGGACATAGATACTTTAGTCAGAATATCAGTATGCAGGTACGGTGAAGCAAATAAGTAGCTAATAACCTTCTCACTTTCATTTTCTTCCCTTCTTTGGGCCGGTTGTATATAACATTGATGATTACACGATGACAATCACCTTAAGAAAGACCATTTACTATCGTCAATGTCAACATGTGGGTCCATGTAAAACCGAGCTGAAACTCTCCTCACTACATTTTTTTCCCTTCTTTGGGCCAGTTGTATATAACATTGATGATTACACGATGACAATCACCTTAAGAAAGACCATTTACTATCGTCAATGTCAACATGGGGGTCCATGTAAAACTGAGCTGAAACTCTCCTCGCTAGATTTTCTTCCCTACGTTGAGCCGGTTGTATATAACATTGATGATTACAAGATGACAATCACCTCAAGGAAGACCATTTACTAACGTCAATGTCAACATGGGGGTCCATTTAAAACCAAGGTGAAACTCTCCTCACTAGACTTTCTTTGCTTCTTTGAGTTGATTGTTGATGATGTCGATGACCACACTCATCTCCTTCGTCCTGTCCATCTTGATGTACGTCGTCTTGCGGATGATGACCTTCTTCAGCCAATCAGGAAGGATCTCAAGCATCAGAGCAATGTGCTTCTCCAGATCATCTAGCAGAAAGAAAAGGAACAAGAAATTGATGATAATTTCATGCTTGGCTGCCAAGCAGTAATTTCACTGAGACAGTGAGCTGGAAGGAGATTTCATGTTGGTACTTATAAAGATAAAGTTGAGTTCTGGGCATGCGATTGCATTGTGAAAGAAACGGTGTAGAATCGATCAGAAAAGGTTGATCATCTAGCACATAAGTAATGGTGTGTACTGCAAGGTTCTGGAATCATCAAAATGATAACAAATTTGGACCAGTCTTGGTAAGTTACAAGCACTGTACACAGAAATATGTATAAGGGACTACACAAACACGTGGCATAAAAATCCGTCCTGATTTTTATGCTGTTACGTGCGATATTTAGAATATTAAGGCATTTGAAGAGCCATAACAATGATAGCGCTCACAAATTATTTTTCACCTTTCAACCTTCTCTTTAAAACAGCCACTTTTCATCTCGATCTGAAACATTGGTTTTCAAGCGAGTGCAAATCTGTTTATATTTTGAAATCTTTGATATGCATTTAATCCACCATACCAATAAAAGAAATTTTACCTCTTGACAGCGCAGATCGATAGCTCTCCATAAGTTTCTGAATAATACTGTCAATTGGCAAAGCTGCTTTCTTCTCTGCCAGGAAAAATCTGATTTTGCTGAAGTCAAGGATAATCATTTCATATTCAACAACAAATCTATTCTTTCAATTTGTTCAAAATAAAATAAGCAATGAAATTAACAACTCCTTGAATACCTTATTTTCATCTTCATTTTTCAATTTCTGATAAATTTCTTTTCCTATATCTAGGGGAGGATTCATGATTCTTTGATAAGTCAAGAAAATCGTTGACAAGCAACAAAAACACAGAAAACCAAACAAACAACAAAAGTCATCACATTTTGCAGGTTCTCTTTTACTCAATAAACTATATGAAATTGAAACAAGCAACAAGTAAGCATATGTAGAAAAAAGTTATTTCATTTTTTGTATTTGTTCAGTCTCATCAGCGCCTTTGATTAGGCAACTAGATATTGGCGCTTTATAAATTCTGGGATTGCATTGGATTTCATTCTCGGGGAGGGGGAACAAATAGGAGCCACATTCTGATGATATGTACATCAGGTTAGTTATGCTGGGTGGCAAGTCCCCCCCCCCCCCCCTTAACAATGTTCATTTTCAATTAACTATGAATATCGCTAAATTTAAAGAAAACATTTGTGCGTTTTGGTCATCAAAGATAACCCTTCCATATCTAAACAATGCCTACTAAAAGGTGTCGTGGTGTCATGGATATGTCATTGGACTGTGGATCACAAGGTCCCTGGTTCAAGTCCCGTCGCGGCACCAATGTCCTTTGGCAAGACATTGATCTACATTTGCCACTTTCCACCTAGGTGTTAAATGGGTACCCTTTGGATGCGAAAGTTAATGTGGTTAGATGAGCAAGTGTGCGCTTGTAAAAATGATGCCTGGCTGAAATGCTCCCCAGGGAGTGGAGAATGTGCATACATACAGAGTGTGCTTGTAAGCCTGAATCCAATGAACAGGGTAATAAAATATCTGTAAAGGGCTTTGAGAGAGAGGGCCTGTGGTCCTGAAATGCGCTATATAAAAACGAAGTATTATTATTATTATTTTTATTAAAAGGATACACTCTCAGGATCTTGCACAATACTGGAAGACGTTCCAGCATTCCTATCCTTCCTTCCTCCTCAGGGGTCCTCATCATGGTAATCACAGTGTTACGAGCCTCCTTAGCTTTGATCTGAAACGATACAGAAGAATATCATAACTAAATGGCGATAGTTTAGTCGGTAAAGCACAGGGGGCTGTTTCACAAAACTTGTCATCGGTGACAAATGAGAGTTTTTGTTATAAGCTACTGAAATCCTTGCTTCTGATTAGTTATCAGCATATTTGTTTTTTTTCATTTGTCATTGTAAAAAGGCTTTGTGAAACGGGCCCCTGGTCTGGTAATCTAGTAACCCGGGTTCGAAACCAAGTCGACGCGCTAGTGCCCTTTGGTAAAGGCATTAATCCTCATTACCAGGTCCCTCTGAGAGGACCTAAAGCCATCAGCCGTCTGGTTGCTTACCAACAAGTATTTATGCTTTTTTAGCAGTCAGGTAAAATAACCACCACAAATCAGAAAGTTTGGGGTAAGATCAATATGAATGGTTTCATCGGGAGAAGGGTCTGTGGTCATATTCTTAAATGCATGTCAGCTCCTAACTGAATGAAAAGAGAGTTAATTGCCAGAGCATATTGAAATGACTGGTAGGTGAAAGCAGAGTTGGCTGCGTATGCATGAAAGCCGTGTTCAGACATGAGGTAAACGGATACAAAATAGCCGCAGCGTTTTTTTGAACGGGTAAATGACAAGCCTTTAGTGGGGAGAGACATCGGTCCGAGCATCAACAATTTATTGGACAATTCTTTTTCACTAATATAAAAGACAGCATAGTTTTCAGAACACTGCCACAGGTCCTTATCTGCTATAGATGACTATATCATCTCTGAATAACTTGTACTTGTAATGCAACATTTAAGTTGAATGAAAATCCCTTCAGGGAGCGTTTAGGTTTGGGGAAACTTAATCATTCCCAGATTCAAAAATATTAAATTTTAGCATTTATTAGATTGAGATAGATTCAATTAAAACATTGGTTCATCTCTAACAGTATTTTTTATATTGTTCTGACAAATGTTGTTGAATTCATTTCATCAGTTTAGAAGATCTACTCTGAAAACAGATGAAAATCCTATATCTAAATGCAAGTGGAATATTATTTAACGAATTGAAAAAAGAGTGAAAGAATAAAAGAAACACACTATCTCTGCAAAATATATCATATTATTTGAGAAAGTAAAAGTACTACTTACTCTGCTGAGAAGATCCTGTGACACACCTTTGAGAGCTTGGTTGCCTTTCTTGGGTTGTGGAGTTACATCCTTCTTCTTAGCATCCTCTGCACGCTTGGCTTCCACTGCAGCTTTCAGTTCAGAATTTTTGGCAACTAGTTCCAGAGCTTTTGTGACCTGATTCACAAAGGCAAAGAAGAAAATATCCCCATATTAAACTGAAGCCCATCTGCACTGGTTTGGCATGGCGGGATGAGACCAGCGCTCAAAATACACGGGGGCGGTGGGCGATTCGCCCCCGTGAGCTACATAATCGCCCCCGTCAGGTTGCTCACGGGGGCGATTGCAAAATAAAAAATCGCCCCCGTGGAATTATAATATAAAGATTTTCTTTTCTGGTATAACTTTAACACGATATTGAGTTTCAATTTTCAAATGAAATGGAACTTAGATTAGCGTGCAAGATTTCTTGTTTTATGAGTAGGCCTATTATTACCGATTCAGCTCACAGTGCAGTGCCGCCGTCAGCAGTGGTTATAGGCCTACTGCGCCCTTAGTAGCGGTACGTGTGCACGCTGCCGCGCTATGTCTGCTGGAGCTGGAGGCGATCGCGCAAGGGCAGAAACATGGTCATGGAGAAGTTTTTCGTTGTGAAAGCGTTAACCCGCTGAAATCTGGTGATTTCAAATGACTAGCAAATAATGAACCTCGACCAGTAAATCAATATTAGGGACCTTTAGATTTGCACGATGGGAACGTGGACTGAAACGTGTGACCTCCTTTTAAGGCAGTGCCAGTGCTTAAAAGGACGTGACATGTGACTGCCAGTGCCTTAAAAGGACGTAACACGTCCACGTCCACGCAAATCTAAAAGTCCCTATTGAGAAGAAGAGGAAGACCAAGATGTCGTGGAATGATATGGTAACATGGGCAGATCTACGGGGGGGGGGGGGGGGGGGGGGGGGGTTAGGGGTTTAACCCCCTCCTCCCACCCCCGGCCCCCTTGGGCTGCCAAGTGAAAATGTGATATTAAAGCGGGGGGGGGGGGGGGGGGGTGCTGGAGAGGAGGACTACTAATCTATTTTATTTTTGGGGGGGGGGGGGGGGGGAGTGAAGCGCCGTTTTAGCATGACTTTCTTTTTAACTCTTACTTTCACCTATCTCAGATAACCCTAAGTTTTTGGTTGCTGCTTTATATGTAGTTGATAATGCATGATTAAAATAAAGAGAGAGAGAGAGAACCACCATCATTTTGCAATGGTTCAGGGTTCGTGTAATGTACATTTGAAACCATTTCTTAGCGTCTCAACCCTAACAAAATGGCAAAACTATTTTTGAGGAAAAGCATTATACTGAATTAAATAAAGAATAATAGCTTTATATTGCATGATACTAATACTGATACGGGCTAAAGACAATGTGGTATTTGTTTAGAGGTATTCCAAAATGACATTCTGATAATCAACATTTGTTCTGGTATCATAATGTATATACGCATAATACAACTGATCTTTATGATTTCTTAACGTGACATAGCTTCTTTTCCCCCTGCAAACAAAAAAGAAAACAAGGTTATTTAATAAAAGGATCATGCGACAAATAATCATTGTGATTCAAATTGATGCAAGGATTTTTTTTGAATAAGCAATGCTTTTCACCAGAATCTTCTTTGTAAAAACGACTTTTACAAATCTCAGCCATGCAAATCTGCCACTGTGTTGTAAGATCACTTTCAGATTAGGAGAAGTGTATTCTTTAATGAGTATTTTACATTGAATGGAACGTCTCAACTCAGTAAGCATGACTGAGATTTGTAAAAGTTGTTTTTACAAAGAAGATTCGGGTGAATAGCAGTGCTTATTCAAACAAATATTCGCATCAATTTGAATCACAATCATTATTTGTCGCTTAATCCCTTTTAATGACCTTGTTTTCTTTCTCGTTTGCAAGGGGAGAAGAAGATATGTCACGTTAAAGACATCATAAAGATCAGTGTTGTATGCGTATATACACAGGCCAGTAACAGCTATGTAGCTTGTAAATTTGTAAGAGGGAAAATGCTGATTGGAATGATAATGATGAAATAGCAAATAATTGAGGAGTATCATAGGTACCAATTCAATGGATATTTGTATAAAAAAGAGCCCCCGTCAGTACTAAAAGAGCCCCCGTGAGAAGGCTCACGGGGGCTCTTTTTTTTGGGGGGGGGGGGAAGAGCCCCCGTGGACAAAAAATTAATTTGAGCCCTGGATGAGACCACCCTGTAAGGTCACTCAATGGCAGGTGGTTATCTCATCAATTCAGCTCTCAATCAACATAAGAAAAAGGGCATCATGGGGGATCAAAGGGTACCGCTTAGGCATTGTTGGCTGTATAGAGGGCACAAGTAGCTATAAGTAGTGCAGTAGGGCTTTAATGAATTAGTAATATTGCATTTAATGTTCATGTGAATTTTGGTTAAGGCCCAAAAATCAAGATGTTCTGCCAAAGGGCAGCTTGGGCTATAGCCTGGGTAATAATAGGACTCTGTACGTGCCTTCAGAATCCCCTGGGCTGGATACGTGGGCAATATAAATTTAGCTATAACTATTATTGGTAATATTTCTTCATATTTCTTGGATTTTAGTTGATGAATAGCAAGGTACTAACATAAATAGTAATCCAGATTTTTAGGATTCTGTAAGTTTTGATTTTCATTTTTGGTAGGTTTCTTCTTGTTGTGGGCACTTTGGTCCGCTCTGGGTAAATTGCAGTATATAAATAATAATAATAATAATTATTATTAAGCTGCTGTGAAGCTTTTTCCCTTTCTTCATAAAGAATATTAAACAAATGAGAGATTCAAAGAACATATTATGAGCTTAACCCCCCAAATAAATTTCCTCATGCGAACATATTGGTACAAGGAAATGTGTGCATTTGATTTCTACGAACCTCTGTAAAATGCCAGAGCGGTATGCTTCCTGGAATATAACTGTGCAAAAGTATTACAAAACATTTATACATCCCCTTACCACTCATGTGGGTTGTACGACACATGCTCCTGCAACAATTACTATGTAAGAATTTTAAACATAGCTTCAACACTGGACCCAACACTTTACCTAACCCTTACCCAATACTTATGACAAAATACCTGCCAGATCATGCTCCTGTGGAATTGCAATAAAGCGCTTTTGCAAAGACGGAAGCAAAGACGGGAGAATTATGGCGATACAGCTCTTCTGCCGTGCTTAGTGAACGAACGCTATCATGGCTGCGTACGGTTGTGAAAATCAAAAAGACAGAGAAAATTCTGGTTCGCCCATGCGCAAATTTTTTTTTTGCTCGCGTTACCGTCGACTTTGCCTTTAATCGTGTTTGCGAAAGCGCCCTAACATTAGATAAACCATATCATATACTGGCCCTGGATTTGATCAACCAAAATAGGTTTTGAACCTTGACCCGATGACCCGATCCTTACCTTGGGGTTAACCATCATCTGCCTGGCCTTGTCCAGAACATCCCTGGCCGTGTTAAAGGTCGAGACCTTTGGGGGCGCTGGCAGGTCAGAAGCCGGGACCTCTGGAATCTTCTCCAATGGGAACTTGGGATGCCAGCGGTGTAGCTTCTCGTCTGGAATCGATGTGATGGGTGGATTCAGGCTAGCAAGATACTCCTGGAAATTTTACAGCAAAAATAGTTTAAAAATGCTGAATCTAATATTTAGCATTAGAAATTATCACGTTGCTTACCAAGTTTATCTTTGAAAGGCTGAACACAAACGATCTTTGAAATTTTCCTTAGCTTAAAAATTATAACAAACTTAGTGTTAGGTCTTTATGTGTTCTATACGAGTCAATAAAGTAGCCAAGTTAGACGTGATGTTCAGGTTTACTGTGTATTTATTTACTCCATGTTTGTCGGGTTGTCTGCGGAGTGATACGTGCATGCATACGTTTACAATTGGTGCGTAATGTGTTACATGTGAATACGCATGATGAAATATAGTTCTGATCATAAGATATAACATCCCCCTTTCTAATAAAAATAAGCCTTTCTAGGTTTATCTTTAAAATGAATTCCTGTAAGATGAAATGGTTCAATGAGTTCAAAAGTTCAGAGTTTGCTGTGTCCTGTTAGACTTTGGTAATGTAGACTTTGCGAATAGTCCTAAAATCAGCTCCTGACTAACTCAACTATAATAACTTTGTGATAACACTTATCAAAAATGTAAAAGAATGAAACAGCCTATTTTAACATTATTGGATTGACAGAGCGAGGGTGACAATCCTATAGCAGATACCGTGGGATTATTCTGCCCACATTATAGTAATCTGCTTCCTAACATGAAAACTCACTAAAAACACTATTTCTATAAACACTATTGGATTGCCAGAGCGAGGGTGACAATCCTATAGCAGATACCATGGGATTATTCTGCCCATGACTTGGTAATCTGCTTCCTAACATAACTAGCCTATCTGCATCCATCCTCTGTGCTTGATATTTCTTTTCCAAAACTAGCGGTAACGCGTTGGTGGCAAGATGTTGCTTCTCCACCTAGTTGACTGTGTTGTGGTCTGCGGTGCCTGTGGTGTTGCTGTAGCGCTTGGTTGTTGGGATGAATTCTGTCCAGAGGTTGTCCCTTGTTGTGGTGTCATCTGGTTGGTGGTGCGTGTATTGTTAGCGTTGTCATCTATTTCAGGTGCTGTTGTTGTACTTGCTGCGGGAGTTGCAGATGATGTTGTTGGTGTTGCTAGTGGTGTTGTAGGTGTTGCTACTGGAGTTGTAGGTGTTGGGCGGATGTGGACCCGGTTTCGTCTCAGCTGCCTGCCAGTCTCCGTCTCGATGATGTAGGACCTTGGAGTTTCGGCTTTGCTGATGATCTTTGCTGGGATCCATAATTTGGATATTGGGTCTTGAACATGCACATTTTGTCCATCAAGAAGCTCAGGTAAGTTTTGTGCATGTTTGTTGTAGTGCCTCTGTCCTTCTGCTTGGGCTGCTTCTAGCTTGGCTCTTGTCTCCTCTTGGTCAATAGGACCTTGAATCCTTGTTGGCAGAGTGGTTTTGTACTTCCTGCCATTCAGCATCTCTGCTGGGGATTTCATATCAGCCTTCAGTGGTGTTGCTCGCAAGGACAGAAGTGCCAGATGTGGATCTTCTTTCATTTCTCTACACTTGATCAGTGTTTTCTTTGCTGTCTGCACTTGTCTTTCCACAAACCCATGGCCTTTGGGATAGTATGGTGAGGAAGTCGTAATCGTGAACCCATACTCAGTGGCTAGCTTCTTGAATTCCTGAGAAGTGAATTGGGTTCCGTTGTCACAGATAATCTGTTCTGGTATCCCTTGTTCTGCAAATAATCCTCGAGCCACGGAAGTTATTGTTGTGGCTTTCAAGTCCTTCACCTTTCTCACGAATGGGAATTTGGAGTAGTAGCAGACCAATATCAAATACCATTCTTGGTTTTCTGTGAACAGATCTACTCCTATGGTCTGCCATGGCCTGCTTGGGATGTGACTAGGTATCATCTCCTCCTTCTGTTGAGAGTTTCTGTACTTTTGGCAGGTGTGGCATGCAGTTACCGTTTTTTCTATGTCCTTGTACATGCCTATCCAGTACACTGCTGATTTTGCTCTGAGTTTGCATTTCTCCATACCTAGGTGTCCCTGGTGGATCTTAGTAAGGATCTCTTGTTGCATGGTTCGGGGTATGATTATTCGAGATCCTGCCATCAGTACTCCATTCTCCACTGATACGTCATCGCGGATGGCCCAGTATTCTCGAATGAGGGGTTGTACTTGGTGTCTCTTCTCTGGCCACCCCTGCGTGACTGTCTGGGCGAGTAGCTGGAGCTCCTCGTCTCTGCTGGTTTTGTCTCTGATTTCGTCCAGCTTGTTGTTTGTCACACTCACAATGTGATGGATCTTAACACTCAGTCCATCCATCTCATGTTTGTCATGTGGTGACAGTCTGGATAGAGCATCCGCCAGTAGTAGGTCCTTTCCTGGCTTGTAGGTGATGCTGTAGTCATAGCTCTGTAGTCTCAATAGTAACCTCTGCAGCCTGGCTGGTGCTTTAGTGAGGTTCTTTCTGTCTATCTGCTCAAGAGGGCGATGGTCAGATTCAATGATGAAACTTCGGCCATAAAGGTATGTATGGAATTTTTCACAGCCGTATACTACAGCTAAGAGCTCTCTTTCGATGTTTGCATACCTTGTTTCTGCTGATGTGAGAGCTTTCGATGCAAAGGCTACAGGTCTGCCCTCTTGCATCAATGCTGCACCAACTCCTTTCATAGAGGCATCAACCTGCAACACTACTGGTTTGTGTCTGTTGTAGTACTGCAAAGTTGTCTCTTTGCTGATGAGTTGCTTGATTGCATTCAAGTCCTTGGTGTGTGAAGCACACCAAGCATATTCAGCGTCCTCTTTCATCAGTTCTCTGAGATTGGCAGTGTGATCGGCAAGCTTGGGTATGAAGATACCCATGTATTGGATGAGGCCCAGGAAGCTTCTCAGCTCTTTCTTGTCTTTGGGAGCTTCAATGTGGTTGATCGCTTCCACTTTTGCAGGATCTGGCTTCACTCCGTTTGCAGAGTAGATCAACCCAAAGAACTTGCACTCATCCTCTTTGATCACACATTTATCTACGTTGAGCTTGATGCCTGCTCTCCTGGTCTTCTCCATAGCCTCGTGAAGATTGTAGTCATGTGTGGTTTCATCCTTTCCATAGATCTGTATGTCATCAGCTATCCCCACTGCTCCTTTGCAGCCTTGATATGTCTCGTCTATCTGTCTCTGAAAGACGTCTTGACTGACCCTCAACCCAAATGGAAGACGGTTGAATCGGAATCTCCCAAAGGGTGTATTGAAAGTGGTGAGCATAGACGACTCTTCAGTGATCTTTATGTTCCAATACCCGTTGCTCGCATCCAATTTACTGAAGACTTTGGACCCAGCCAATGAAGGTGTAATTTCTTCAAGGGTCGGAGTAGGGTAGTGATCACGTTTAAGCGCCTTATTCAGGTCTTTTGGGTCTAGACATATGCGAAGCTTGCCATTTGGTTTTTCCTTCACGACGATCGAGTTTACCCAGTCAGTTGGTTGTGTGACTTTAGTGATGATGCCTTTGGCTTCCATCTCCTCAAGTTGCGTCTTCAGTCTTTCCCTCAACTCCAGGGGAACACGGCGAGGCGGGTGGACCACCGGTTGCACATTCGGATCAACTGTTATGTGGTATTGGTAGTCAAAGCAACCGACTGTGTCATCAAAGCATTCTGGGTACATATTGATCAACTCGGCTTTGCTTCTGATAGGAGGCCTGTCCTTTATTGGCATGTCTTTGTCGATTCTGGGTGATGATGTCACGACTGCAAGGTTCAGCGTTACAATTTTGAGCTTTCGACAGCTGCTTAGTCCGAGGATTGCAGGTCCTTCTGCTTTGACCACATAGAAGGTACAGTTAACCTCTTTTTCATTGTGTTTCCCTGCAATTGTTGCTTTGCCCAGTTGTGGAACAACGTGCTCTCCATATGCAGTCAGAATTACCTTACTGGGAGTGAGGATTCCGTCTTTGATTTTGTCAGCTTGTGCCATGTGCTCTGGAAACATCCTGCTATAGAGGCTGATAGGCAAAAGGTTACTCTGGGCTCCGGTGTCAACTTTTACCCTCAGATCGATGAATGTTCGTTTCTTGCCCACTTTCTTTTGAATTTGGATTGTACTGTATGCCTCATCATCCTCGTCGCTGTTCTTACTCTCCATCTCATGGACTTTGATCATGCCCACTGACAAGAATTCATCCTCTGATGTGTCATCTTCCTCTTGTTGAGCATGTATTTCTTTACGTTTGAATTTGTTAGCTTTCTTTCTATCACTCTTCTGGAATTGGGTCTTTCTGTCTGGTTTGCCTGACCTGCATTTCTTTTCCCAGTGATGAAGCCTTCCACACGCTCTGCATTCCTTCCCGAATGCTGGACATTTCTGTCGGTCGTCAAAGCTATGAACCAGTCCACAATTTCTGCAAGTTTGTTGGCTCTTTTGCCATGGCTGCTTTGAGACAACATCTATCTTGCTGGAGGCCTGGGGCGAGAGTGTGGCCATCTGTTTTTTCGTCGCTTCGTGTGCTCTAGCGGTGTCTGTTGCATCTTTCAACTTGAGAGCATCCTTGCCTATGAGCATCTTTTGGACTTCTGGATGCACACATCCCCATATGAATTGGTCTACAAGCCTCTCTTCCTCATCTTTGAATTTGCATTTACTTGCAACATTCTTCAGCCTGGCTAGGAAATTGTCAACTGTTTCTTGTGGCTCTTGCCTGAGGCTCTGAAATTCATATCTACGGATCCTGTGATTTGATTTAGGCTCTAGATGTGTTTCGAATTTTTCTAGGACTTTTATTGGATCATTGCAGTCGGGCTCTGGCATGTCCCAACTATTGTACAGGTCTAATCCCCTTTCTCCAGACCATAACAGGATATAACTGACCTGTTCCTCAGTTGTTGAACCTTTCAGGAAGCTCTTGAATGCTAGTTGACTTTTCTGTTTGAATTTCTTGAATGCTTCCACCACATCGTCGGCGTCCCAGTTCATCGCAGGATGAAGATTCATTGCGGCTGCAGCACTGGCGGCCGCCATCTTCGATTTTTCGCCGGAGTCCGAAGACGCTGACGATCGATGCTAGAAATGTCAATTTTCGAGCATATTTAGTTCCTGAATCACAACAAAGGCACTGTTTTCTGGTTATGGTTTACCGCTGCCACCATGTTAGGTCTTTATGTGTTCTATACGAGTCAATAAAGTAGCCAAGTTAGACGTGATGTTCAGGTTTACTGTGTATTTATTTACTCCATGTTTGTCGGGTTGTCTGCGGAGTGATACGTGCATGCATACGTTTACAATTGGTGCGTAATGTGTTACATGTGAATACGCATGATGAAATATAGTTCTGATCATAAGATATAACACTTAGACTCATCAAAATATAATCAAAGGAGTAAATTAACTAATTGTGGGCTTGGTGAACAGGTTTTACTCCTCAAATGGCAAAACTGATGTTGTTTATCCTATTATTGTTTCATCCTAAAAATCACATTGCTTGAATAATAATAATAATATTGGATTCTTATATAGCGCACGTATCGACCTTGAATGAATGAATGAATGAATAAATGGTATAGAATACAACAGCAAATAGGCCTATAAGCCTACACTGGCTGAACGTGACATCATCTAAAGAATAGGTGTGGCTACATTCAGTAACGAAATGTCAATTAATTAACTTTAGCTGTTACACAACACCTCACACACCTATGATAATTTAGCCTCTTGAACCCCATAGGGTTCAACCAGTTTAGTTTAGTTATTAAAGGTAAAAGACCAGTTCTGGGCATGCGATTGCATTGTGAACGAAACGGTGTGGAATCGATCAGAAAGGGTTGATCATCTAGCATATAAGTATTGGTGTGTACCGCAAGGTTCTGGAATCATCCAAATTATAAGAAATTTGGTCCAGCCTTGGTAAAGTTACAAGCACTGCAAACAGAAAGATGTATATGGGACTACGCGACACATGCACGGTTTAAAAAAAAAAAAATCTCAATTAGTAGGCGATTTCCCGGCAGAATTTGTATCCTCACGTATTAGTCAAAAAATATTCTTTCACATGATTGGTAATAAGAGCTTCCATTTCATTTTTTGAGAGGAGGCATATCCAAAACTGGTCTATACCTTTAACAATTGTATACTTATGTTGTATTTATCACAGACACTGACCATACATGTATACTAACCGTGTGATGTGATTTGACGATGTCCACTAGACCATTATGGAAGAGTGTTCTCCTGGCGATAAGCATGGAAGGTGTGAACTTATCAAACATCCTGCTACTCCCGGCTTGGTTTTTCTTGTCACCCTGCATCAAATCTTTCATCATAGAACCTTTAGCTCCATCTGTTTTGATTAAAGGTAATACAAAGTTTAGGTATGAGGTAGTGAATTTGGTTTAAATGAACATATTGGAAGCAGATGCGATCCTACAATATTCGATGATCGTTGTCATGGTTGAAATCGAGTCTAAAGTGATGATATTGTAAATAATAAACTCTTTATGTTGTATAGCACGTTTTTTTTTACTACAATCGACTGATTTGCTATTCCCGTTTGGAAATTATATATCAGAACTGCATATTCTGAGTTTTTCATGGTCGCAGCTACCATGGAATGGCCTTAGGAGCTATTTGAAATATTTGAAATTTACCTGGAGCACCAGCAAATTTTGATTATTCAATTTTCTCAAAAGCAAGTGTTTTAGGGGCTAAATTTTCTAGTGCTTATAATCCATCCACAGGGGCATTCAAATATATATATATATATATATATTTTTTTTTTTTAAAGAATTACTATCCATCCAATTTTCAAAATTTCCAAAACTTTGCATAACCTTTAAGAAGTGGTTGCAAGATAAATTCCTATAAGTAACAAGAGCAACTTAAAGGTAATACAAAGTTTTGGTATGGGGTCATAAATTTGGTTCAAATGAATATATTGGAAGCATATGCGATCCTACAATATTCAGTGATCGTTGTCGCGGTTAAAAATCAAGTCTAAAGGTATGAAATTGTAAATAATAAACTCTTTATGTATTATAGCTCCCTCTCAAGGTCAAGATATTAATTAAGCTATAAAATAATGTTTGACTAAAATCAACCGATTAGCTATTCCCGTTTGGAAATTATATATCACAGCTACAGTATTCTGAGATTTTCATGGTCGCAGCTACTATTTTACGGCCGTAATCGCAAATTTGAAATTTATCAAAATTTACCGGGAGCACCGCTAAATTTTTATAATCAATTTTTCTCAAAAGCAGAAGTGTTTTAGTTGCTAAAATTTCTGGTGCTTACATCTACAGGGGCATCCAAATATATCAAAATGGTAAAGATTCACTATCCACCCAATTTTCAAAATTTCCCCAAACTTTGTATTACTGTACCTTTAAATCCAGAATATATTAAGTTCCTACTTTAATTATCATGAGATCAGGATACTTAATGGTCAATTGGTCATCTCATTTTACTTTTTTCATTATTTCATTTCATGTTTCAAATGTTTGAAATGTGGCAATGTGCATCTAGCTTGACAGAGAGGATAGGAGAGTGAAATTTACCTACAGTTACAACAAACAAAAAATTTAAACAATGATGGTACTTGCACTTGGAGTATGAATTCTTTTAATACACCTTTATCATATTACTGCACATTTAACACATACAATCTAAATGCACAGGGTATTCTTTTATCCTGTACCCCTAGAAGTGTTTGGAGTCCCAACAATTTAATTGCGAAATTTCACTTAAATTGTATCATAATGTGCAGTGGATGTCATTTGAGACACATTTCTGCAGGGATTTTCAAAACAAATGTGCTTGAAGCCAAATATTGATGAAAGAATACCAAATTTAGGTTTTTTGGTTCAACAGAAAACCCAATTATGTATTCTTTCATCAATATTCGTCTTCAAACAATTTTTTTTTTTTTTGGGGGGGGGGGGGGTGGGGGAATCTTTGCAGAAGTGTTGTCTTAAATTACATCCTCTTTCACATTATGGTACAATTTAAGTGAAATTTTTGCCTTCAAATGTTTGGCGAATTTGGGGATCCCAACACTTTGGAGGGGCTGTATCTCTGCAATACATTACTTTGATTATCTACCCAAGTGTTGGATAATTTTAATTTTTTTTTTTTCATGTGCCTGCAATGCTATCATATTATCATCAAGATACATGCTACATCACTGTAAAAAACCAAGATGAGCAAAAATATTTTGAGGTACAAAATAATAAAAATAATAATAATCTATTCTTGAATAGCGCATATTACACATTTTGATATAACGTTCATACAGGCTTCCAAAGAGCTTTGGAAATTGTTATCCTAGCTTTAGCTCTGGCAGTCGTTATTAGCGCATCATGCATTTCAAGGAATAAACCTACTAGGTACCCAATTACTTCACCTGGGTGGAGTGTGGCAAATGTAGATTAACGTCTTGCCACGTATTGGGGCAGGGATTCTAACCCTGTGCCTTGTAGTACACAGTCCGGAGACTTATCCACTGGACCACAACACCTCATATAACCTACCTTCGTCTTTGGGTTCTCCAGTTGGGATGCCTGCAAGGTCGGCTTCCAGAATGAGCTGATGAGTGCTGCTCTCTTCATCCTTCTTCTGTTGTGATTCCTTCTTAGTCCAGTGCATATCATACGCTGATGGGTAAACAGTCTTGATCTGCTTCAGGTGGCTTAAATCAAAGTTCCTGAAAAGAGTAAATCATTTAGAAGCACATTAAAACTTGTACAGTCAAACCTGCTTTAGTGACCACCTGTCTACAAAGTCCACATTTTTTGTTTCCCTTGAAAATAGATTCTCATTAAAGCATGTACTAAAAGAACCTGTCTTCAAAGACCACCTGTCTACAAAGACCACTTTTTGGACATGGGCATTGCCATTTTCTTGATACATGTACTATGCTAACCAAGTAAATGTATTTACATTTATAGATGCTTCATTCCCAGGTGTGCGTGGAGTTCACTTATTTACTTCACCTGCTATTATCCTTTGTACTACAATTGTTAGAACAAAAATTGCATGAATAAGTTGGTGCTCTTCTGGAGTGAAGGTTCTGCATGAATTGAATAGATTATGTCAACTGCTATATTTCAGTTTCCTTTCTTATAATGAGTTACAATTGTACCCCTCATATATATATTTTTCACCAAATATATTTTTTTACCTCCTCAGATATGATTTTCCCTCGGTGAAAAGTTAAACTTTTGTTAATGAATTACAAGTTATTTGCAACTAAAGCTTTGTGCATGATGCATGTACAAGTTTGCCTGGTACTTCACATTATCAAGAAAATTACTGCGCTCACGTTATGCTAAAAGGATAACATCATGCCAAGTATATTTTCATTTATATATCTGATGTACACTTTTGGAAGGAATATTGTACATCAAAAGGTAGGAATACATCTCTTTTTTCAGCATACCTACCCTTGTTATTTGGGGTGAGGTTTCCTTTAGCCCATACCTTTGTGATGGGTATAATCTCAAGCTTAGTTATTCTTTACCAGTTAAAGCACTGTGGAGATTGTCTAGGGGATAGGGGGCATTAGGAATGTAAAACTCACTTCCGGCTCATCGCCTGGACACCACCCTTGAGCTTGGAGAAAGTGCAGTTCTCCGACCGGTTGTGCAACATGCTGACAACGGTGTCCGAGCAACGGAAGACATCTTCTAATGATCTGTACCTGAAGGGAAGAGCAAGACTTGAAGGACCAGCCTGGATCAGATGACGATACCTTTCAAACGCAGGGACCACAGTCGGAGCACTCTCTTTCCTACAAAAATAAATAAGAATTAATTAATGAAAGTAAAAAACTAAAAAAAATCTTTTTGAGAGCTACTCTAAACACAAAATGAAATGACTCCTTCCATAACCTATCGAGACTAACGTGTGCTTCTCTACATCATACATGTATCTCCCTCTTATCAAGTGATTAGAAATATTTTTTAACAGCAATTTTTAAAGATAAAAACAAGTATCAGGGTCAAAAAAGAAAAATCGAATTTTGTTCAAATTTATCAAATTGTAGCTATGTATCCCATTTTAAGGTATTTGATGTACAATTTTTACATGCATGATATTTTTTTCTTTTCATTACCTTTATTTACACATGGAGAAAAAAAGAAGAAATAAAAAAAAGTTAAAATGATGAAATGTGGAACAGGATATGTGAAAGTCTCCACATATACATGTACATACACAATCAGTGCATTTATCTTAGTCACCTTGAAGCAGCACTTACACAAGAAGAAGAAGAATGGAAACATGCAGAAGTCTGCAGCCAAATTTCTTACATATTGATTTTTCTTTTACCCGGTAATTTATTAGAAGGGAATTTAGGTTTATTGTGGTTCAAGGATAAAGTCACAAGTGTGCGGAAGATCAACCTACTCTGCAATCTTGGGTACTGGTTTTGAGACTGTCTTCTTTGTAGCTTGCAGCCTCTTGATCTCTGCTGCTGTGTCCTTGACAAGGGCAAGACGAGCCTGAAGGTCAGCCAGCTTTCCACATCCAAGCAATGTCTCTTTCATCTGGTTGGGGTCAATATCCTCCTGAAAATGTATTAAATCACATGTATATTCAGTTTTAAAATTGATATTTACTTTTCAGTTCAACCTGGTTTATACGATAACTAGCTGGAAAAGAATAAAACCCATTACATGTTTTTCTTAATTCAATAGATTTTAAATACATCGTACTGCATAGGTCTCAGTCATACTTAGCCAGGCAGTAGAGATTTAAGAGTTGAACTAAGACCATTAAGTTCAATATTAAATAGTGTTGCTACACTACAACTTACAAGAACAAACAGAGGAAGCTTGATGAGAACCACACAAGAAAATTACAAAAAGGAAAGGACACAAAGGAAGTATGATGAGGTAAAATACTGTTCACTATATTTTTTCAGTCAGTGTACACAAAAAAAGTTAGGGAGGTCTAGATCTAGTATAGGCCTAGTCTAGATGATGATAGATCTAGACTCTAGATTTGGAAAGATCTAGACTCAGACTGAGTCGGACTACAGTATGGCATCAGACTAAATTGGGCAGACTCACAGTGCAGACGATCTCCGACCTGAGCGGAGGAAGGATACAAGAGAGGTGAAATGGAAAGAGGGAAAGACAGAATAATCAAAATGCAAATAGGAGAGTTTTTTTGAAAACTTCCCATTTGCACTTTGATATGAATCAACTCACAAATTTCTTTGAGCCTGCGGATTTACTTGAGTCTATCGTTGATGACGTTGGTTCAAGACGCCTCCTAATTGATGCAGCATTTGTCCTTTTCTTGCTTGATCTGCCAGTGCCAGGTGTCCTTGGAATTTCAGTCTTCTCAGAATCCTGCTGAAGATTAATTTTAGTTCTTTTTCTTCGAGGTGGGTCACCTTTTTCTGGATCAGAAACCTGCCTTTTGAGAGGTGTTTTCTCCAAAACTCTTTCTTTTTTCGTTTCTGTGGGAAGACTGGAGGAAGAAGATTCTGGGAGTGGGACAACATTTTTGCTTCTCTTCTTATCTTGAACTGTCGTTCCGGTGAAAGTGCGTGTCAATATACTACTAACTAAAGCAGAATTTGCTTCTGATTTGGACTCGTTGAATGCTCGAAGTTGGTTGGAAAGATCAACTTCACCGCCTCGGCTGACGAGACTGGTACCAAGCGCTGCGGTTTTCACCGGGAGAGTTTCGGGGAGGACAGCCGTCTTTCTTGAGCATTTTGCCGGCGTGATCTCGTTGTCGCCAAGTTTCTGAATCCTTGCACTTCTTTTAGTTGGTTGAAGTGAAGAACTGTGCTTCCGTCTAGTGTAGTAATCTGTCACTTTAGCCTGCGCCATGATTCAGTCTAAATTGTGATTTTGATTCCTAAGAAATAGTATTTTATTATCACACCAGCAGCAGCCGTCGTCTACTTTTGTTTTGGTTAAACGCGGGGAATTAGTCACGTGACTCTTTGCACTCGTAGCTTAGTCTACTTTTCAGTATCCTCTTCTATGAATAAGGTGTTGCATTTTCCTAATAGTTAACATCTGACAACAATTATCATCAAATAATGAAACGATCAATACAAAAAGTATCCAATTAATATCTTCATGCATCACATTAAGTTTTAATAAATTTATTTTCATATTTCATTTAGCAGAATTGTACCATTAAAATTGACCTGCTGATTTCGTAGACTAATAATATATGCAGTTAAATGGCTATGCATATTCATCATTTCATAAAGGTGCTGAATACACCAAAATTCTTTTAGAGGACCTAAAATGATGATTGGGTCCACGGTATTATCAAAATTATTCTTTAGTCGGGTATCCATAACGCTCTTGGACATCTCATGTCCCTGTTTTTTGGTATTTGTCATAGAATGCTCCCCCTCGATCAACCCCCCCCCCCCCCCCCACAGAGAATCCGCCTAATAATACAGGGGAAATCATAACAAATATTATGGCTCATGTCCTTTTAGAAATCCCAAACGGAGGTGGGAGGATCGAGGAGGAGCGTCCTTCAAATTAGGGATGCACAAATAAAAAAAAATGGCACTTTCTGAAGGAAAAAAAGGGGCGCCTACATAGAGTAACCTAGCTCATAGCAAACAATTTTAGATAGTATAGGCATTATTATATAGGGGTTGGGGGAAGTTCCATATAGGAAATGCTCTTAGTCACTTTAAATTATTTGCATAAGATGAGGAGGCTATATGAGAAATCGATATTGTTTCGTGAGAGATATGAGGGGAAATAAAAACATCTGTCTCTTTTTAACATATATGACTAACAACATTTGGTTTTTCCACACAAAAAAGGCTAGGTATTAATTGTACAACATATTTATTTTCTTCAGAGATTTGCAGAACGGGGAAATATATATATATATATAATATATAGACCCTATATAATAATGCAAGCCTAGCTTCATGAGTTTGAAAACTCAATCATTGTTTGAACCTTTGTATTCTTAGACGAAGGTATAGGCAATTGATTACAAAAGAAAAATGGGCACTTATTAGAATTAGAGGAAATAGCATTTTTTAGAAAAGGAAAAAGGGGAACGTGTAGAAGGCACTTATCAGAGGTGAAAATGTGCACTTTATTATAATTGCAAAGGAAAATCGAAAACACTTAAGATTTTGAATAAAATCTTTTGAAGACCACTGAATCAGTACCTTCTTTAGGTTATGTCTGTAAATGTCGGTAGGTGTTTGATCAAGTCCCTTTGGGCTTTTATCACAAGATGGCCTATCCCCCCCCCCCCCCCCCCCCTTTCACTGAAAAGCGCAATATACATATTCATTGTTTCGGGTGACGTCAAAATACATATTCATCAAGCTGCACTTCTCTCTGACTCTGCATTCTCGCCTGAATTATCAATCGTTTTTCTGTTCATACAAAGGATCCGCAAAGTTCGAGACAGAATGGTATGCATTTCTACATCTTGTATGTCTTTGAATGTATTCTTGAATAAATGTAATTAGAAATATATAGCCAATAAAGGAGTTTTTTAGGAGTTCGGCTTATATTCCAGTCCCATGCGTAGTTATTGATGTATGGTTTGATAATGATATGCAGGACTGATGATAGTGATGTACGTCTACCGTACGTATCTCATCTCTTTTCCTCTCAATTCAATAATGTGTAATTGACCTGCTGATGGACATGTATATCTCTACTACACGCAGCAGTCTGGTGCTGATCTCTGGCAAAAGCGGAGGGAGAACAAGATGTAGTCTAGGAGAACAAACTTACAAAGCAGGATAAAAGAAAGAAGGATTTTTAAAATGAATGAGTGAGAAAAGTGACTTTGATGAAGTTCAAGTCACATCGTGTGTTGCATTAAACTTGACAACTTATATTATAAATTCTCAACACTTTTAAACATCACAGTACAAAACCCGCCAAAATGCAATAAAATCCAGTACCTAAATTAGACTCAAGTGATGACACAAAGATATAAGTAAAACATAATGAATTCAAGCTATCAATGTCGGGGGGAAAAAAATACTTTCAAAAATAAAAAATTGGAAATGTACTGACTGTCATTCCTGTTGATGGGGAGCTTCCAGATCAATGTGTACATTTTTTTTTGTCCTGCAGCATGGCCGATTGAAAGTGAAGACTACCGAAGAACAGCAAGAAGCAAAGAGGAAGGAACGAGAAAAGAAACTTAAACTTTACACAGCTGGTACACAGAAAGTCTTTGAAAAGGTAAGTTTATTTAAAAACATGAAAAATGCTCAGTATTTCAATCACTCTGTGTCTTCAATGGAGATGTTTGCAATAGCTTTGATACTAAAATATAGTAGATTTGTAAAAACTTGAGAATGAAAATGTGTGAGGTTGTTGTTTGAATGAATAAAAATGGATATAAAAATCAGTTTAGTTTTTTTTTTTTTGCCAATGGCAATATCCTCAATTGTAGTGCTATGTGAATTGTTGATGGAATAAGATTTATGTTCTATACACACAGTTGATAATAAGATTAACTCCCAATTGACAAATATTTTTTTTTTTTTTTTTTTGACATCAAATTAGTTAAATCCATTACTACCTTTTGCCATCAAGAAAATTTCCTATATGTAAAGTGCTCCCTGAATAGAATTTTTTTTTTAAATAGAAAACTTAAATGTTCAAAGAATGATCTAGACATTTTTTGATTTGGAGCCAAATTTAATTAATTCAATGTTTATTTTGTTTAGACATACCTTACAATATTAAAAGCACTATCAAGTTAATGCAGTTGAATTGTGAACAGACTGCAGAATTGGTGCAGGGGCGTACGCAGGGGGGGGGGGGGGGTTTGGGGGTTCAACCCCCCCCCCCCTTTGGTATTTTTATGTGTGTAAACCCCCCTAAAAAAACCTAAACCCCCCCCCCCTTTGTTTGTTTTGTTTTGTTTTTGTTTTTAATTATTAAAAAAAAAAAAAAAAAAAAACAAATTATACCCACAGCTAACCTAAAAAAGGTGACCTTACCCCCCCCCCCCCCCAACGATGAAAAATGTCAAATTTTGAAATTTTGAGACCCCCCCAAAAAAAAAGTGTCCCCTTAAATGCGACTTTTCGGCCGGCACTAATAATATTTTAAAACCCCCCCCCCCCTTGAAAAAAATCCTGCGTATGCCCCTGAATTGGTGTATGGTAATTTTAATTCCATTTACATCTTTACAGTCTAAATTAAGATTTTTATTAAAAATGTGAACACATCAAGTCCTTCTAATTGTCATTTCAGAGAAAGAAGAATGAATTTGATGGGGAAATTTTAGAAGTCTGTGCTCAGCTTCTTTCAGCGAACCCAGACGTCTACACACTTTGGAATGTAAGAAAGGAGACATTCCAGGTACTTGCAGAGACAAAGTAAGTTTCTATTGTTAAGAATCTTAACTGTTGTGAACATATGCATATTCATGATTATGTAAATGTATGCGCATAGGCATTCTATTAGTTGGTGAATGGGTAAAACTTAGTTGTTTTTCGTTAATTTATTTTGCTGTTCTGAGTATTCATGTAATGGAGAGTTGCGAGAGGGTGAATTTTAAATAATGTAGAACCCTCTCATTGTAATACTAATATGTCAAAAACTTTTTCGTGTGATTTAACGCCTGATCTTAAAATCAGTAAAAAGGTTTCTTGTGTATTATTGAAGCAGAATCAGGATTTTTCTCGGAACTCAAATGAATACAGGAAATGCATCAGGAAAGAAAAGTCCCTAACAGTTTTGTCACCTGAGATGTCATTTTAAAGGCTAAAAAAGTGACGCATTGAAAGTGGTGTTGTCTATACCGTATGTATGCTATATATCATAAATCTCCTTGTATAAGGCGCACTTTTTTGCCGCCGAAAAAAATTTGAAAGTCGGGGGTGCGTCTTATACACAGTTTTTTTTTTTTTTTCTTTCTTTCTTTCTTTCTTTCTCCTCCCCAAAATAGGGGTGCGCCTTATACACAGGTGCGCCTTATACATGGATATTTACGGTACCTTAATTTGTTTACATGATGTTGTACCCCCCCCCCTTTCCCTATTTTCATTGAGCTTTAAAAATACTAAGATGAAATAGTTATTCTATTTCTACTGGAAGATTTCATGGGCGCTATACTGGAGATTACCCGGTATGTAAAACAAAAGAGAGCAAAAAATCACATGGGGGACTCAAATCTTGCCATAGATAGAAAAATCAATAAGAGTAACAAGAAAAAGATGTTAAATTTCCAGATGATTGTTGATTGTAGGTGAAGTCATAAATAAAATTGTTAACTAAATCAGTATTGCCTGTTATTTCTAGGACTCCCGATGAGATGCAGGAACTGTATGATAAAGAGCTGGGTTTCATTGAGAATTGCTTGAGGGTGAACCCAAAGTCCTACGGTGCTTGGTACCATCGTTGCTGGGTGCTGGACCACACCCCCAAACCAGATTGGAAGCAAGAATTGAAACTCTGTACTCTGTATCTAGAATACGATGAGAGAAATTGTAAGTCCAATTGGAAGATTCGGTGCAATGTGTCTTAAAAGCATCATTTAACATTGTCTGTGATATGGTGTAATATTGAAGCCCTAAAAAAAATGCGCTTCAAAATGATCAAGAAGTCCCTCAAAAAAGTAAACATCTTTGAGTGACCCGTTTTAGCATACTCATTTCCCACAATAGACTGAAGTATTATGAAAACCGTTAGGAAAACGCAAAATTTGGTTTCGATTTCCAATCATAAATATTTTGATAATCAGACAGGTAAAAGTAAAAGTCATGGGGTTCCTGACTGACCTACAGGTTTATATTTATCATTGCAGCATGATCTAAATATAGGATTTTGTTTCAGAATCTGAGACAAAGTTACCGGATCCCTTTAAATGACATTTGTCTTTTTGTCCACATATTTCATCCCCAAAATGAAGAAACTCTTGATATATATGACCATTGAATTATTTGTTTTCTGGTATCACTTCCTTCAGTAATGTCAAGAGGTTTTTCATTTGTGGTTAAATATATATACAGTGTGAGTCAAAAAAAAGTTTACACCTAGAAAATTGCTTATTATTTTTTAAATCATCTATGAACAGTACATTATTATACATTTTTTATGAAAGAGTGTTTTATCCCAAATCATTTGGTATCATTTTTGTGTGGTATGTGTTGACGCTTGGATGAACAGGAAGCATTGTTTTTGAGTGCAAAAATCGATTTGCGCCAAAGTTGCTTGTGTGATGTTTGAATAAAGCAATTGGGATTTGGGTATCAATTCGGTCTTTGCAGATCCAAATAACATTCCTAACAAAATAAATCATACCGCACATATCAAATATCGAATATTTAATATCAACGAACATTAAATGCGCGCGTTTGTGTGTGTGTGTGACTTTGCTTCTGCAAAAAGCATATGCAATGCATTTCATTTGATACATTCAATTCATTCTCTCACTCTGCTAATCCCAACATTATACATGCTGTAGGCATCACTTTGGCGCAAGTCAATTTTTTGCACTCTCGCAAAGAATGCCTCATGTTCATCCAATCGTGAACACGTACCACACAAAAATGATACCAAATGATTTGGGATAAAATACTCTTTCATGTAAACTTTTTTTTTTACTCACACGGTTTATATATGGATAAATATCATATGTCGTACAGGACTCATTTCATGGAACTGCGCAAAAATGATTGCCATGTTTGACATCTGTTTGGTGATGTAAAGAAGAGGAACTGTTGATCTGAGTTAAAATTGTATATTTGATGTGCTGTCCTTTTTTTTATTGAGCAAGTAGATGTTTCTTGCATTGAAACAAGAGAGGTCTTGTGAACATGATTTTGTTGTTGTTGTACAGTCAACATTGTGTAAGTCAACCTTGAAGGGACTGAGTAAAATTGATGACTTAGGCAATCTTTGACTTGTGCGTAAGCCCTAGAAATATGACTACCGGTAACGCATATGTATTACATGTATCTCATTCAATAAAATGTATCAATGTGATTTGTTTTATGTGATTTTGTGGCTAAAGTTCTAGCACAGTGACGTACCAGTAATCACAAATCACAATTATTGTTCACTTCCCCAGCTCAGTCCATAATTCTTCATTTTTCTATGTTACTTGTGCAGAGATGCCAACTGTTCCATTTTCGCCGTATTTGTTCTTTTTTTTTGCTATGAATACGGCAGTACGTTTTTTGTATGTTTTGTTACATTTTTTTTTTTTGTTGTTGTTGTTGTTGTTGACACTTTTCTTAATTTCCGATCATGGGTTTCGTGTCGTAAGTGTATTATGCACCTTTGTCTTCAAACGATGCACGCAGGACGATGATGCGGGCCCCAAAGTGCGCACAGTGCGAACAACCCACATGTACTGTATGCACCTCGCGCTCTGATCCGGGTATGTATACGTGGTACTGCCGTTTTTTTTAAGCTGCTCGATTGGGCGATATGTTAAGGTGAGAGATTTTTTCAAAAATACTGTTTTTTGTCCAAAAATACTTTTTTTTGCTCTTAAGAATACTTGTTTTTGTTGATGAAGGTTGGCATCTCTGCTTGTGTATCACTTTGATTGAAAGCCTTATTCTCACTTTGTTTGTGTGATGGAATAGAGCTATACAAGAAGCCCAATTCAGTATGCTGTTTCTATTTTCGTCTATATTTATTCATTCAGTCCACTGCTGGGACTACAGGAGGTTTGTAGTTGCCAAGTCGGACGTTGCCCCATCGGATGAGCTTGAATTCACCAGCAACAAGATCAGTACAAACTTCTCAAACTACTCCTCCTGGCACTATAGGAGTAAGCTCCTCCCAGTGCTTCATCCTGATCAAGAGAAGAAAGGAAGGCTCAAAGAAGACATCCTCATCCAAGGTATCGTATTAGTACCTCGACTGGTTTCTGCTTGCTTCAAGTGGCTATTAAAGACCATGATAGACCAAATAGATGCATGTATAGTAAGGAAGAAAGACATCCTCATACAAGGTATCGTATTAGTCCCTCGTCTGGTTTGTGCTTGCTCCAAGTGGCTATTAAAGACCATGATAGACCAAATTGATACATGTATAGTAAGGAAGAAAGACATCCTCATACAAGGTATCGTATTAGTCCCTCATCTGGTTTCTGTTTGCTTCAACTAAGTGGCTTAGACTATGCGGATAGTCCAAATAGGTACGAGCAGAGCAAAACCAAAACAAGTCCTCACCAAGGCTAGTATGTTATCGTTTTGTCAGATTTAAACCAAGTTTTGCACACCAATTGCAAGTTCTCTCATGGCAGCTACTTTCTTTATCTGTGCACTTCCAGGTGAGAAACCATTAGGAATCCAAGCAGTCTATGCAAACAGCGCCCTCAACCAGGTCATGGTGATATTCAGCCAGTCTGTTAACCTCCTACAGCAGCCAGCAGAGGTGTCCATCAGCGGTTCGGTCATGGATGGAACATGGAGGAACTCAAGAGGTAGTCAATACCACTCCATCATGTGGGTATCCTTTCTATAAAACAGTTGTGGAGCAGGGTTTTGATAACCAATCTGCTTTGTGATGTTTTATCAGATGTTTATTAAAGGTACTATGTCCCATTTGCAGGCCAAAAAAATGAAAAAGTTAAATTCCAACTGCATTTGAAAGATAATACTAATTTAGAACTTCCCTATATGAGGTGGGGCTTGAAAATGTCTTCAAGTGGGAAAATAACGACTATTAGTTGTCAACTCGACTTTAGGGCTATAGAGCCCAAAAGTAATAGTCTTGATTTTCAGACAATTGTACCCAATGGTCATACGTTTTATGCTGCGCAAAGATTCAATCAGTTTAATCTTGGCCATCACAAGAAGTGGGTTATTGATGTAGAAAAATGTTCATGTACCCTTTACAACTCTTTTCATGTATGTTATTACCAAAGAAGAAAAAAAGCCAGTCAGTCACTCAATAGTGTCTGACAGTGAAGTCTAGCAAGTAAACGGTTTTCCTTGCATAATTTGAATATGAGGACACTGCTAATGCTTAAATTTCACAGATAGACATACATGGCATATTCATAATTCCTGCAAAGTTCTACAGTATTTGAGGTTGGCTGCAAAAGGGACATAGTACCTTTAAAGATAAACTTGAGTTCTGGTAAAAAAAAGAAAATGCACAGAATCAAACGAAACTTCACTGAATGTTCAAGATTACAAATAATGTCATTTGCCAAACAATTTTGGTAGAAAATGTATACTGGCTGAGTAATGAGCATAGAAAAATGATGTGAGGAAATCAAGGTGAGTAGCCCTGACACCATTTGTGCAGTCCCATATACATCTTTCTGTGTACAGTGCTTGTTACTTTACCAAGACTGGGCCAAATTTATCATGATTTTGATGACTCCAGAACCTTGCAGTACACACCAATACTTAAATGCTATATGATCAACTTTTACCGATCCATTCTACACCTTTTCTTTCACAATGCAATTGCATGACCAGAACTCAACTTTATCTTTAATTTTAATATTTACGTTTATGTGTGTTGGAGGACAGGGGGTGGGGGGGGGGGGGGGGGGGTAACATGCAATGTCATTTCTTTTTTAATGAAACCGTCCATATAAAAGAAATATGATAGAAATTGACAGTACTCTTCTGTAGGCGTAATGAAATGAACAAAAGTGATATACAATTCACTATTAAATACCTAAGAAATTGATAATGGATAACAACTTCATTTAAGCTGTGAATATGTGTCATGGTTCATTTACATTGCATTAAAGGAATCAACATATAATTCAAAATTGTGACAGTTACTTTTTATACATACATATGACTGGGTTACACCCCAAAATATAAGAACCATGAACTTTTTTCTTGTTAAATAATTTGTAAGAGAATATCTTTTTTACACAAAAACATAGAGTAACAAAAAAACATTGCGTCAAATACGACTGAGGACTAGTTTGCAGTATTGCAATATAAAGATGATATTTATAATGGATTGTGTTAAGCCATATTAAATTTTAGAATTGTGTACTCGATGAATCAGTCAAAGCCTTAACTCTTGTTAAGATCTACACAGTAAGCAGTGATGCATTGAGGCAGGAAGGTGAAAGAACACTTCAAGTCAAACTGAGGGAAGATGTCTGTAGATCATGTCATCTAGATGAAGGTACGATTTTAAAAAATAATAATAAACATAGAAAGAGAGGGGGGAAATTATACTTCTACAATTTTTTCATTGTATGGGAAGTGTTAAAATGTGGTAAAGCTATAAATACAGTGTAATGTTCTTGCAGTTACATGTGTGTGATTTTTTTTTTTTTTTTTTTTTTGGGGGGGGGAGGGTCTTTCTAAAGGCTGTTCAACCCTTTAAATAAAATGAAATTAAAAAAACAAAAATAATCTCAACTCTCAACAGATGGTTCATGTGTGATTTTTTTTTTTTTTTGGGGGGGGGGGGAGGGTCTTTCTAAAGGCTGTTCAACCCTTTAAATAAAATGAAATTAAAAAAACAAAAATAATCTCAACTCTCAACAGATGGTTCATGTGTGAGTCTTTCATTTCCTTTAGTCCAGAAATGAAGAAAGATCTGCTGTGAATGTACTCCATGTACACATTCAATATATAATGATAATTAAAATGTTTTACTGAATGAAATTCATATTTCATTGAAATCCGAAGAGTATCCAAAGAGTTCAAAATATTACCTTTTTGCCCAGGAATAAATTACAGAGACACTAAATCTGGTTTATTTCCTTCATTCAGGTGCAACAGAATGTTGGAGCAAGGACAAGCAAGATGCGAGCTCACTCTTCACGGCTGAACTCAGTGATGAGAAAACAGAATTCCTCACAACGGAACTGGAGTCCTGTCAGCAACTTCGAGAACTGGAACCAGATAATAAATGTGAGCTTTAGCATCTGAGGAAACTTTGCACAATAGTAAATATGGCTGATAAGTACTATTTAGAATATGATTTGGTCCTCAGAATATATTTCCATGGGCTATTTTTATAGTTTGAACAGAAGGAATTGTATGTCAAGAAGGAAAATGTTGGGGCTTTTGTTTTTTTTAGGGATTATGGTTCCTACTTAGAAGGGAATGTATTTTGAGTATGTTTGTGATTGCCTTCATCTCAAAGTTTCAAACAACACCTGTGGTGTAATATTACTGTATTTGCAGGGGCCTTTTAGCTGTAGTCTTTATAATAACATGCCTTGTCCTCTTACAAACTAGGTTGAGGTAGTTGACTGCTCCTCGTTTCACTGTCACTACTTTCTTGGCAAGGTGGCAGTGATCTTTCTCATTAAGGTCCTACATGTCCATCCTCTGAGGCATACAAAATTGCTGAAATTGTTTTAACATGTTTTCCCTCTTTTATGTTATTGTTTTTACACTGTGTACCATCTTTTCTATGCTGTTATGTTACTCTTCTTGAACTCTCTTGGCTTATTGCATTTCTCAGGCCTGATAATTACCCGAATTAAATCGGTTTCCAGATTTTTAAATTTTTATCCCGATTTTTTTTTTTCCTGATTTTTTTCTTCTTTCTCCCCTATTTTTTTTTTCTTCCTGATTTTACCCTGATTTTTCCCTTATTTTTTAACTCAAAAGGGGGGAATGTTGTTTGATGCCATTTTTTTTCCTGAATCCTATTTTTTGTTTTGTTCTTACTTTCACCCCTGATTTCTTTGCAGGGTGTCTGTTGACGGTGATCCTTCTCATGAGGGCTCTCGACCCTCTGAAGCTCGAGGCCGAGATGCTCGGATGTTTCACGACCATCCTGTCTCAAGACACCTACAGGGCAAACTACTTCAAGGATCTCAGAAGCAAGTTCATCATGGAGAACGCCATCATGAGATACCTGCAGGAGAGTTCAAAGGTCACAGAGTCACAGGTCAAGCAGGCGACATTTGATGCATCTGGAAAGGTCAGTGTTAATGAATAAATATGCTCACTATGGAATAGTAAGAAGTTTCTCCACAATGCATCTAAAGTTAGAAATTCCTTCATTTAATTCCAATATGCTCATGATACAGGTATTTTTTTCCTTTAGATTTCTCTCTTGATATCGGTACAGAAAATGGGTACCTGATAGGAAGATATTACATGCTTTTGATATTTCATATTTCACTGACCAGTTAAAGCAAGATTTTAGTTTTAAAAATTGGAATCGTAGATGATTGCTAGTTTGGCATACATTTATACGATCCAAAGAACAAAAACAAAGGCAACTCTTTCAACTTTTTTTTCAACAATAATCAGTCTGTGTTAAAATTTCCCCCCAAAAATCAAATATTTCCCCCCCAAAAATCAAATATTTCAAGGTAAATTGATATTTAATTTTAACACATTCATTCTTATTTGAATTCATGAGCTGATAAGTGTAACCTGTATGTCTGTCTCGTAGATTTAAATTTGCAATAATAAAGTGTATGTGCATGGTGTATGTGTCATTTTTCAAGACAGTAAGTGAATTGAACCAATCTTTTACATGATTTGTTTTCACAGGAGTTGACGACCTTACATCATCTCCACCATCTATCATCTGTACACTGTATGGACCTCTCCAACAATGACCTTCTTGCGCTCAACGATGTAGATCTACTGTTCTGTGTGTCCGACCTAAAGGCTGATAGCAACAAGCTCCAGGACATCTCACACTTGAGTGGGTTACCTTGCTTAGAAACGTTGTCACTTGAAAACAACAGTATCCTTTGAGGAGTTTCGTGATGTGATGATTATAGTGAGGAAAAGGAGGGGGAGGAAGAGGGGGAGGAGGAAATTGAGGATGGTGATGATGATGAACGGAATATTACTGATAATGGTAACAGTGATGATGATGATAAAAATGCTGCTGATGATGACCTTGACCTACCTTGACCTACCTTGACCTAAGCCTTCCACACCATCTGGGAGATGTGTGATGGCTTCTGGCTTCTGATGATGATAGTGATAATAATGATGAGGAGAAGGAGGAAGAGGTGAAGGAGGATGCTGATAGCAACATGCATGAAGACATCTCATATCTACATGGTAAGGCCTGCTTATCCTTTTGGGCTTCAGCCTTGCAACGCAGTGGTGGTTAGGGTTGTGATGATGATAGTGGTGAGGACGATGATGGTGGTGATGATGGAGGGGGGGGGGGGGAGGGGGTTGGTGACGGTGATGATGGTGGTGGTGGTGATGATGATGATATAGGAATAATACTGATAATGGTAACAGTGATAATATATAATATTGACTGGCCTTGAGGGGTATATCAGAAATATTGACCAAGCTCAGATCATATTGCCCCGAGTCGAAAGACGAGGGCAATATGGTCTTAGCGCGGTCAATATTTCTGATATCCCCCGAAAGTAAAGCCAGTCAATATTTTTATTGTTATCCAAATCAGACATCTAGAGCAAATACAGACATCCACCATGACAATCTCAAGAACTGAACAAACTTTGTCAAACCAACACTGTGCATCCAGTGCTTGACAAAATTTTCGATACACTACAAACAGTGTGTATTTGGTGTGATTATTACGTCACAATAGAGTGCGCGCAAAGTGCGCAGGTTCTCGTACGCATAATATTAATAGATGCGCAATGAAAATGCGAGACCGAGGAAAATACCAAGGTATATTTTCACTCGTCTCTACACGCAAAGTCAATACGAGCAGGGAGACCAAGGAAAATACAAAGAATATACCCCTCCGTTCCCACTGCTAGGGAAAACTAGGGCAATACGGTTTTGTAAATGACCAGCTCAGATGTCTGATACGGGTAATAATGATGATGATAATGATGCTGATAATAATAATGCTGATGATGATGATGAGGATAATGATAAGGAGGAAGAGGTGAAGGAGGATGCTGATAGCTACATGCATGAAGACATCTCATTTGTACATGGTTAGACCTGCTTATCCTTTTGGGCTTCAGGCTTGCAACGATAGTCGTGAGGATGCTGATGGTGATGATGATAATTATAATGACGACAACGACGATGATGATGACGATGATGATGATGAAGTTAGACCTACATGGACTGCCCTGCCTACAAAATCTTGTCATTGAAAAACAGGTTTCTGTTTGGGGGTTTAGTAATATGATAATAGTGAGGGGGATAGTTGATGATGATAACATGATAATAATGGTGATTACTGTGGTGGTGGGAATGATGATAAGGGTGGTGGCGTTGGTGGTGGCTGTGTTTAAGTGATTTTGCTGATGATGGAGATGAGGATGGAGGTAACAATGATGAAGAGATGAGAATTAGAACGAAGATGGTGATCATGATCATGATGTTCATGAAGATGGTAGGGGTGTTATATCACCATTCAAGCAATATTCTGATATTATTAAAAGAAAAGAAATCAAATTTTAATTTAAAGGTCCTTTTACCTTTCTTTTTTTCTTTTAACTGCAATCATTCACTCGACAAAGATGCAATACCCATCCAAATAATTCCTTAACTTACTTTCCTCAGACATCTCTTCACTCTCACAGCTGGAGCCGCTGGCAGCTTGTCCAAATCTTCGACGATTGGATCTGTCTGGTAATTCAGTCTGTGACCTTGACCTTTTTGGGTCAAAGGTCAGAGAACTCCTTCCACAACTGACAAGCCTTAACAAGGAGTTACTATGATGGCTGTTTTTACTTAGGTCTGTAATATTTCTGAAGTGCAAATAATAGGTTCTTGCTAGTAGATAACACACTAGTTGTCCATATAAAATATGGGGACTGGGTGTACAATTTAAATTGCAAGGGTCCTTACAAGAATCATGTTGGTGCATACTTTCAACCTGCAAAAACATATCTGGTTCTACCGCAAGGTTGGTTCGCTCGATTAGTATCAAGTGTTAACAAATACATGTATCTACCAAAGGATTGCGGAGTGGAGTGTATGTGGTGTAATAGAAATTAGTAAGGGTATTGTGATGTATCATAACTTAAGCCTGTCTGTACTAGTTTGGCCAGGAGGGATTAGACTACCCAGGGTGGTCACTGACAGGTGGCTATCTCATCAACTCAGCTCTCAATTAACATAAGAAAAAGAGGATCATGGGGGACCAACGGGCACCGCTTAGGCATTGTTTTCTATATAGAGGGAGCAAGTACATGTAGCTACAAGTAGTACAGAGGGACTTTAAAAGAATAAGAATATAACATGACGATTATGTACACACATTCCAGAGTGTATTCCGTCTTTCTGTTGTTACTATTACTATCATTATAATTTAATGATTTGGGCCTGGGCCTGGTACAAGAAAAGCACACTTAATCACCCATGGCTCTCTCCTCCCAGTGTAACTGATTGGCATGTGCAGGCGTACTACGACACCAGGGGGTGTTTCACAAAGATCCTAAGTTGAACTTATCTCTAAGTTGGACTTAAAATTTATGGACACCCATTGGAGCCTTAAAATGAAATATATTCAAAAGCAGAAATTCAAGTATTTTAGACTTTTTATAAATTCCACATCCAGAACATGAAGTCTCCTTGATGATAGAAAATATGAATGATTTGAATCAACATTTTACGCCTTTCAAAATAACTTTTACAAAATATTTTCAAAGATGCTAATGACTTTCCATAGTTTTTAAGTCCAACTTAGAGATAAGTTCAACTTAGGATCTTTGTGAAACAACCACCAGGCTTGCCTTTACTCTTCTCATTTTATTTTACCCTAGATCAAGGGATCATACATGTATATTAAAAATAGCTTGTAATCCCAATATTCTGAGATTGTGGATTGCAATCAAACTTGAATTTGAAAAATTGCTCTATGGCGGAGGCATCATTCCATCTAGTTGTATTTGTATTTGAAATCCAACCTCAAGTTTTAGCTGCAATAAAGAAATATTGATAATGATAATAATAATGATAATGACAATGATGATAATGATATTAATAATAGATGGGTGGTGGCCATTTATCAAGCTAGTGCATTCTGCTTTGGGTAAAATTGGACTCAAGTTTTTTAATTTAGCATGTCAACAAACTTAACCATTTAACTTTATTTTTATATAACTACTATATCATGGGAAAAGATAGATCTATTGGTGAAAATAAGTTTTTGTTAATCATCATATCAGTCACATCATTAACAGCTCGGCTTTAATCGGTTATTAATGTCCCAAGCCCCATGAGCGTTGTGACGGATAGGAACGCTATAAAAAAAAAAGAGCATACTTGGATTATTTGTTATGTTGACTTGGTAATATGATTCTTGACTGTATTTATGTGCTTATACTGTACTGTCTGTTGGTCAAACACAATATAAATATAACATTGTTTCAAATCGTGGTATAAAGTGATTGTGCTGTGAATTAAATGTCAGTGATGTCAAAGTGTGATTATGTGAAGATGATATGAACCTTTATTATTATTAAAGGAATATTAAGAAACAGTTATTTCTCAATGTGGTTTCATTTCAATTTGTCCATGATAGTAAAAGAGGATGAAAAGGGAGAACAAAAGGGTAAAAGTAAGACATAGAAACGGGAGAGAAATATAAAAGAGAGAGACTTTAAAGAAGCAAGTGAGAGAAAGATACAAAAGTGTTTTAAGGGCTAATTTTCTAGTGCTTATAATACATCCACATGGGCATCCAAATATATTAAAATTATAAAGAATCACTATCCACCCAATTTTCAAAATTTCCCAAAACTTTGTATTACCTTTAAGAATATCTAAATATGTAGTTAAATATATGCACCACCTGTATGAATAGCCTTGTTGTTGTTTTATTAATAAGTTGTTTTTTGTTCTGTCAAATACCGCTAACTATGACAATATGCATGTAACAAGATTTCCACAGGTAAAATAAAAGTGCTGACACAAACATTTAATTACAATAGAAAATGCAATGAATTTAATTTTGCATCATAATAACATGCTAGTCCTCCTGAATACATTCAGCAATTTTTTGTCCTAACATTATGATGTACAAACTTTACCATATTATACTTGCACAAATACATTTCACAAGCAGTGAAGGAGCGGGGCTAGTATTATCTGTACTACACTACACTTATTCTTACTCTGCTCCCACCCTACATGTTCAAGACAATTCCTCAAAGATGACAAATGTTTCAATCCTTTTGATTATCCAGGTTTCAGGTATGCTGAGGTAAAACGCAGCATTTTTTTGGCAAACCATGTTTAACATGTTTAACATACCAATGGCAACTGCATGCAGCCAAGGTCCAACACTAAGTTAGAGCTGTGTTACATGTATAAGATACAGACATATGAAGCATATTACCTCAGCAGTGTACTGCATCATATCTGAAAAAGATTCATCACAAAATACTCAGAACTGGTTTTCATAAATTAAAATTCATTGTGACATGGTACATATCCAAAATATCAGTTGCAGAAGGATATTAATTGAAGCACACTCACCTACATACACAATATACTAAATATTACGTGATTCCAGTGCATAATGTCAATCAGCCTATTTCTGTGTGATGTCAGAATAAAGTGCAATTGTGTGTATGTGTGTATTGGGTTTTTACAGACGTGTATCAATCAGATATGATTATTTACGTCTGGGACCAACCTTTAAACGTCACCATCCGAAAGACGTGACTCAGTTTCGAACCTGCGTCCTCGGCTGAATCAGTTTGTAACTTCCACTTTTTAGCTGGATTACAGGCGCATGCCACAACGCCTAGTTATCACCATTTTAATCACCATGCAATAGATTTTGTTGAAAGCTTTTGTCATTTTTACTCTCTCCTAAAAAACCATAGATCAATTTGGAGACTGTGACATACGCCAAATTATTGTAATATGTATGTTATTATTTGGACAATGAATTAAATGATATGCTTTCATGTACAGACAAAAATTATACTGTAAGGACATGGGCTTAATAATGCAAGCTGCTGCCAATTTGAGTAGTATAAAATAAAGATTAGTCTTTAAAAAATTGTATCTTCTATCTAAATATTGGATTGTCCATTTCATGCTCATATCAATATCACTTATCGATTGGGCAGTAATTTCCTTTCATATAATTTTTATTTAAAGTCGCCATGTAGGTACATGTACTGTAACAACTTCACCCAGATTTTGCATTAATCTACGAATTGTTTACCTCCCTGCTCTAGTTATCAAATCCTACAATTTGGTGACATGATTTAGGACTGCTGAGAGTACACGCCGTATGTCCTGACAGACAGACACAAATCTGATTGTCATGAAATCTTTTATACTAATAAGCAATGGAAAATTGACATTGTGCTGCTACAATGTACGTGTACATGTTCAAAGAGCTGCATAGAAGTAGAGATTTTTCTCTTTATGAAACAATTATAGATTGTCTCAATGTACATGAAATTCAATAATCTTATACTGAACTAAAGTTGTGTATCTCTGAGGAAACTAACAATTTCCAGAAAATTTATGCAATGAAATCTACACTGTGATCATCACATGTCATCTTTCATTTCCATCAAATTATAAACCAATTATAGAGAGGAATCATATCTGTTAAGGCAAGCATGACATTTAAAAAATCTTTGGCCTATAACAACAATTTAAATAGCAATGTTGACATCCAATGAATACAGATAAGATTTGTACTTGTTTTCCTCTGTACATCTATTCAGAAGAAAATGACATGTGCACTTGTAAATATCATATTAGTATGCACAAGCTATTATTGACAATTTTGAGTAAAGGAAATTAACTTTGTAAGTATTGTGTCTTTTAACACAATAATTCTGATCAGTCTGTAAAATGAAACTGATGGAAATAAGAAGGTAGTAGGATTAAAGGTAAAGACCAGTATTGGAAATGCCCCAATTTCAAAAAATGAAATGGAAGCTCTCATTACCAATCACGTGAAAGAATATGTTTTGACTTTTGACTAATACATGATGATAAAAAAATTGCCGGGAAACAGCCTACTAATTCATATATTTGGTAAATTTGATTCTCTCATGGTCTGTGAGAGATATAGGGTAGTCCCATATACATCTTTCTGTGTATAGTGCTTGTAACTTTACGAAGAATGGGCCACATTTCTTATCATTTTGATGATTCCAGAACCTTGCAGATGCTAGATGCTAGATGATCAACCTTTTCTGATCGATTCCACAACGTTTCTTTCACAATGCAATCGCATGACCATAACTGGTCTTTACCTTTAAGCAAACTGCACTGCAATTATGAAAAGTCTATTGATGTAGAAGTTTTATACAATGTAAATTAGAGGGTCAATTTGCAAGACATTTTGAAGGGACATAATTACAAATTTCTGATCAAACTACCCAACTGCAGGTATATGATATTCTTGTAGGACACTCTATAAGTTTAAGATAATTACCTAACTTCTGATAGATACTACCACCTAGCTGCAAGAAACTTTGATAGTTAAGAATGAGACACAAATTCTTTATTCTTATGAATACGTACAGCATACTTTATCAAATTCAAAGTACTTTGCAATAATAGGTCAGTGATGCAGCCAAGACCTTGGGCAGAGAGCTCTCAACACTAACAGGCGCCTGGGACACATAGGCACCTGAAAGTCAGGACCCTCCCCCCCCCCCCCCCCCCCCATGTTGAAGTTTTTCCATAGGGTTTCTGCATACATGCACGAGGAAAGGAAGGACGAGGAAGGATTTATAAAGTATAAAGTCGCAGGGTCAAAACCAAAACATAGAAGGAAAAAACAACAGAGACAAATTTTAATTCAAAACCTGTTGAATGCTATGCCAAGCTCTCTATATCTCAGCATACCGTATTATATATAGGGTCTGTGTGAAATGTGTGTTATACCAAAATTGAAGTATAGTCAATAGGTTTAAGTTCATCACTATCGTCTGTCTAAGGAAAACGGCTGGTTAAGCTGCATTCTGTACCTCTCATCCTGGTCTAGCTGCTGTTGATCTGGATGCCAAAGACTACATAGAATCCTTTCCGTTGCTAATGAAGCAACTGTGTGAGAGGCTAGTAACCTCCCATTAACCAGCACAGCATCCAGCAAATCCTCCAGGGTTAGTGTCTTATGCATAGGAGCCTTGCCACCAGTAGCTAGTCTATAAACGGCCTTTTGTTCAACTTCATCCACTCCTAGCTTACTTGCAACATTGGAGCTTGGCGAGTCTATGGATGATTGGAGATCGACCTTAGTCTCTCTTTCCTTGGCTTGTGGCGTTGTTTCAGTGAAGTATTGTCCATGTGCGTGCTTGAAACATCCATCCCGGACCTCGTAAGCGGACTGTCTCGATAGCATAGCACTGATGAGATTTTTCAGGACGCGTTGGACGGCATGCAAGACGACAGGGACGGTGGAATCTGTGACTCCCTCCAGACCCCATTCCCAGGTCGTCACAAAGACTCTACCGTGGAGCATTTCAGCATCTGGTAAACAAGCTGCTTTGGTACAGAACTCCATTTTCTCGTTGGTCACAGGCTTTGACACTTCGATGGGTAGGTATTGCATAGGATCACTGGGCATGAAGCGGTTTTCAAAAGTAGCTCTTACAATGGCCTTCTTCTTCTTGGTGCTCTTGGCCTTCTTTACCACCTTGCTCGGTGTAGGAGTCAGTGGCGTTACAACCGGGATGGTTCCTTTTGCAGCATTGGAGTCATGGATGAAGTTAGCAGTCTGGCACTTGGCAAAGATGGCAACCATGAACTCATTATGTAGGTGGACACTCCTTTCTGTCAGTAGCCGCAGAGCTTCATTATCCAAATCATCCTTGTCCACTTTCTGGCGATACCACTGTTTCATTATCGTCCAGTAAGCAGATCTATTTTCCCCAAGGGCATCCTCCAGATTTGTCCTGGCTTGCTTCAGCTCTGCATTCACTGCATTCATTGCCATGGTGTGATCTTTTCTCTTCCAAGCCCTGTAGTGAGAATTTAAGTGACAAAAGAGAAAAGGGATATGAATATGGTTACAGTCTGTGTATGGATGGGAAAGGTTGATAAATGTCAGTTTTATTAAAGATAAAGACCAGTTATGGTCATGTGATTGCATTGTGAAAGAAACATTGTGAAATCGATCAGAAAAGGTTGATCATTTAGCATAGATGTACTGCAAGTTTATGCAAGAAATTTGGCCCAGTCTTCATAAAGTTACAAGCACTGTACACAGAAATTTGTAGGAAATTATGGGTCAAAATCAACATCCATGTTGAAAATCTTGCAGCCGTATTTTGAACTCTCGCTGCGCATGACGTCATCTAAATCTCATCTCTTTCAGTCTACGCTGAAGGCAAAATGATTATGAAGGAAAAACTGTGCACGTCATTACAAACTCATAGCATGTGTTTAGATGACGTCATGCGCAGCGAGAACTTAACATACGGCTGCAAGATTTTCAACATGGATGTCGATTTTGACCTATTATTTCCAAAAAGGGGACCATTAAACGGATTATTTCAGTCAAGTTGGTAAGTGGAACCGAAGTATTTAAGCCTATACCTAATTTTCAAAATAAGATGCACCGGATATGCATCGTGTGAAATATGGAATTTGGCCGGTAGTTTTGCCAAGTTTGATGGAGAGATTTATCCACCTAACCTACACCTTAGTCCGTATGGACCTCTTCTGTCTCTAAAGAGAGGAGCCGACCCTACCCACATCAGAGGCAGAAATTTTCGGTCGACGCCCGCTAGTGCTGTAGATCAGCGGGGAAACGCACAGCACACGCTTCCTATTGACTTTGTAGATGCGCCCGAAAACTGTCTCGCTCGGAAAAAACTGTGCATGCCATTACAAACTCGTAGCTCGCGCACAGTTTTTCCTTCACAATCATTTTGCCTTCGGCGTAGACTAGAAGGGATGAGATATAGATGACGTCATGCGCATCCTGTGAAATATGGAAGTTGGCCGGTAGTTTTGCCAAGTTTGGTGTAACGTATCTTTACACAAAGCGTGAACACTAAAGCATATAGGGCTGTTCTGTCTCTAAAGAGAGAGCCGACCCTACCAAAACAGAGGCTAACGAACGAAAGAGACAGAAAAATTCAGGGTTGGCATATTTCCCGCTTCGGAGGCTTATTTCCCGGACGCCGGGAAACAAGCGGTATTTACCGGTATTTACCACTTTTTACCGGGAAATACCGGGAAATATATTTTTCCACTCACTTGTTCATAGGGATTGTCCAATTTTGAACAAAATAACAATGGTGGTGAGTATGGTTGCTCTTGTGTGTACTATTTGTGCGTGTGTGTGTGTGTTTGTTCGTGTGTTTGTCTATGTCTGTAATTATGTAATGCTGGAAAAAAATACAGAAAAAAGATACTAAATATACACCTAATCTAGATATGATGTTCATCATTAAAGGGAACCAAACCTTCATACTAAGCTACTTTTATTGTAAAGTTTAAGATATTTGAATAAAATCAGTGAAAAATTGAACAAAATCGGGCAAGGAATAAGGAAGTTAAAGCTTTTTAAAATGACTAGTCACATGAGGGCGATATTCAATTTGATGACATCATTTGTGGACAACTCTCCATGCCTTTTGTACATCAAATTTCACAAGTCTTTTGTTTTTTTCCTGTTTATTTGTGTTCTTGATTGGATATCATAACATGTGAAGTAAAATATCATTTTGCATTCTATTATCTCAATCACAAGAAAGAAAGAAAAACATGAAATTTGATGTACAAAAGGCATGGAGAGTTGTCCACAAATGATGTCATCAAATTGAATATCGCCTTCTAGTGACTAGTCATTTCAAAAAGCTTTAACTTCCTTATTCCTTGCCCGATTTTGTTCAAATTTTCACTGATTTTATTCAAATATCTTAAACTTTACAATAAAAGTAACTTGTAGAAGGTTTTGGTTCCCAGTTGCTAATTACCATATTCATGAATACCTATTAATTAGCATATGCACAAAATGCCATTTGTTTGGGTGTGTACAATTTTGTATGCAGTGAGGATTTTATAAATCTGTTTGTGTGTTCCTACTATGAGTATTGTGCTGCTAATTATTTCAGAACAATATTTTCAGTTATGAGGCTAAAAACAAGTAAAATTATGAATAAATAGAGAATTAAAATCATATTTCCCGTTTTTTACATATTTACCGGACGCGCATCTTATTTACCGGACGGTATTTACCGGTATTTACCGCCGGTAATTACCGCAACCGGTATTTACCGCCCAACCCTGGAAAAATTTGGTCTACATGTAACCATGCCTTCTATTCGAGGTACTGATTAAAACTAGTATGGGCCTCGGTGACTCCAAAAGGGATTTGCTTGACAAAAACATCGTACTCTATCTACCTTCGAATGTGCAGTTTGTAAAAATCTGCAATTAAAAAGATATAATATTTTTTCGTTATATTTTCTAGTTGTTAAAAGTGACATTTGTGCACATCTGATATGTTAATCTCTATCAAAAGTTCTTTGATATTAAATTTGGTTCCATATTTTTAGGCTCTACCTTCAGTCATTGAGAAGGATTTTAGTGAGCTAACCTCATCGCCCTCTAGTTTCTCTTGTGCGTCTGTTTTTTTTGTCTGCTAGCGCAATTATTGGATCAAAATACGTCAAAATCTGCAAGATCATCAATAAATGGTGAAAGATCTTTACAGATCCGTGATTATAGGTATGTTGTGGAGTGTGTAATTGTGTATTTGTTATACATTTTATTCCATAGATATTTGTTTTCTTTTTTTTCCCCTTTTTTTTTCTTCTGGTAATTTTCTGACTTGGACGACGAGCGCACAAATTGTAGGCGTAGAAGCCTTACGCCCGGGCATTGGCCTCCCTACTCGGATTAATCATTAATTTAGGATCTAAATGAGCAAGCTATCATAAGATAAATAAGCTATATTTTAGATCTAGACGTCTATAGATCTAACAAGTTGAAGTTAGACCCTATCTAGATCTATGTTATTTTTAATTTTTATTATAATTGCATTAGAGTAAAGGAGCCCGTTTTCGGCCACTTAAGACAAAATCCTATTTTTAGGACTCATTATCATTTATTATCATTTCTTGTTCAAATCATGAAGCAAATATTATTATTATTTAAACAAAAAAAGAATCCCAGAAAAAAATCACGAATTGCCATGACAATATTCATTTCAATTTTCACCGTTTCAGTTTACGGCCGCATGTACAAAGTCAATAGGAAGCACTCGCGCGCGCCGTGCGTTTCCGCGCTGATGTACAGCACAAGCGGGCAGGGCAGGTATCCCACGCCGGAGCTCCCTGGTGCTCGCCTGGCCGAAGACAGGCACAGCGGTGATCGGAAGTTGGAATCTGAATTAGACAGAGATATCGTGTGTGCGTCGCGGTGTGCGGCTGCATTGATTTAATGCATGCGATGAGATACTTTTGAGCTTGCGACTAGCACAAAATCGGGCTCTAAATCTGAAAAATACTTGAAATAAAGCTCATTTTATGGTACCCATATTTCTTACAGACACGCGTAAGATACTCGATTTTTCAGATTTGGGTAGCGGGACCGGCGATTACATCGCTAAAATGTGATATTTTAGGATATATTTTCCATTGCAAATGTGGTTCTTCAGTGAAACTGGCATGGTATGGTATGTGTGGGATATGTGTTATGCTATTATGCGATGTATTTTAGAGTGATTTTACCTTGCATCCAACCAATCGGCCGAAAACTGGAGCTGGCCGATTACCGGCTCCTTTACTCTAGACCCTAAGTAGACAAGAGTGAAAAACTTGTTGCATAGACTATATCTCATTCATTGCGGTCCGGTCGAACCGAACACCCTAAAGTATCTAGACTCTAGACTAGATCTTAAGGATAACCTTTTTTTTCTTTTTTTTTTCCCTTTTTTTTTCTTCCGGTAATTTTCTGACTAGACCTAGTTGGACGACGAGCGCACAAATCGTAGGCGTAGAAGCCTTACGCCCGCGCCCGGGCAGCGTTATTTTTTTATGCGGCACAGATTGGGGCTTTTTTTTAAAAGGGGTCTTGATTTACAGACTAATACTGGTCGTGTGCGTACGAGACATGTATAAGTAGTAGAGGTCTGTTTTTACATTTAATCCACTACTGCATGGAAAATCATTACATCAACAATTAAAATCAAATTGGAAATCTGAAGAGGAGGCAGAACGTCAATAAGGAGAACATCACAATAATTAGTCAATAAAACTTAACTAACTTAAACGAACAGGAATGTTATCTAAACACATAGTTCGCGATGGATATACAAACTTCTTCGCAGCGCTAATGCGCTAGCTAACATGACTAGTCTCACGTACGTGCAGACACTATTCAGAAGGGAAAGAACGTACTTCCCATAGGTTTAACACGCGCCATGCCCCAATCTGTGCCGCATAAAAAAATAACGCGCCCGGGCAAAAAGATACAGTTCAGTCGCTGTGCGCTGTCATTCACATCCCAAGTTATAGACTGACCCACATATTGGCATCTGTGTGTTGTTACAATGCGCCGTGTTAAAAAGTGGTGATGAAGAGTCCAATAAGTGGCAATAACCCAACAAAATTAATGCAGAATGCAGTGAAAGATATTTAAAAACAAGACAGGCAAATTGATAACACTAAAAACACAAAATGAATCAACTTTACCACTATTTTTCATCAATCGCTGATGCTCATTCTATTTCAAATCTTTGGCCCCTCACGATCTACGTACAGTAGATCTATATGCATATGATAATTGGAGAGCGCCCGCCGCGCGCGCGCGCGCATATTTTTTTTTACACAACTGTTTAGCCATTTTCGCGTAAAAATTCCAAGAAGTGCTCTGGTGAAAGAGTCCAAGTCGTCAGCGCATTATTGTGCAAGCACGTACACCAAGGGAAGGGAAGATGATAGAAGAGGGAATAAAGGATAGTGGAGAGGATATGGAGGACGAAAGACAAGGAAATACATAAGGAAAGAGAAGAGGATAAGTCAAAGGAAGAACATAGAAATACATAATTGAAGAGCTAAGAGGATCATAGATTTAGACTAAGGAAAAACAGGGAAATACATACAGAAGGAGAAAGGGAATCTATCAGATTAAAACAAAGAAACAGATGACGAAGGAGAAAATGATAGATTGAAAGAGAAACAAAGAAATACATCAAAAAAAGAGAAGAGGTTAGAATAAAGGAGAACAAAAGAAATACCGATTAAGGAGATCGAACTGGGGGTAGATTGAAGGAAAAACAAAGAGATCATATATAACGAATTAATCATACTGGTTTTCAAATGGTAAAATCAACTGGTAATCATCTACTGGTTTTCAAATGGTAAATCGACTGGTAATCATCTACTGGTTTCAACTGGTAAATCAACTGGTAATATCAACTGGTATCAGATGTCAACTGGTATTTCTACCGGTTTCCAAATTGTATCAACTGGTAGCAACTGGTACCAGTTAAGACCAGTTGAGACCAGTTGAGACCAGTTCAAACCAGTAGATACCAGTTGGAAATCCTTACTGGTTTCAACTAGTATCAACTGGAATTTCGACCTGGGGGCAACATCATCAGCGAATCTGAGATCAGTAAGTGTTTCCCCATCAATGTTTATACTCCTCCATTTAAATGCGACTTTTTAAATACTTCCTCTATAGTGGCTGTGAATATCTTTGGAGATAATGTGTCTCCCTGTCGGACTCCCCTCTGGATCTTGACCTCCCTTGATACATCATTATCAATGTGAATTCTGGCTAGTGCGTTGGTGTAATATCTTTCAGGATGCTCACATACCCTTCTTCAATGTTAATCTTTCGTAGGGCATCAAACATGTCTGTGTGTTCGATGGAATCAAACGCCTTCTGGTAGTCCACAAATCCGAGGCATAGTTGAAGTCGGTACTCATTTGCCTTCTCAATGAGTTGATTTATAGCTTGTAGGTGGTCTGTTGTTGAGACTCCAGCTCTAAGCCCTGCTTGTTCTCTGGGTTGATTTGTATCCAATATATCTTTGATTCTATTTTGGATTACTTTGGTGAAGATTTTGTACAGATGAGAAAGAAGGCTGATTGGACGATAGTTTTTTACATCAACTTTGTCACCTTTCTTGTATAAAAGAATTATATTTGCCTCTTTCCAAGTAGTTGGAATCTGTTGCTTTTCCAATATCTGGTTGAATAGTTTCCTCCCCTCCTTGTTTGATAATATCACTTGTTATTTCGTCATTTCCCGGTGCCTTGTTGTCCTTCATACTGTTTACAGCTTCCTCAAGTTCTCTATGTAGTATTGGCGGTATGTTTGATTTTCTGGATGAGATATCTATATGATCCTTCTGTCGTTTTTTTTTTTTTTTTGTCGTTTTATGTTTTATCACAACTATACTTAATAAATGACACATATTTGCAAAGCAGGTCCCCTTCCTTCATTTGATGCTACTTATATGTTGCATATTTTACGCATGAGTGATTAAAAGCAATTTGAAGGAAGAAAAACCAAAAAGTCATTTGGCGGGCGGTATCTGTATTTCAAAGGAAAAAAAAAATCACATTTCCAGAAAGTTCATATTCTGCCCTTTCATATGACACCTCAATCAGGAAATGTGAGCAAGAAATTAACCAAATTCTGTTTGTTTAAAGTGATGCTTGCATTTCCATAATTTGATTTTAAAAGTTCATTTTCACTGGCTGCCTGCCGTAGCAACAAGCAGAATTGACAAAAGACTTAACTCCGTTTCATTTACAATCAGCCATGCATCAAGTCTTTCGTCTATGCTGATCGTCAACGAAACGGAGTTAATATATGCATCATATAAGTATAGCAGCAAATGAAAGAGGAAAATCTAAACGTGTCATTTATTAATGATAAAACATCGATACTTCTCGGTTTCGTCCTTTTCTGGGGACGCACTGTATATCTCTCTCTCTCTATAGAAGTGTCTGCCTTTTAGTCTCTCGATCTCCGATCAGTTTCTCTAGCTCATGCATGACCGGGGGGGGGGGGGGACTCAGATTTGCATGGTTTGGACGGGGTGTGCCGCTCAGGCCTCGAAACCCCTACCCATTATAAGAGATCATTTGGGGGCATTTTTCATAAGTTTCAGGTGTTTTGAGGGTGTTTGCATGGCAATTACATCTGAAAATTTAGCAAATTTTGAACAAACAAAACCATTTTTAATGGTATTTTTGTTAAAAATGGGACCCATGTTCAGGGAATTTTGTTGTTGAAAAAGTGACCCATTAGAGCGCAGGCGCGGATCCAGGATTTCTTAGGGGGGGGGGGGGGCCCACTTTTTTTTTTGATCCCCCAAAATATCGCAACGACTCAGTCAGCCGCTGAATAAGTGGGGGTGGGGGGGGGGGGGGGGGGGGGTGGGGTAAGAGGACACTTTTTTTTTGCTTTTTGGTTTCGAAATTTGAAAATTTGACTTTTTTTTCCGTTGGGGGGTGTGGGAGGTCACCTTTTTTAGGTCAGCCATTGGCATAATTTATTTTAAAAAAGGGAGGGGGTTTGCTCCAAAATATAAACATAAAAAACCGAAGAGGGGGTTCGACCCCTAACCCCCCCCCCCCCCTCCCTTGCGTACGCGCCTGCTCGTCTGAATACAGTTTCCCCCTCCCGCGCGAAGCGCGGAAGCTTTTACGTTTCATTAAATCTTTAGAGAAAGAAGACGATTCGTTGTACCGTTTTTTACTCTTAATCCTCGTCTAAATTCACCCCCCCTCTCTCCCGCGCAAAGCTCGGAAGCTTTTACGTTTCATTAAATCATTAGAGAAAGAAGCCGATTCGTTGTACCGTTCTCGACTCTTAATCCTCGTCTGAATTCAGTTTTTCCCTCCCCCCGCCCGCGCGAAGCGCAGAAGCTTGTACGTTTCATTAAATCATTAGAGAAAGAAGCCGATTCGTTGTACCGTTTTTGATTCTTAATCCTCGTCTGAATTCAGTTCCCCACCCCCTCCATCTGCGCGCGCGAAGCGCGGATGTTTTTACGTTTCATTAAATCATTAGAGAAAGAAGACGATTCGTTGTACCGTTTTTTACTCTAATCCTCCTCTAAATTCATCCCCCCCCCCTCTCCCACGCAAAGCTCGGAAGCTTTTACGTTTCATTAAATCATTAGAGAAAGAAGACGATTCGTTGTACCGTTCTCGACTCTTAATCCTCGTCTGAATTCAGTTTTCCCCTCCCCCGTCCCGCGCAAAGCTCGGAAGCTTTTACGTTTCAATCAATCATTAGAGAAAGAAGACGATTCGTTGTACCGTTCTCGACTCTAATCCTCGTCTGAATTCAGTTTTTCCCTCCCCCCGCCTGCGCGAAGCGCGGAAGCTTTGACATTTAATTCAATTATTAGAGAAACAAGACTATTCGTTTTACCGTTCTCGAAAATAATCCTCGTCTGAATTCAGTTCCCCACCCCCTCCATCCGCGCGCGCGAAGCGCGGAAGCTTTTACGTTTCATTAAATCATTAGAGAAAGAAGACGATTCGTTGTACCGTTTTTTACTCTAATCCTCGTCTAAATTCATCCCTCTCCCGCGCAAAGCTCGGAAGCTTTTACGTTTCATTAAATCATTAGAGAAAGAAGACGATTCGTTTTACCGTTCTCGACTCTTAATCCTCGTCTGAATTCAGTTACCCCACCTCCTACGCGAAGCGCGGAAGCTTTGACATTTAATTTAAGTATTAGAGAAACAAGACAATTCGTTTTACCGTTCTCGAAAATAATCCTCGTCTGAATACAGTTTTCCCCTCAGGGGTTTTAGGCAGGCGCGGATCCAGGATTTCTTAGGGGAGGGAACCAACTTTTTTTTTTTTGCTCCCGAAAATTTGAAAATCGCGCCGGCCGAAAAGTCGCTCAGTGGGGGGGGGGGGGGGGGGGGGGGGGGGGGGGGGGGGGGGGGGGGGGGGTACAGAGCATTTTTTTTTTTTTTTTTGCTCCCGAAAATTTGAAAAACGCGCCGGCCAAAAATTCGCTCAGTGGGGGGGGGGGGGGGGGGGGGGGGGGGGGGGGGTAGTGAGCACATTTTTTTTTTGGGATCCTCAAAAAAAATTCAATTTGCACCCCCCCCCCCCCCCCCCCCCCCTGGATCCGCCACTGGTTTAGGCGTTTAATTACTGTCAGATGAGCATTTGTTGATACCTTATTTTGTTGTGACACTGGCAGTTAACTATTTTTTCCTTCTTGCTCTCTTTTTTACTATTTTTCTTTAAAATGCTTTTCCAAAACATTTTTTTTTTTTTTTTTTTTTTTGAGGGGGGGGGGGGGGGAACTGGAGGCTCCCGATCCCCGCCGTTCCGCGGGCCCTGACATGCATCTCAAGAAGCATATTTATTGCCTGGCTGTTAATTTACAAACGCATAAAAAAAAGTATAATTTACTAAAGAATGAGGAAAAATCTCGGAAAATTATGTCATTTCAGCATTATGTGTAAACCACCGTTATGGAATTAGAAATAAACCGCGTTTAAATTTTACTTCCCCCGAGCCCCCTCCCCAATCAATACGCCAGTGCCCCGCCCCCCCCCCCCGATCCACACTTTGTTGGCGGAAAAATCGCAACTGATCTCCCCTACCTTTCTTCTTTCTCTTTTTTTCCCCCTTTCTCTCCTCTTTCCCTTTCCTTCCTTCTCTCTCTTTTAGGTTTGATGTGGGGGGGGGGGGGGAGGCAAGGTCATTTCGGCTCTCACCCTTCTCCACACGTTGTTGGCGGGATTAACTGCAAATGATCTTTTTCCACTTCTTTTCACCTTTTTTTTGGTCCCTATTTTAGCTCTCCTTTTTTACTTTTCCTTCTTTCTCTCTTTTTTTTAGCGGGACGGGGGGAGGCAAGGGCCTTTTGCCCCACCCCCTACCCCGATCCACAACTTGTTAGAGGAAAAATTGCAACTGATACCCCCTCTTTCCATTTCCTTCCTTCTCCCTTATTTTTTGATTGGGGGATGGGACGGTAGGCGACAGCCTGGGAGGCGAGGCTCTTTCGCCCCCCCCCCCCGATCACTTCTTCCCCCTTTTCCTTTCTTCTTCCTCTTCTTTCTTTCCCTTTCTCTCCACTTTTCCTTCTTTTCCTTCTCTCTCTCTCTCTCGATCTCTCTTTAATTGTTTTTCCTCCTTTTTTCCCTTCTTTTTTTTCCCTCCTTTTTTTTCCTTCTTTTTTTTTTCCTTCTTTTTTTTCCTTCTTTTTTTCCCGGGGGGCCCCTGCACCCACATCATCCCTTGGCCCCTAATTTCCAATCTAGCTTCCCTTCCCTCCCCTTCCTGGAACGACTCGTGGCCAGAGAATTAAATGTTGGGGGAACAGAAAAACGAAAACGGTCGATTTATCAGTCGGACGTCGACGTCGATCGGCGACCTCGCGCTCCAAACAAAGCTTGAGGCCGAGGTCGTCGCACTTTCTACATGAACTAGCAAACATGGCTTCCGTGAAATCAGAAATGCTGCAGTTTTCTGGTGCAAACAGCACCTCGGATCCTGCCAACCGGTCAGTCCTGATCGTCGGTCAGCTCCCAAACTTGACCAAGGTTCCTTATGACATCGTGAAGACCAAATTGCAGCCTCGGGTCACTGAAGAGGTGATTATATGTCTTGTAAATTGACTTGGAATCTGGATGAATTAGTTCCTGGATCAGACAAAAGTCAGCCCCACACGTTGTTTTGTGTGTCTGCAGGTCTGGTGGTTGTGTAATAGTGACATCGCTCATGCTAAAGCCAGGCTAGAGTCTAGTGATTGAGTTGTGTCTATATTCTGTATTCACTCTTTTTTAAAGAGTAGATCTACAAGAACTTAAAGGAAAAATAGAAAACTATTCTGTTTGCAGTTATGTTGTCATGATAGACTCGTTGAACTGATTTATTGTCATGATTGTACTTAGATCTAATTTGTATGCATGTTCCAGTAGTTTGAGAAAAGATTTGAGAAATTGTGTCAGGTCTGTGGAGTAGAAAAGCCTGAAACAAAGACTAAAACAATGAAATACTCCTGTGGCGTGCGCCTGTAATCCAGCTAACAATGGAAGTTACAAACTGATTCAGCCGAGGATGCAGGTTCGAAACTGAGTTGCGTCTTTCGGATGGTGACGTTAAAGCTTATCTGCCATACATGTAGTTTACAGGAGGGATTAGACCGCTCTGCAAGGTCACTGGACAGGTGGTTATCTCATCAACTCAGCTTTCAGTTAACATATGAAAAAGAGGATCATGGGGGACCGATGGTCACCGATTAGGCATTGTTTGTTATATAGAGGGCGCAAGTAGCTACCAGTAGTGCAGTGGGCCTTTAAAAGTCGGTCCCCACACGTAAATAGTCATATCTGATTGTACACGTCTGTAAAACACACTCCTGTCTTAGTAAGTTAGTGTATCAACTGGTATTGATCTGTCCCTTCTACACCAAGCCCCTCAATAATTTTTTCTTGGTACCCGTCATGGAGTGATTCCACTAGCAATTCTAATAGAGGTCATAAAAGAGAGGAGCTTCCACTTCCAGTTCCAGCTCATCCTCAAGGCTCAAGTCGACAAAAAAATAGTAAATGCTAAACTTGCAAATTTCTTGCATAACTATGAGACGATTTAACCAAAGAATATCAAAATAAATACCATGACTGTCTTATTTATTTAATAATCTATATCTGTGCTTCATTTCAAGTTAATAGGGTAGGCCTACATGTACTTTCTTTCTGATATTTTTGTGAAACTGAAAAAATGGAAAAATAGATCTAGATCTATGTGTACTTGGCTCATTAATTTGAACATAATTTTAAAAAACCTGAAATACTGTATATCACTTATTTATCGCTTATTTATCACTTGTTCTAAGTAACTCTATCTCAACTCAAAATTTTACATAAATTGAGCGTTCCATCTCTTGAGATCCTTGGTGAAATTTGAAACCCCCCCCCCCTGTCATAATGTGCTCCTGAAAAGCCCAGTCAGAATAGGGTTAACCACCTTCAAAATTAACCATTGTTTTTGCAGTCCTACGGAATGGCACTTGGCTGCCTCAGCCCATCACCAACAGATACTGTCTCTCTGTGGTTCAACAATGCGACTCTAGCGGCCCTGCCGATGAAGGCTAGCAGGCACAATGCACCATCCCGCTGCCACATCCTCACCAAACTGGTCCGTAGTTGTCTCACCGGAAGTGGCAACGAGTGCATCGTGGTAGGTAGACCTTAGCTGATTCCATCAAGTGCAGGTGTATATTGGAATAAATTGTTGGCAGGAAGTAGTTTGGATAATAATAATAATAATAATATTGGATATTTATATAGCGCACATATCCACCCTGCAAGGTGCTCAAAGCGCTCCAATATTACCCCGGCTCTGCTAGGCTACCGATAGTAGTTACCTAAGTATTAATCTTGGATTTGGAGTGATAGGAGCATGTGCCCGAATGAACAGTTATTTTAAAAAGCATGAAATAAGATCGATGATGAGACTAGCTCCCTATATGTATATGTATTTCTATAAATTGCTGTTGAGAGACACAATTGCAAAGAAGAAGAGAATCAAATATAGAAATATGACTGTAATTTCCATGATAGATTTAGATGATTTCTATTTACAGTGTTATATTTCAACCTCTACATAACAGAAATTTGGTGCTGTTCAAGTAACCTTTTCTTGTTACCATTACTATTCTTTTTCTTGTGATAGGTTGCCAGTGAACATGCCCATGTCTTTCCTCTTGGCTGTGCCATCGCAAGGGCCTTCCCTCTCTATTCCCGTAAAGCAGGCTCTCGCAAGCAGACCCAGCGCATCGTCAACGTAGAATTCGTCATCACAGACAGTGATAACGCTTCCCTGACGGAAGAAGAGGTGGCGACCTTACAGGTTACGGCCCAGTCTATCCGTGAATCAGCCCGTATCGTGGATATGCCTTGCAATGAAATGAACACGATGGACTTTGTAAAAGTAAGATATCCACTTTATCTTGGCTCTCAAATTCTTAACAGAAAAATTAACTGATTTTTTTTCTTGTTGCCATGATTCTTCTTCACCTAGATTTGAAAATTCACTTTGACTGACTTGCGAGAATCGAAAGTAAATTTTCATTTGCCACTGATGGCTTTTGCACTCTGAATGATCATGAAATGTAAATTCAATTAAAATGATGTAGATGAAGTAAACTCTTACAGTGCTAGTGTTATTGATGTTGAGTGACATTCAGATGTAACAACGGATATATTACAATTGATGATCAATTATTCACGATAATCTATGTCAGTTTTCTTGGTGATTTATGATGATTTATTAAATGCTATTTTTCTAAAACAAAAAAATTCCCAGCTCTAAATCCCCCCTTCACATCTTTAATAATTGTCTAAGCCCTATAGTATTTTTTTTATGGAAACATGTACATACCATCACACCACCCTGCTTGACCTCATATGCTATACTCTTATATTGCATTATCACCTACAGGAAATCCAAAGAATTGGACAATCCCTTGGCATCACCCCTCTCATCATCCAAGGAGAGGAGCTCAAACAGAAAGGGTTTGGAGGTAAGTTTTGTTTGTATGTGCCATGTATCCGATAGAGTTTCTGATCACTCTCTTGCCATAGATACCACAAGGATCTATTTTGTTTATTTTCACTGATGTTGCCCCCCCCCCCACTTGCTTCCATCACCTTTGTCTTTCATATGTTGACATTCAGGCCCTTGCGCTCAAATGCATTCTCCCAGTCGGTGAAATCTCTCTCCTGCAGCTGCATCGATTCAGCCATCAAAACTAAGTCATCTGAATACAATAGGTTCCATAACGCACCTTTCTTTACTGATTGTGATAAAACATCAACTACAATAGCGAACAGCAGTGGAGACAAGACTGATCCCTGATGTACACCCACTCCAACATGAAAACTCTCCAGAGTACCCTCTTCCACATCTCACTCTAGTCTGTTCATATTCATACAATGCTGTTACAGCACTAACCAGACCTTCAGGGAAAGCTACAGTGTACTTTCAAGTAACTTAAAAATGCATGTACAATAACGATCACTGACGGCATTGAGAATTTGTGAATAAATTTCCTAAACGCCTTTCAGTTAATGAAAATGTTTCTACCCTTTGAATTGCACCTTTTCTGATCTTGACAGGTATCTACGGTGTCGGCAAAGCTGCAGCCAATCCACCAGCCTTTGCTGTCCTTAGCCACACACCACCTAATGCATCTCAAACCATTGCTTGGGTGGGCAAGGGCATCGTCTATGACACTGGTGGACTCTCCATCAAGGGCAAGGTGAGTGTTCTGAAAGAGTTGAGAGAGAGAATGGCCTTGCAGCATCCCAGGGGGAAAGTTGGAAGACCAAAGATAGGTTCACACAAAAGTCTGTTAACTTTAAGTTTAGGCTGTGGTTTTAAACTTCAAAGTTTAGGTCATGGTTTTAAACTTCAAAGTTTAGGTCATGGTTTTAAACTTCAAAGTTTATGTCGTGGTTTTAAACTTCAAAGTTACCTTGTATTTTAATAAGGACCATGTGGTTGCTCTCGTGTTTACAAAACTTTAAGTTTATTTGAAGTTATAAAACACAAGTGATCTTCAGGTTTAATAGCCTGGTAACTATGTGCAGCGGGATCCTTACTCAAAATTATGTGGCGTGCAGTGGCAATTAACTTTGAAGTAAAAGAAGGAACGTTACGGAGCTAGCTCCGCGCAACGCAACTGCGCATCCAGCCAAAGTCGCAATTTGGTATTACACCGCATATCGTGGTAGGGGTATATGTACATGTAGGATGCAAAATCTGCCTGCGATACAGTACTAGCTTAAAAATCAATGAAGATTTGCTAAGTTACGATCTTTTTTTAGGTAAACTTCCTGTAAATTTATAAGAATATTGATGAATTTGTTATTAGTTTGTAGAAAAAATAGTGTTCTACAAGAAAATTATGATTATTTTGTTTGGTCCGTTTTTTTAATTTTTCCTCTCGGTTTTTTTATTATTTTTTTAAACTCCTCTACGAAATGTCAAAGTTGGGGGGTGCGGCCTTATTGCCGGCAAATATGGTAGTTAAATGAAGGCTTTCCTGGCTTGGTGTTGAAAAATCTGAATACTCCTTGTTTTTACCCTGTGTGACCCATGTTGTTGTTAGTGGAGCATTGTGTATAACTTTGAGGTTTCACAAACTTATAGTTTAAAACTACAATGGTCCTGTGAAAACCAGGGGAATTTTGGAATGCCTTGAGCACCGTGCATGGTAGATATATCGTATTTGCCGGCGATAAGACCGCATAGGCCGCACCCCCGATTTTGACATTAAAAAAGAAAAAAACAAACTTTTGTCGGAGGCGGGATATGAACCCTTACGTACAAATGTAAATTGTGACCCAAACCACCGCCTTAGACCGCCCGGCTATCCCGACCATGATGCTTTTTTTTCTTGTGTAGGCTTATTGCGCCATAGCTGTGCTCGCGCAAGCTGAGGATTAAGGTTGCTTTAGCTATATGGCAAAAACTTAAATCTAGATCTACCAGTAGAGTTAGGTTGGTAAGTTATGAATGTTATTTACGAGATTGACAAAACTTTGCCCTTCATTTCAACAAAAAAAAGACATGTGTTATTCTAGACAGTTATTCTAGAAATGTCCATCACCTTTCATTGTTGTCCCATATGTACAAATTCGTGCTGCTTTTCATGGTTTTGACTTGCAATTTTTTTTTTTTAAACTCTTTCGCCGCAAAGGCCGCACCCCGACTTTTTGATATTTTCTCTTCCAAAAATACTGCGGCCTTTACGCCGACAAATACGGTATGCACCATAAGACTATCCAATATTATAATGATTATTATTATTATTGTAACAATCTTCTAATGTATTTTGAAGAAATGCATTCCCTTGTTTTATCCATCCCTAAATGTTGTTTGTCATTTTCCATTACAATCAAATCTTTCTCAGCAGGTCATTATCTGATTTTCTTTCTCTTCTCCTTTTCTGTATAGACTGCCATGCCTGGTATGAAGCGGGACTGCGGTGGCGCAGCAGCGATTTTGGGTGCATTCTATGCAGCCGTTAAAGAAGTAGGTCGTCTTTGATATTTTCATTGATAAAAGAGAAAGTGTTGGACCTGTGCATTTCAGGAGGCAATTTATGAATGTGTCGTTCTTCTGCAGACATTCTGCACAAAATGTTAAAATTGTACACGCTGAAAAAAAAGAAAAAAAAGTCCTGGATGATATTTATTCCATGTGTAGGTGAAGTCAAATGTTTACCTTTAAAAGGAGCTGCATGTACTATGGAATATAGGGGCATGTTAATACAGGAGACTATTACGTGATTAAAGAGCTGAAGAATATCAGTGCATGAGTAAATACATAAACCTGTTCATCCCCAACCATTAACGCTCGTTGTAAGGAAAGGACCATTGCTGTGATACATTGCTTACGATCGATGTGACTTTGTATTAATAAGAGTAGTTTGAGAATTATTTAAATTTTCTCATTATACAATATCAGCCAACTCTGTACAACACAGTCCTTGCATTTACTGTCACTTTAAACACCTTGGGTGGTATTCTCATAAGTTAAGCTGGGACTAAGTCCAGACTAAACAAGAATTATAGTTCACACTTCTATGGAATGCTAGGTGTCATCTTCCTCCTTCAATATTCATGACAAGATAATCTACCAGAGATTTTGCTAAAATTCAGTTCACACTCATATTATCTTTTTCTTCCCATTTCATTGCAAAATTAATTTTTTGGACACTTCTCATTGTAGGATTAAAATAATCTGTACAGGGTAAATGAGTTGGCAACAGGCACTCCATAAAAGTGTGGACTAACTTCGTACGCGCTAACTTAGTATGCGCTACCGGAATACCCCCCCTTGCGCTTGCTAACTCTTAGTGACTACTTTTGTTTGTATTCCAGGGTTTTCAAGAGAACCTTCATGCCTTATTCTGCCTGGCCGAGAATGCTGTAGGCCCAGATGCCACAAGACCAGATGATGTACATATCATGTACTCCGGGAGGTAGGTCGACATATCAATTACATTCCACAAATGATATTTGTAAAGTTTTCCACTTATTGCAGGTTTCATTTTCATTGTAAAAAAAAACAATACAGAATGCTTATATATGTGTTTACAACATTATCCAGGGTTGCTAATTTGTATAATACCATTAAAAAAAGTATGGCATCCTTGAAACTCAAACTTTATTCCAACTTCAGATGGGAATTGTACCGGTAATTTTTTTCTATTTATCCTCTTTCGAGGGACTTTATTTGTTCATATCATAAAATAACAGCTATTTACAACAGTGTTTAAATACAAAATTCATGCAATTGTAACTGTCATACATAGTACAGAACATGAAACTAATGTGACATAATCACTAACTAAAATAATGAAAACATTTTTGTAACTTTTGTAACTTCGTTTGTATCGAATTTCTTTTGATTACATTTCATATTGAGATAGGTGCGAATTTCCACCTTTAATTCTTTTATCCAATATACAGCATGTTTCCTGTGCTTTTCACTTCCAAAACATTCTCTAATATAGTTCCTATAGATAATAAACTGAGCGAAGTTGTACCGGTAATTCTTTTCATCAAATTTACTCACAAATAAGCAATTGTATTTATGATAATATTAACTACAATACCACGTAGTGGTCAGAATAAATGATATTTAGACATTCGTCAGTGTTCATTCCTTTGAAACGTTGCATTTATTTCTGCTTTATTCTTTTAATTTACAGGTCAGTTGAAATCAACAACACAGATGCTGAGGGAAGATTAGTACTAGCAGATGGGGTAAGTAAACAAAAGTCTCACAAAAACAATATTGATGCAAAGAGAAAAGTGTAGCACTTTGATATATTCCTCATATCATTCGATATACAATGTAGCCATTCTAATATATGCATCAGGCCATCATGATCTTTCTTAATCCACTACTGTAGGCCTTTACAAGTAACTGTAGAAATTATACCAGATTTAATTATCTCAATGAAAAAATCTAGACAATTTTCAACCGTATGTTTTTTTTTAAATACCAAAATTGCTAGTTTCTTCCTTTCAATGATAGATTTCTATACAGTTAGTGTAAAATATCCTCATGACCGCATTTACGCATACAAGATTTCATCGCATAGGACCTTGATTTTCTAAATAGAATTGATTCAAAATTTTAAAAATCATCATTTAAATTTGTAAAAATAAATGTTTTATTTTTTGTCGTCATAAATCCTGATTTAAATTTGTAAAAATAAACGTTATATTTTTTTGTCTTCATACATCATGATTTTTTTTCTTCCAACCTGGATATAAATATCTTATATTTTCTTGTATTTTGTAGGTGTCCTTTGCCGCAAAAGATCTGAAAGCTGATATCATTGTTGACATGGCCACACTGACTGGCGCCCAAGGTATCTCAACAGGAAAGTACCATGCTGGACTCCTGACCAACAACGAAGACTGGGAGGTTGCTTCAACGAAAGCAGGTAAGGCCATCAGGGGGGCGTTTCACAAAGATTTTAAGTCGAACTTAACTCTTAGTTGGACTTAAATATTATGGAGAGCCATGTGTAGCCTTATAATGAAATATATTCAAAAGCAAAAATTAAAGTATTTTAGACTTTTCATTCATGAATTCCACATCAAGAACATGAAATCTCCCATGATAATAGAATATATGATTGATTTGTATCAACATTTTATGCCTTTTAAAATAACTTTAACAAATATATTTTGAAGGATGCTAATGGCTTTCCATAATTGTTAAAGTTGATACTCTAAGCAAATAAATGTCCCTTAATTTGTTACCTACAGCAAGTATATGTTATTTTTAAGTTTTTCAATTACTTAGTATATCACAAAAAAATTCTGTCTACTCGAAATCCTCAATTGAAATGTCTAAAATATCCGCCTCTCTTTGCATAGAAAATCAGTCACTACGCTGGTCTACTATTTATGACCTCACGTCCGGGAGAGAGTATATTCACGTACCCGGATGTTCCATAGCAAACATGTGCAGAGTGATACGATTTTCTGCATATTTTTGTTTCAAAGGCTGAAAAGACTAATAAATCATAATTCTATGTACAATTCTTTACCTTCCCCTAGTACTTCATAGTATTAATATCAATTCCCCTTTTAAAAATTACGACATATACATGCCAACGATGTGCTATTAGTCGATATTTTCACCATGTAATTTTTGTTTTGGTGTTGAAATCGGCCCAGGCACGGAGTGAACGGTAGCTGTCTACCCATGCACAGTTCATTACCATACACTACAGCGATCTCCCGATGGTTTCTTCTTCCATGTCTTTCACCTTCCTTGGCCCTGAACATCCTTCATCTACCAATTCTGACACCGGTAGTCAGGAGCAAGTCTTTGTTAGTTGTTTTTCTTAGCTGGCAACGTCGCTTTCATTCTCTTGCAATTGCCGATAAACATATAACTAGCGCACGTACGTTCCATCACAAGCAAGCAGCGCCTAAAGCAGCGGCTTGGTCTTACCTCCCGATTCTGCTCGCTCCACGAACGTTCATGCAAGAGCCGTATCACTCGCCAAAATATTGTAGAGGAAGCGCGCTTGCATGATCTCGTTCAAGTTTGATATTTTACAACATAAAATGTTTAACTGGTACTGTATCCTTTTTTGAGGCAGTCACACACATCTATGATAAGTACTATCATAGTTCTAGACCTATTCGTTTTACAAAACTGCTCATGTACATCTGATGACAATATAATGCATCCGCCTATTCATAAGTGCACGATTTAACTTTAATTCTTAAGCAGTAAACTCGTCTTAAATCTCTACCAGATAGGTGAATATGAGGATATAAAAAGAAATCAGCGACTGGAAAATGTTTCTTCGTTATTCTTCATTCAAATGAAAACAGAAAATCCATCAAATATACTCCTTAACAACAACAAATCTAAGCTCTGACAGGATAGCATTTACATAGGGATATCACTGCCATTCAATCTCACTGAGCCCATGACTCCCGTTCGTGACGTCACGGATAGAGGCCCGACTCTACGTGCACTTCCGGGTTTCAGACTTAGATATTTTGGTAGAGTTTACTCAAATAAATTCATTATTCTAAACTTGTTTTGTCGGGTGGACACCATTTGGTGTTATTATGGCCGTTAAAAGCTTTCTATTTATGTAATTATCTCAGTATTTGGGATTGTCTTAGAGTATCAACTTTAAGTCCAACTTAGAGATAAGTTCAACTTAGGATCTTTGTGAAACACCCCCCCCCCCCCTGAACTTCACTCGACACTACTACTATGGTTGTCTGATCTTCAGCAATATAATACTGTTACTGCACCGAGTGTATACATATATCATAAGCTAATCTCCATCCATTAGGAATAACTGTTGTTTCATTATGGAATAATGGATTATTCATTGCATTTGAAGGGGATTAGAAAAGATTAAAAAGGAAGTCCACCCTGATATTAAAGGGATCGTATAACAATGTTAAATCTGAGATGCACAGCCCTACGTGTTATCAGTGTCTGTGATATGGTGTTATATTGAAGCCCTAATAAAATTGCGCTTCAAAATGATCAAAAAGTAAAACCCTTGAGTGACCGGTTTTACCATACTCATTTTCTCCAATAGACTGTAGTGTTATGAAAACCGTTTGGAAAACGCAAAATTTATATAATAATCAGACCAACGATTGGCTTGTAAAAGTCATGGGGTTCCTGACTGACCCAAAGGTTTATAATAATCATTGCAGCATGAGCTAAATCAAGGATTTTTTTAAAGTTACCGGATCCCTTTAAGTTGATTTTAATGAAAGCAGAAAAATGAGACAAACAAATTTGTGAAAGCTTGAGCAATATCGGATTGAAAATAGGAAAGTTATGATTTGTTTAAGTTGTCATCAGTATCTTGCGAACCCCTCTCCAAATTGCTCTGTCCAGAAAATGTAATGGATTTATTATTTTCTTAGTTATTGATGATGGAATAGATTTTTTCATACAAGGGTCGTAGAAAAACATATTTGCAATTATTGTATTGACGGTAAATGTATGATTGAAAATTTTCTTACAGGAAAATAAAGATTTTTGAAGATTTTTTTTAGTATGGGCAAATGGGAGGGGACCTTGCAAGATAAGTCACATGGTTGCCTTTTTTTTCTCGATGGAATGCACCTTCAAAAATTAATAACCTTCTTATTTTCAATTGGTTTTGCTCAAACTTTCACTGACCTATTTCTCTCATTGTTCTGCTTCTATTAAACCCAACTTAGTATCAGGTTGTACGTCTCCTTTAAAGGGACTTTGTAACATTGTTAAGATGAGATATAATGGTGCTTAGGCAGTAACTTCAATGCTAGATGTACAATTAAAGATAATCTGAAAGTTTGAGTGAAAACAGACCATTATTAATAATAAAACTTGGGAAGAACTGATCTGATTGATTCCTTTATTCTCCCAACTATATCATTACTGTTTAATTACATTTTAGGTGAATGTAACTTGCACAAAGCAATAAATTGGCTCTATTGTATACCATTCCAGACATTTAAGTGTTGAAAGATTCATAATAATATAGTATTAATGACTGCTTTGAGAGAAATAGTTGTTTTTATACGCTCAAGGGAAGGTTAGAATTGTGCTATTACCCGAGGCGTGCCGAGGGGAATAGCCCAATTGTAACCTTCCCGAGAGCGTATAAAAACAACTATTTCTCGAATATTAAAGCAGTCATTAATACTTTTATATGCCGAAAAAAAATAGACTAAAAAATAAAAAATAAAAAATACTTTTTTTTTTGGTCCAAGATGAGATTCAAACTCTTGCGTACAAAAGGTGATGTATCTAAAGTCAGCGCCTCAGACCTCTCGGCCATCGCGCGTTATTAACATGCTTGGCAGTTTTGTACTATATATACATTAAAATGGATTGAAACCGGCTTTGCGTGTGATGAATGCTTCGCAAAAGCTCCATATACGGACTCTTCTTTTACTTTTGTAATGCATATTGGCACGAACTTAGATCAAGATCTATCGGCAGATGTTGTTTTTTTGTTTTTGGAAGTTTATTTTCGTCTTCATGTCAACAATGCAAGATAAAATTGTCGGTAAGATCGATCGAGATTCAATTGTATTGAAATTACCGACCAATTATTCGCACACATACGGTATCCTCCATCGCTCAAACCATTTTTTAACATGTAAACCTATGGGGTAACCATGGAGACTGACCTATTTTTTTAATAACCATGGTTATTAAAAATATTAAATGTTTTAAGCATGGTTACCGGGAATTTTACAGGAACAGTTGAAGTTTATGAATGCAATTTCGACCAATCAGATGGCTGGATTACTTAAGTGAGGTATATAATCTGTCTTATGTCTTATTTTCATGGAAAAAACGGTTGGGAGAAGTTACTGTTAGAGGGTGTCGCTCAGTGACACCTTCAAAGAAAACCATAAACATCTTTGTGGTTTAAGAATAATTCAGGATTTTTTGCATGTTAGAGGGTGAGTACAGTAGAAGGAATATAGTAAGTAACATTTCATACAAAAATTACAGTTTTGTCATCAACCTTCAACAATGTCATTGAGTCACTTTAATGGACAGATGTATTTACAAAAGTAAAGAGTATAACGAAGAGATGTTATATTGGTAACAGATCCTAATTTAAATAGATATTTTGATTTGTTTACTTTTATAATAAATCCCGTAAATGTGCTTGAATGAATGTTGCTTGTTTTTCAGGTCGTAGCAGTGGTGACTTGGTGTTCCCTCTAGTCTATTGTCCAGAGCTTCACTTTAGTGAGTTTGGTAGTGCAATAGCCGACATGAAGAACTCTGTAGCGGTAAGTCAAGGATATTATTAAAATTCTCACAGGAGAGCTTTTGAGTTTCTTTTAAATGCAGAGTGAAAGCAGCTAATGTCCGAACTGTAAAGCTCACTGTTATAATTTTGGCCTATTTACTTGTACGGTTCGATTATATTGCAAATAAAAATCAATTATAATTTCCGTTTGGAGCCAGAAGGGCATTAGCTCATATTGACACCTTTAAATGTACTAGGTCCCTTTTGCAGGCCAAAAAAATGAAAAGGTTAAATTCCAATGGCATTTGAAAGATTAAGAACTCCCCTTAAAAAAATGGGGCTTGAAAATGTCTTTAAGTGGGAAAATAACGACTATTAGTTGTCAAATCGACTTAGGAACTATAGAGCCAATAAGTAATAGTCTTGATTTTCAGACGATTCTACCGCATGGTCGTATGTTTTTATGCTGCGCCAAGATTCAATCAGTTTAATTTTGGCCATTACAAGAAGTGGGTTATTGATGTAGACAAATCCTTTACAGCTCATTTTATGTATGTTATTACCAAAGAAGAAAAAAAGCCAGTCAGTCACTCAATACTGACAATAGTGCCTGACAGTGAAGTCTAGCAAGTAAACAGATTTTTTTTGCATAATTTGAATATGAGGACACTGCTAACGTTTAAATTTAAATTCATAATCCCTGCAAAGTTCTACAGAATTTGAGGTTGGCTGCAAAAGGGACATAGTATCTTTAATACCTTTTTTGCTCCAAACAGATGATAATGCTATGAGATTCAGCAGTTCATTTAGAGTTGGAAAAGAACAAATGTCAGTTCTTTTTTGTAAGGATAATTAACCCCTGAGGAAAAACATGGCTGATGGTCCAAGAGTTGGATAACAGTTTTTCCCTGTTAAGAGTAAATTGAAAAATCTGATCAACATTAGTAGATCCTTTACCAAACTCTTCCTAGGTTCTTATGCACAATTCTGCGACTAGAGAAAAGTATCAATACTTTTATTTCCTTTAAATGGCTGAATAAATATCAGAAATAACAGATGACAAGCTTTCAGACAGCTGTCCAAAGTCCAAATCCCCCAAAAGACAATGTTAACTTCCTTGTTATGGCTCCATGTGATCAGTTTATTATTTGAAGAGCTTTATTCCAAAAGGAGCTAAATCCACTTTTGATGAAAATTGAGTTATTGATATCAGAACATTGTTCACTGAAGTACCCGTCTTTCAACACAATTATTTATCTAAATTTTGGGAGTAATTATGAAAAAATGCACCGTCTTATATCACTTTTCCTTAGATGCCTGTACAAAATCTGGAAAACAATTTCTTTTTTCTCTGAAGTTACAAAAATGGATTTAGCTCCTTTTGGAATTAAACTGTTCATTTCTTTATGTTATCCCGCTGGTTTCCTGTGCCCTTGTGATGCTTCCCTCATGTGATCTAAAGATTTGGTGTTGCCAACTCACATAATGTAATATTTTTGTATTATTATTATCAACATCAATCTTTGTTATCAGATAGTTAGGAGATGAGGCCTTTCGTAACCTACAGGTAACTAGCTCGTTAAATTCGATGCTGGTTTTTAAAAATTCTAGATATTAGTAACAATCCTGTGCCATGTATATCGTTAGAATGAATGGAATCACCAAAAAAGACAGCCCTTTGAAGGATTTTATATATGATAATGATATTCCAACCAATTATATTTTGTCATCTCAAAATACTACAGGTCAGAAGGGTTTTATTTTTTGTTTGTTTGTTTGTTTGTTTATTTTTATTTCTGCATTTTCAAAATGAAACATAATTATATACATAAAGTAACAAATATTTCTTCATTTTACATGATTATACATTTTTAAGTACATTGAATAAGATGCATACAAACACAAATATAATTTCAATGAAAAAAAAAAAAAGAAAGATAAATTACAGAAAATGCAGGAGACCGCCATCATGAGCGGTAAGCTTGAAATCGATGGCGGCCTCGAGAGAATAGCGGCAAACTCTTAAATTGTATAATTGTACACACGAAATTGATCAAGTGGGTGCAGTGAAAGTGCATGTGCAAGTGCGAATCGGGTTCTGGTATGTAATGTTTATAATACAATACTATTGTATTTTAAGAATTAATAAATTAAAAATATATTCAAATTAAGAGACAAAGTTTAAGGAGTAACGATTTTGTATGAGGATATAATGTGACGTTTTAGTGTCGCTTTAAAAGAATAAAGGGTCGAGCATGATTTAATTAGTTTAGATAAATTGTTCCATAAATCGGGGCCATGGTGTCTGATTGATTTATGTGTAATCAACACATTATTTATATGCATATGCCACCAATCTACTTCAAATTATCAGAATGACATCCTCTTTCTCTCCATTTTCTTTTTTTTCTCCTTCTCTCTCTCTCTCTCCTTCTCTTGTTCCTCTTTTCTTCTTTATTTTTGTCTGTCTCTCAACAATTATAGTACACCTTAAGTATCAGTGGGAAATAACATGTCATATATAACTGGATAGTTTCTTGACAATGTATAATTGTTATCATATGTTGAGCACATCAATCAGGCCTTTACAAAAATGTTGTATTGCCCTTTAGGTGCCAAAACATGGGTCGGTCGGTCGGAAATCCTTTTTTTTTTAATACTTTTTTTTTGTTGAATCTCCCTATTTGGGCTGCTATTTCTCAGTTTTGAATGCTTTAATATTTTTTTTCTCAAAAAAAAAAGGTTTAAAAAAAAACTTTTTTAAAAAGCAGACCATAGATTTCAAGATTTTGGGGTCGGTCGCAAAGGGCAATACAACATTTTTTTTTTGTAGTCCTCATAGCACTCTCCCTCAACCTCAGTTTTGTACATAAACTCGGCATACCATTACATTTCAATCCTCTATATGTCCAAAAAATGATTACCATTCTTTCTTTTTTCAGGATCGTGGTAATGCCCAGAGTTCTTGTGCAGGTCTTTTCATTGGTTCACACATCGGCTTTGACTTTGGTGGAGTCTGGATACATTTCGACATTGCCGCACCGAGTTACTCAGTGAGTCTTGCTATTAAACAGAAAAACCGACAAAGCAAATATGTGCTTTATCATAAAGCAAATATAAGAAGAAACATGTGATTTAAAAATATTTTGTAGCTTAGTTTGGGTTATAATCTTGAAATTTTAGGTGATCCTTCAACCATCTCAAGAAAGAATTTCATTACTGGTGCACCTGAATAGTATTAAATGTACATATGTATGGTGTGGCTAAGATACACAACTTTTTAAACAACCGTCTTTGAAGAAATACATAATAAAACCATGAAATTCGTTCTCATTTTTATGTTCATGACTTACAAAATTTCTTCTCTGAGGTCCTAACACCCTGTTGGACATGGGAACCACAATTAACATCCTTTTTTGTAATGTCCCCACCTACAGGGTGAGAGAGCAACCGGATATGGTGTAGCCCTTCTGCTGGGGCTGTTTGGAAGCGCCACCAAGTCCAGACTCCTTCAAGCCATCTCGCCCCCAGGCCTCATGGATGATGAGATGATGGTAGAAAGCGCCACCAAGAAGATACGCCTCATATGAAATAGTGTGCTGCTGCTGCTTCACATCTCCAATTCTAGCTTTAGAATCCATGTTTTATTCCTAGACGGGTGTTCAAAACATCCGAAACCATTTAGGGCGGTTCCATGCAACGTGTCCAGTACAACGTATGACATTTATCCACATAATTCTTCCATGACGGAATAAGATATCTCCAATTTTAGCTTTAGAATCCATGTTTTATTGCCAGGCGGGTGTTCAAAATACTGAAACTATTTAGGGCAGTTCCATTCAATGTGTCCTGTTCAACATATGGCATTTATCCATTTATTTAATCCAGGAATAACATATCTCTTGATGTGCCTCTGCCTTATGGTAGTGATACCAGGGACCTATTTCACAAAGCTTTTTTCAATGACAAATGACACAAATCAGTGTCAAATCTGCTGATAGCCAATCAAAAGCAAATAACAAAAACTGTTATTTGTCACGGATGACAATTTTTGTGAAATGGGGCCCAGGAAGCACTATTACTCGAAGGTCGTATCAAGATATTCTTTATTCTTGGATGGAATATGTGGAATATAGAGACATGTTGTATGGGACACATAGCATGGAATCACCCCTTACTATTTATTTGAAATAACTACCGTCTACTAGAAACTGATCGCAACAATACTTTTGCAAAAATGTCCAATGAGAGCCCTTTTCAAGACAAGGAACTTCTGCAAATTACAAACAATCACATGTTCTGATTCATTAAATCCACAATATAAAAACATTATGAATCTTCCCCACTCATGAAAATGTGAAAGATCCACGCTCAAAGTGTTTGCAGTAAGTGGAATCTTATGAAATATTTTAGTATTACAGTGGCACCTCTTGGTCTCGTCTTGCAAAGAAATATGATTGATCTGAATTAATCTGAATCCATCGTAAGTCTTTTGTCGATCTCAAAGCAATGCAGAATCCAATGAGTGAAAGGATATGCGATCAAATCAGATCAACCGCAATTCTTCACATGATCATACCCGGATCATAGTCCCCATCGGCAATACATTAATAGCATGGATTGAACAGTTGCTACGATGGATTTTGTTCTAAATATTGCACACTTTTATACACTTTACCATTCATCTGTTTGCTAACGTATGGTAATATCCAGAAATGGAATGATTAACATTGGGTTTGGGATAAGAATTAAAGGAAGAGTTAACTCTTTGTAATCATTGATAAATTCTCATTTTTATTTTTCTGCAAGGACATTGTAGGCTTTGTCATTTCATGGTCTGTTGGTATTGCAGACTAATAAAAAGAATCAATTAGAAATATATCCACATGGTGCCCCTATTTTATACATTCCTTTCAAATGTGCTTACCAAGACTGTATGGCAATAGGTGTAGAGGCTGTCTTGAAGAGAGGGCAGTAAAAATGACCTCAATATACAGGTGGTCTTATGGAGAGGTAGCCTCTATGACATGTTTGACTATACATGTAAAGTTAACAACTTAATTGTTCATAAATTTGATGTTTTTAGTGGGTTTTTTTGGTAAACCAACAATATAAGTTGTACTTGTTAAAGTGTGGCCTTTGTTAATATATCACATTCTTTTTTTCTTCTTCACATACTTAAACAAGTACAAAACTTGGTAAGGGTATGAATAATCGAGCTGTTAACTGTATATCATAATTTTGAATCATTTTTCTATGTTTTGAAGAGGCCTGCATGTATTTGAATCCTAAATCTTGAATGAGTACTCTTCCAGTGAAGGTTAGACGCTATCCAGAATTATCCTACTTAACAGCTTTCTTTTGGCTTTGATGGTATATACACATGTGTCAAATATTTGATGATCATATCACTTATGAAATTAGTATCATTATTATTATTACTACTACTACTACTACTACTATCATTTTATGTGGTGATGGTTTTGCCCAGTGCAGACATGGCACGTTTTTTTTTCATAGTACTTATACATGACATTGTGCCTATTCATGCCTAGTTTCATTTTTTCTGTGGATTTATGTACTTATGCCTTTGCCATTTATGATGTGCAAAAGGGATGAATTCCATAAGGAATTACAGATTTCGATATTATTGTTTGTAATGTTCTGTCTGAATGTCAATTTTTCTGGCTGTTAAAAGATTCAACAATAAAGCATACGACCTAGAACTACATGCATATCAGTTTATAAAACCAAATATTCTGACCACCAAAAATTATTATGAAATGTATGAAGTAATTGATTTACCTCACACATCTTAAAGTAATCGTGCATTGGATTTGTAAATATTTAGCCTCTCCTCACTAAAGCTCATGACTTCTGTATATTGGTACTAGCCTTACCTTGCTTTATTTGTAGAAAAAGAATCTCTTTTGTCTATTCTTCCTATTCTTTTTTAGTCCAGGGCACTCTCTAGTGCATTAATTATGCTTTTAAAGTGCACTGAGTACAGACATAATTATGTAGAATGTCTCTATAAAATAGGACAAAACACTGTGTGGGAAAGACAACTTGAAAACAAAAGTAAATATCAAGCATGACAAGAATTGAAACAATGAGGACATGAATGAAATGATTCCAAGTCGTTATCATCAGGATATGTGTGATTGACTTTCATATAATATTTTGTGAAATATTATGAGGAATGTTATGTATTTTCCTGTTCAATTTCATGAATTGACAGGAGTACAATAGACAATCTTGTAAGGGTGGGGGAGAGCTGTCATGAATATGAATTATATTTGTATGTTTGATGTTTACAATAAGGACGACAAAAATAAAAATTCAAAGAATTCTGTCTATGAGATGATGTGTACAAATATGATTTTTCTTGGATTCACAGACAAGTACCAGTGGCAGAGCCCACTAGATCACAGTTAAAGGGATAGTTGAGTTCGGTTGCAGATGGCGCTACACCCACAAACAAAAATAATGAAAAACTGAGTGTCAAATTTGAATGAACCTACCACCACAAATATTCGATAATTTGAAAAAGCCGTTGAAAAAAAGAAATAGCGCCTTTTACGTTGTATTTCAGCAAATGCCGATGTTGGCTTTTTTGTTGGCTTTTTCATGTTGGTTATATTAAGCTCAACCAGCCGGCCCATGTATTGTTATTATTAATTAACTTATTAACGGTCACCATATTTTTTTGAAAGTGGAGCTAAATTGGTATGATTGTGTTGGCTAAATTTCACACATTTTTGGGTCTAAAGTTACCTTCATAGCAATTTTAGGTCCTCAGATGGCACTAGAAATGTCAAAGATAAGAAAAAGAGCAATAACCATGCACTTTTAAGACAATTGTGATCTGAAAAAAGAACTCGACTATCCCTTTAAGTTGAATAGTACTTCCTGTTTATAGAAACCCAGTGAATAAGAAAAGAATTTGTCCTTCACACGTGAGGGTGATTATGAGAATGATAAATACGATATGATATGAGGTGATGTGATGTGATGGGTTCTAGGACAATTACCCCTCCCCCCCCCCCCCCAGAAAATTACCCCTAAGATTATTGCATCTGATAAAGGGGAAACATTGGGGCACTACTCGCACCTGATAAGGGTACTCGGAGATTTTAAAAGGCACTTTTAAACAAGAAAAAGGGGCTTTATTCAGAAGGAAAATGGCACAAATTAAAAAGTATAGGGGCATGTGTCAAAATAAAACGGGCATTTATCAGATATAATAAGGGGCACTTTTTACAAATTAAATGGGGCACCTCTCAAATTGATATGAGGGCACACACCTGAGATGAAAAGAGGCAATTATATAAGAGGGGAAGGGGCACTTATCAGAGGTGGTAAGGCATTTCTTGTTCCTAAAAGGGGCACTCACCTGAGATGAATAGGGGCACTTGTGAGAATGGAATGGGGCACCTATGAGATTTTAATAGAGGCATTTATCAGACATGTGAGAAGGGCATTTATGAGAAAGGGAAGTGGCTCTCATTTTTGTTTTAAGTGAGATTTATCTGAAGTAAAGAGGGAACTTATTAAAAAGACAAGGGGGCACAAGTAAACAAAAGAAAAGAAGGTGCTTATGAGAGATGAGAAGAGGAGCTCATCAAAGAAGAAAAGGGGCACTTATCAGAAGGGAAAGGGGCACTTATAAGAATGTGGAATGGCATCTATTAGAAGAAAAAAAAGGTGCACTTATCGGAAGTAAAAGGGGGCACCTGTCCTATGTAAAAAGGGGCACTGTAGGGTGCTTGAAAAAGTGGGGGCACTGTGCCCCCTGCCCCTCCCCCCTCCCCCACGGTTCCACCGCTCGATGGACATACCACATTTTATTGTTTTTGCTATAGTTTTTCAAAAATTAGCAAAGCTCATAAGCTCCCGACAAAGGGTAATATTGTCTTCCTAACCATATTAGCTTGTAAGGCACGTTGTCATTTACATCATCAAGCAATTGAATTGGTTTATGGAAATAATGGTAGATAAGAAAGATTGTAGAAATTCCAGAACACTTTTCAAAAAATATACCAGCCGCATTTGTTTGTTTTTGATAGTTTTTCCATAAAAATATCAGAGCTCATAAGTTCTCAATGAAGGGTGATATTGTTTGCCTAACTATATAGCGCACGTCGTGCTCTACATCCTCAAGCTGTTATATACCTTTTGTTATTATCATCATTATATGTTTATATAGGATTTATTGGTCTACCATTTGTTCTAGTAAAAACATTGAAAGGTTTTATTGATCAAAAGATGTTAGAGACCGAAAGGTAAATTGACTGGGACAGAAAATAAACGTTCATGGTTTCCTTCCATTGGCAGACAGAAATAGGTTTGTTTCATGATTACAATCATAAACATCATCATGCTTTAAACTATTATGTTGTGGAAGGGTAGAACATCAAGGTCTCGGATGTTTCCGTCGTGAAGATTACCTGATATAAACCTATTATATGTGAAAGCAGGGGCGTACGCAGGGGGGGTGTTTTGGGGGTTCAAACACCCCCCTTTGGTATTTTAATGTATGTAAACCCCCCTAAAAAAACCTAAAACCCCCCCCCCCCCCCCCCTTTGGCTTTTTTTTTTTTTTTTTTTTTTTTAATTAAAAAAAAAAAAAAAAAAAAAAAAAAAAAAATTATACCCACGGCTAACCTAAATAAGGTGACCTTACCCTCCCCCCATACGTAAAAAAATGTCAAATTTTGAAATTTTGAGACCAAAAAAAAAAAAAAAGTGTCCGCTTACCCCCCCCCCCCCCCCCCCCCCCCCCCCCCCCACTGAGCGACTTTTCGGCCGGCGCGATTTTCAAATTTTCGGGAGCAAAATATTTTAAAACCCCCCCCTTGAAAAAATCCTGCGTACGCCCCTGTGTGAAAGTAACGGGGGAAACAACCGGGGTGCCGCAAAATATCTCTGGGGGTGCAACGAGAGCAATTTAAATATGAATGAAAGCAAATATATTGGAATAACGCCTATATTGTGAAAATCCAAAATAAGAAAG